TATACTATATATAAATAAATATGAGATTATAAAACATTGTAGTATCTATACATACCATAAAATAAAAGTTAAGTGTCTGTTTGTAATATAAAAATAACAGTTTTTTACTAAATGCATATTAATTATTAAGTTATATACAGTACTTATAATAAAAACACAATTTTTAACATTTTTCTGTCTGTCTGTCTGTTTGTTCCGGCTAATCTCCAAAACGGCTGGACCAATTTTGACGAGACTTTCACTGGCAGATAGCTGATGTTATAAGGAGTAACTTAGGCTACTTTTACTTTAGAAAAAGAATTAGGGTTTCCCAAAACAAATAAAGACCTACCTAGAGACGAACCCGAGCGAAGCGAAAGTGATTCGCTAGTAAAGAAATATAAGGGTATAATTGGGTGTATACCTTTGCAATAAACATTATTATTATTATTTTATGCACACACACACATATATATATATATATATATATATATATATATATATATATATATATATACACAAAGAATTCATGCTGTAAAAAATAAATGTAATCGTTTGTAAAGTAATTTTTCAATCAATTTGAATTATTCAAATGACAAAACTTTTTTAATATTATATTATAATATATTTTTATTATTTTTTATTATAACATATATTTTATGGTACATAAATAAATAAATGTTGGTCGTGTCTTAAAGCACTGTATCCAAAACTTACCCCTAAAAAATTGTTAAATTTTTTTTAATGAAAGTACGTACTCATTAATATTTTACAAGTTTTATTCACATAATACTTTCTTAGATTTACGCGAATGTTTGACATTATTAAAAAAAACTATCTTTTCGGATTATTTCGCGGATTTATTTATATATATAAATCCGCGAAATAATCCGAAAAGATAGTTTTATTTAATAAGTTTTATTCATCTATACAGATAAATATATAATTTAATATTGAAGTACTAAGATAAATATGTATAATAATATTGATGTGTCTGTTTGTAATATCGAAATAACAACTTTTAACTAAATGCATATAAAATGATATACGGTACATATAAGAAAAACAATTTTTAATTTGTCTGTCTGTCTGTTTGTTTGTTCCGGCTAATCTCTGAAACAGCTCGACTGATATTGAGGACAGATAGCTAATGTTATAAGGAGTAACTAATTATTTCATTTTAGAAAAAGAATTAGGGTTTCGCTCAAAAAAAATTAAAATGAATGTACACGAGCGGAACCAGGATAAGTCACTAGTGTTCAATAAATACTTAAATAGCGTTAGCATTTAATTCGTTCTATTTGGTTTTCACAACACACAGCTAGGTCTATCTGGATAATCTTAACGAGCTTCTGATAAGGTAATTGAATGTCAATAAATCTGAATGATTAATTAAAATGCTGACTGGACTGATAACATATAAAAAATATTTTGCTTAAATCAAGCTCTATCTACCAATACTTTAAGGATTACCGCTTAAACCATCTGGCTTAACATTTTACATTTTAATAAATTAATGCAATCTAATATATAAATATCTCGTGTCTCGGTGTTTATGGTCGCACTCCTTAGAAACGGCTCGACTGATTTTAATGATTTTTTTATATTTGATAGGTATGAGAATAGGTCGTAAAGTATTTTTCACCCTCTCCCGTTCTTTAATCGCGATTGTAGTATTTTTGTATGAACAATATTATAGAAATACATAGCGACGAACCCGAGCGAAGCAAGGGCGAGTCGCTGTATAACATAAAGCCGAGGAGTTTTATTTTTGTAGATTGAACGCGGGCGTAGCCGCGGGTTCTGCTAGTAATGCATATTATGTATATATTTACGCGCAGGTGTATTTCTGTCAAACTGTTTGTAGTATCAATTTTCGATATTTAAAAGAATAGATTCATCTTAAATAGAAAGAAAAAAGAAATTATTCAAGAATTCTATCACAGAAGCGTGGTGGTATGTAGATGTATTGGGCATGTTCTATATTGTATAAATTAATATTATGGAGGAATAAGTGTGCATAATAGTTTTAAGAAAAAAATAATTTACTGCCGTAACTACCTTTTTTTTAATGTTGGGAAATGCGAATAAAGTTAAAAACGTTACCTTATACAATTTATAGCATTAGTTAAGTTATAAAAATAAGATTCAAACATATTATGTAGTTATTATGTATTGTTGCCAACATCTTATAGATAACTCAAACTATTGTAAGAAGCCATTATTATTATTCTATCTAATCTAATTTATGAAGTAAAGTATAATATAATAATACTATTTGCAAATATAAGAAAGGAAGGTATAAACATGTTGAGAATTAACACCTATTGTCGTTTAGAAGTAAAAATGGGGCATGCATGCACGATTTACAATGTAGCTGGCATGCCCAAAGGCTAACCCGATAAACAGAAATAAATTGGTTAAATTAAACTCAAGTTAATTTCAACTCTAAAGTTACGTAGTATACAGTTAAAGTTTAATTGTTACTGATAGTATAGCATTTTCGCCGTATTTCGCAGGCCCGCGGCGGAATTGTGACGTGCAATTGTTTACTCGCGACCGCAACATGCCGAATTCGCTAACGAACTTATTATTCGAATTTCGCATGCCAGTCTTCAGAGCTTTGGTATCGTTATTTATGTTCATAGGAAAACGCTAATTCGTGTATCGAATGCAATGGCATAAAATAGCCAGTATTTTTTCAGGTACCGTTTTATGTTTACTCGCATTGAGTCTGCTATTGTGCTATGATATACTATAGAACGTATAATAAACTGTTATAAGTTACGTAAGTACATTAGCTTAATACAATTTATTCTTTTAAAACGATGGCCACTAAGAAGTATTATCTAAAAATGTTAGGAAAAAAATAATTGAAGTGTACATCAATAGAGCTCTAATATTTTTCTGTGGAAGCTGGCATGGGCCATCATGCCCATGCCAGCTTCCACTGGTATAAATATGTATGGATTAGAGACATAAAAAAGCAAAAATTAAAGTAAAATATGGACAATATTTTTGAAGTGAAAATTCTTTGGAATCGTTGTGATTTGAAAATCGATGAAACAGAAATGCCACACTAGAAAGAGACAGAATACATTACCTAAACGGGAAGTGTCTCTAATGTATTGTTTTATTTAATTACGATATTTGCCAAAGTTTCACTTCTACCGTGAGTGAATTGCATGTAACATATTACGCACACACTTTAAAAAAATAAATTATTAAAAATTATTGAATGTCATAGTTTGTGTGGCCATTTATACTTCCAAATAGTTATCATATAGTTTTAAGTGTCTTTGATCCTACCTGTCACACAAAGTGCCACAAAAAGTTCTACGGCGCTTATTAAAATTATGGTAAGACAATATATACATACAAGTAATATTAGGTATATTTTTATTTTAACCTCAATATCGCTAAATAAAGGATGCAATATGATTGACGTTTATGTTATGTCTGCCTGGAAGCTGTGAGCTCCGGGTCAAATACAATATTTTTAAATTTGATCTTAGGTATTACGTATACTTCTTTCTTAGTGATACTGTGAAAATTCTCGAAAAAAAAACCTAAATCTTTTTAATCTTTGTAAAACTTATTAATAAAACTAGCATTGCCGGCGGCTTCGCCCGCGTTCAGATGACCAAAAACCAAATTTTTAGGTTTTACATATTAGTATACTCTTACATTACAGTTTTTGTATTTTTTTTTTCAGAAATAAGATCTTTTCCCGCGGTAAAAAGTATCCTATATTATGTTGACCCGGATAACAAGCTATCACCATACCAAATTTCATCAATATTTGAAATAGGTTCTAAAACTCAAATAAAGTAAAAATATATTTAGCAGGGGACACCCGGGTTTGAACCGGGGACCTCTCGATCTGCAGTCGAATGCTCTACCACTGAGCTATATCCCCACTTACTAAAGGTGACGAAAATAATATATCAATGCTACAATCTAAATTATACATTAAAAAAAAAACATTATTCTATAAACTATTTACAATTAATATATATTATTTTAAAACTTTTATAGTTATATTTAAAATAAAACGAACTCAATAGCTATAATGAATATTTTTTAAATTAATCTATTTTTAAACATTATTTTTCTACGGAATATTATTGAACATAATATTATATTTATATTTTCTTGAGAAAGCTTACCTATTGAAACAATTTTAATCTACGCCATCTATACTTTACTCTTAACACTGCTTTAATTATATTCTACAGACTACGTCATAGTAAGTGCTTGACCTAAATCTGAGATTTACTGTATGCTTGTGCTAGATGTCACTGATACACTTAATTTATAAAATAAAAATTAAAAATATTGCTATATAAGTAATTTAAAAAATTAAATAGCTATTCTATTTTAAAAAAATTGACCTAGCTATATATATTATATAAATTGATTACCCTAAATGTATATTTTATGTTTTTTTGGTTTAATTGCATATTGTCAAGTTTTTAATTAATTACAATTGGCATAACATACAACGAAAATGATTACTTAATCAGTTACAAGGTAAATTACATTTAGGTCAATCGATTGCTTAACTTTCTTTCTTATCATTAAGTGCTTTCATGTCGTAATTGTGTCACATTATCTTGGTCAGTAGGCTATTTTTTTTGCACTGTATAATTTTTCTCTTACGTTTTTGTAGAATGTATGTACCTATTAATTATATATTTTTCGAAAAATTATTGTAATACCATTTTTTTATCAGTAATTCCAATGTTTTTTATTAGCGAATTTACTATTTAGTAAGTTGACAACCCCATCAGCGTTAGGCACTAAGCTGTAGGCAGTAGGCTGCAAAATTACAATAAAGTTGCGAACGGAACGTAACACCCGGCGGTTGATCATGAGCATAGTGCGTGGATTTCTAAAATAGATTTGGTATTATTTTATATGTTGTGACGTAATAAAGGGAAACGAACTTTATACTCTATTAAAAAATACAGTGTTTTCTTTTGAAGGGAAAAATTGTGTAGTGCCGAAAAAACACTGTAATGTTTAAATTCTTGTCCAACTCTTTGATTACTCAGGCCAGCTGTCAAGAGGTGGGTAAGTTTTTAACTTTCCATGGGTATATCATGTTAGATTTCTTGTTGTCAATTATATATTAGTATTTGTTATCGGTCGTCGGTATGCGGTATTTTTATGGCATCAATGTCCTTGAATCTTCTGCCCTTGAAATACTTAAGAAACGTCAGGTTTGCGGTACCTTTAGGGTTACCCAAATTTATCACTGATACGCCTGAACTTGACAATAAACTATTTAAGTACTATTAGATAAGCCTTATCAGCATTAGTTAAATATCTATATCGCACTACAGATTGTTAGATAATCATAGACCTAACCTCTTTGACCTTTGCATGGAATTTTATGTTAAAAAACCAGTTGTAAAAAATTTCAATAATAAGTTTTAAAAAAATTATAATTTAACTTACCCGATATCCTGATTTTTCAAAGTAAAATAGCAAAAAATATTTTTTCACAATTATCACTTATTTATTTTTAATTTTATACTGTACTTATTTACACTATGCCATTCTCCTTCCTTCCTTGAATGATGGTAACAGTATGATCTTACAGTATATGTATATTGCCTAAGTAAACCAGATAAAATATTCTTATCAGCTACGTCAACTGTTACAATATTGATCAATTCAGTTCAATTTAAGTCTTCACAACACAATGACCGTACATCGGGTAAATTCTAATTTCTTTATAAACGATTCAGTCTATTATAAATTAAGCTTATTAAACTACAGGAATCATTTGTTAATTAGTGTATTTAGTGATTAGTGTATGAAAAGTGGTGCTTTTGGATAATGAGCCCTATGGCCTCTATTACTAAAACGGGTTTGATATCTAAATTAATTATACATAATGATACTCTATTTCATCATAACAATTTATGTCACTTTTGTTATTATTAATTAAACATCAATTATTTATTTGAATTTTATTGAATTAGGATGACTGTACTGCATAACATAGTTTTGAAACATGGTTTTGTACTTTATACATATTGTGTAAAGTGTATTATTCGTTTTTGTTTGATCGAAACAGTATGTATCCATACTTTTTATAAAAGCAATACTATGTGTTGTAGGTATATAGAGTATGGATATTTATTACTTGTCAAAGATTAATGCCTGAAGGAATACAATTTTCCATATCTGTTGTTACGGTAACTCAATAAAAACTGTTTACATGCCAGCACTATTTTTTTCTCTTTATAATTGACAAGCAGCCCATCTTCACTTGCTCGGGTTCGAACAAACAAACAAAAACAAATCTATCCTATGGGAACCATACATTTTCTGGGATAAAATGTACCATATGTGTTGTTCTGATGTATAAGCTACTCATATATTATTGTATAGTTTCATAAAAATCCATTCTGTAGTTTTTGCGTGAAAGAGCAACAAACATCCATACATCTATACATTCAGACATCCATACATCCTCACAAACTTTCACATTTATGATATTAGAGGAAGGACAAACAACAATCACTTAACCATTTTAAAAAGCTCAATTTTTTATAAATTCCCAACACCATTGCATAAGCAAAAATAAAAAAAGAATTAGAATAATGAATACAGAACAGAATAAATAAAGGATATATGTACTTTTTGCTATGGAGAGTGAGACCCAGGTTTATATATTGGCAATAATTTTGGCAATGGCTTAAACTTTTAAACTTACAGTATATATGTACATGACTGTGAACACGCACAATATGAATGACTGATAACTGCTTATCTTGACCCTATATAGTGCTGTAATATTAGTTCACATTTTTACCATGAGTATTTTTTGTCGTCATATGATATTATATAATAATGTCTGAAGATTTTAATGAAATTTAGGACAACCTATATAAATAAATTTTAAGTTACATTACTTTCAAAACATTAGTAGGTATTATCCAATTAATAAATATTTATCGACCAATCGCAATCCGTTTATTTTTAAGAGAAAAAATGTTATTGAAAACCTGAAATTTTATGATTTTAAAATGTTAACAGGTATATAAGGAATAGAAATTTGTAAAATGCCCCACATGCCCAGCAACTCTCGAAAAATGGGGAGACGCAAAGCATTTAAAAATAGTTTTTTTCAATTTCCGGCTTACTGTGACGTTCTATCGAAAAATGCTTTCCACAAAAGTTGTAGGTCTAGTGAAAATCTACAAATTTTATAAATAACACGTTTTACAATAACCTCAAAGTTTTCGAGATATTTGCAAAAAACTCTGTTTTTAACTTTTTCTTGGTTTTTTATTTTTAATTTCTAGAATAATCTTTTGATTTTAATGAAACAAAAGGAATATAACCTTCGAAATACATTTAATAAATAAAAAAAAGTTTGAAATTTAAACGCTTAGCCATTTCCGAGAAAAGTATGTTTTATGGTCTCGAGAGGCTAAAAATCACACCCAACTTCAAGTGGACGATTACATTTAAAAAAAAATCGTTCAATTTAAGAAATTGGAGGAATCGATAATTTTTACTTTGTAAACTACATTTTTTTCAATTATCATTGAAGAAGTGTACTTTATTGACCAAATTTTTATGAATTAATTACACCAGTGTATTTTTCGGTAAAAAACGAAAAAATTATGTCCTTAAGTTTTTAATTAGACGCTTATTATTTATACAATGTCGCCGTAAACATTCCAACTTTGCAATTTGACGAGTAGTGAAAAAATAATAAAAGTTAGAATTCACGTAAAGTATACCATTGCTTTAGTATTTTTTTTGCCGTACAATCTTATTATGTTATTATGTTTTTGAATTTATCGATATTTTATTAGTTTTTGATCGGTTTTGGAGTTAAATTTATTGATTTTTCAGAAAAAAATGATTTTAAGGTAATTAATTACACAAAAAAATGTTTTAAAAAAAGATCATTGTAAAAATATGACTTAAATTTATAAAAATACCCTTTAATTTATAATTAATCTATAAATCTATTAAATGCTGATAAATATTGATGATAAAAAAGAAAAGGATCCGTTTTAATTGAAAGTCGAATATCTCAGGAAAAAATCGACGTAAAGAGTAAAATAAAATTGTTATTTTTTTACATTTTTTTATGATTTTTTAGCAAAACTATGACTAAATTTTACTGAAATTTATTTATGAACAAATGTTAGGGATTTATTGTAAGATTTCTAGAATCCTCTAAAGACGGAAACGTATATTTAGTTTTTTTTAAGAATACAGCAATTTCTAAGATTAATATATAATATACATATACAGGGAAAAAGGATCATTTAAGTATGTTTAAAAAAATAGTATGCAACTATCGATAACCTTTAAATTGAAAATTAATCTTAAACTTCGTTTGTGCTCCTTAAAAATATTTACTCTTTCACAACAGTTACCCTAAAATTAACGCCAAAACGTAAAACAGAAAGTACTAGACCGTTGTCCGTACTTGATATATTAAGTAATAAATATGTATTAAATATTACACAACTATGTATGTATATACATATAGCTTAACCTGTTTTGTAAAAGATTTTTATACAACCGGTTTAACTATCAGGCGTCCTTAAATTTTCTTTGTAACTTAGTAAACGAAATTTACTACAACGACAACCAAGTACCTACTGGTACATTGAATAATAAAATACACCTGAATAATAAAAATGCTAATGATACCTACCTATTCACATCAAACATAAAATAATACGAGTGTGCGCGTGTGTGCGTGCGCGTGCGTGCGTGTGAGTGCGTGCGTGTGTGTGTAGATATGTGCTAGGTGCACTTTATGCGATGATATTAAGATTTTTCATTTTTTTTAAAAACATGTTTAGAAAGATGAAATACAATTATTATGACTTAAGTCGCTGTAATATTTGTTATACGTTTTTTCAGATGCGGTATACTGCCGTATTTAACATAAATAGTGATCTGGATCGTGTATGCCTACGTACCTACTGTGGTCGACAAAGTTATGTATGTATGTATGTATGTATTCAGTCAGGTTACGAGTGCTACGAATTACTTTACAATATATTATTATGTGTCAACTTATAAAAAAATTGCGCTGCGCGCTCCGTCAACTTGTATTCATGCGAGACTGTAGAACAGCAAGCGTGCGGCGAGCTCCACGCTCGCCATCCACTCGCTGCCGCGCCAATGATTTACGAAGATTATCGAATTTGTACACAAGTGTACTAGCCTGCGAGCTCGTATTTGACATGTTATTGTTTTGAAAGAGCCAAATGTAGATGACGAAAAAATAAAAATATTCAATCAGTATCCGGTCGCTGTCTGTACATGGGAGATATTAAAATTATTATTGGGATATGGGGGGTTTTATTAACGCAATAGAACCCAAAACAATGATTTTTAGAATATTTGTCTGTTTCTCTGTGCGTTCGTGCGCGCTAATCTCAGAAACGGCACATCCATGATCATAGTTCTGTGCAAAAATCCTATTTTATGACGAGTAATAGTTTCACTTCGAGCTAGATGCTCAAATTCAAATTATGTAGTGCTCTTCTGATGTACTTGAAATATTATATATATATATATATATATATATATATATATATATATATACTACCTATTATTTTTAGCCCAAAATAGCATTGAAATTCTAGTAGCTTCTTTTCATTTTTGCAAAACTGGCGACTTATCCTACCTACGCTTTCCTCGGGTACATGCCTAGGTGCCTACTTATAGCAAATTTGTTACTTCAGGCTATAGTTTATCTAGTCAGTAGTCTATCTATCTGTACTAAACATCGAAATTCGTCTGAATTTAGTATGCAGAAGTTTCAAATATACAAACACACTAGCAATACATTTTTGCATTTCTAATCGATCTAATGTTTGCATTTATGAGAATCGTCTGCCCTTGAAGTACTAAGAAACGTCAGATCTGCGGTATCCATGAGGTTATCCAAATTTATCACTATGCGCCTGAACATGACAATTACTCATTTAAGTAGATAAGCCTTATCAGCATTCGTCTAATATCTTTATTTTACTACAGATTGTTAGATAATCACGGAGTTAACCTCTCTGATCTTTGTATTGAATTTTATGTTAAAAAGCAGTTATTAAAATTTTCGATACTAAGTTTTTTTTAAATATAATTTTTATTATCTGATATCCTGATTTTTCAATTAATATAGCAAAAAGAAGTTTTCACAATTCTCACTTATTTATTTTTAATTTAATAGTATAATTATCACTATATATTATATAATAAAATTCTGCATCGCGTCTGTCTGTCTGTCTGAACGCGATAAACTCAAAAACTACAGAACGGATTTTCATGCGGTTTTCACCAATAGACAGAGTGACTCGCGAGGAAAGTTTATATATATAATTCATTAAGGTTTTGTGTAAATTTGCTGAAATATGACTATGTTGGAGATGTCGAAAAAAATTATGCCGACTGGGAGCTTTATTGGTGTCTTTCGCGTTAATAGAGGTATATGAAAACTCATTATTATTCCTCTTAAAAAGATCTATCAAACTGCAACAACGTTACGTACATAGGGACGCAAGTCCCTAGTTTACACTATGCCAATCCCCTTGAATGATGGTTACAGCATGATTTTACAGTATACTAGCGACTCACCCTCGCTCCGCTCGGGTTCGTCCCTGGGGTGGGGTCTGGGAGGACCACCCTTATCCTTATCACTTAGGGGTATGGAAAACAGATAGTAGCCGATTCTCAGACCTACTGAATACGCATATAAAATTTGGTAAAAATCGGTAAAGCCGTTTCGGAGGAGTACGGTAACAAACATTGTGACATGGAAATTTTATATATAAGATGTATATTACCCAAGGAAACCAGATAAAATGTTCTTATCAGCTACGTCAACTGTTACAATATTCATCAATTCCAGTTTAATTTGAGCCTTCACAACACAATGACCGTACATCGGGTAAATTCTCATCATTTTATAAACAATAATTTGTTAATGAGTGTAATATGTGATTAGTGAATATGAAGTAGTGCCCTTTGAAAATTTTCCCAATGGTCTCTATTACTAAAACGGGTTCGATATCTTAATTAATTATAATACATAATGATACTCTATTGCATCAAAATAATTTATTTTATTTTTGTTATTTATATTATTATTTATTGGAAGTGAATTAGGTTGACTTTGTACTATTTGTTTATATATAGGTACTAGCATTGCCCGCGGCTCCGCCCGCGTTCAGGTGACTAAAAACCAAATTCTTAAGTTTTATATAGGTATTACTATTATCTTACATTGCAGTTTTTGTATTTTTTCTCAGAAATGAGACATTTTCCCGCGGTAAAAAGTATCCTATATGTTGACCCGGATAACAAGATATCACCATATCAAACTTCATCAAAATCCCTCCAGTGATTTTCTGTGATGCGGTAACAGACAGACAGACAGATAAAAATTCTAAAACCTATAGATTCAGCCTCTGTATCGATAATAATGATTATTTCAATAAGATTTTCCAAAAAATATTTATAGTACAGATTCGGCTTAGTTACAATTTTATTATATGTATAGATATTATTTGTTTTTCTTTAATTGAAACAATAGTATACTCTTATACTTTTTATAAAAAACCATATAGTATTATATATAGTCTTACCCTAAATATTGTTACAAAGAAAAAAAAGTTTTATCTATTGCACGTAAAATTTATTACTATTACAGTGTGTTCGTTTAATACATTAATATAAAAGCATTAAAATATATAAAGTTTATTCGAAGTGGTCTTCATTGGCTGCAATACAGTCCTTTAAACGTTGAGGCCAGTTATCAATAGAAGCATGCACTCTTATGGGAAAATTCTTCTTCACTGCCAATCGTATAGATTGTTTTAGGGACTCCAAATTATCATGGCATTTAGAACAAGCCATACTCTCTAAAACTGACCATAAATCATAATCCAACGAATTAATATTGGGACTAGATATCGGCCAGTCTTCAGCTTTGATGAAGTCCGGAACGTGGGTTTCTAACCAAGATTGCGTGGATCGAGCTTTATGACCCGGCGCCGAGTCTTGCTGATAGGACCATTCTTGGTTATTGAACATGTTGTTGTTATGGGGATTAACTACCTTCTCAAGAATGGTATCTTGATACACTTGTGCCGACGTTTTAAAACCTTTTTCCCAAAAATATGGCTCAGTCACTCCTTTTTTATAATACTTTATTGCACACGAAAATGGTACATTTACAAAGAAAAATACAATTAAAGAGATGTGCAAAGGCGGCCTTATCACTAAAAGTAATCTCTAACAGGCAACCGATAGAAAACGATACAATAAAATAAGTGAGCAAAGCGGAAAGGTGCAAAAGTGCAAATCATAAAAACTTAATATAAATAAACATAGATAAAATTTTACCTATATATACTAATTTAAATAAACATTCGTATATTTATATAAGCTAATAATTTTCCTAATATTTTTTTTATTTTACAAATAACGGACAACAGATAAAAATCATATTATAATAATATTTACCTATTAGCTCAATTTATAATAAGATACAACTTTAAAGTCTTTGATCACGTCACAACTAGTGTTACGCAAATAGTACACCTGTACCCTACTGTATATTAAATAAAATAGATACATAGTAATATTACGTTTTCAATTATCTATAAGTACATATAATAAAATTGTAACCAAGCCGAATCTGTACATTAAATATTTTCTGGAAAATCTTATTGAAATAGACATTATTATCGACATAGAGGCAGAATCTATAGTTTTTAGAATTTTTGTCTGTCTGTTACCGCATCACGGATAAACCAATGGAGGGATTTTCATGAAATTTGGTATGGTCATAGCTGGTTATCCGGGTCAACATATAGAATACTTCTTACCGCGGGAAAATATCTCATTTCTGAGAAAAAGTACGAAAACTGCATTGTAAGAGTATACTATTATGTAAAACCTAAGAATTTGGTTTTTGGTCATCTAAACGCGGACGGAGCCGCGGGAAATGCTAGTTAAAAATATAAACAAACATCTCTAAAAATACTGCAATAAGGCGCGGTAACGTGAAGGTTGAAACGGTAAAGTCACAGACAAAAGTAAACAATTTAGATAATGCGTTTCCTTTTCGCCATCAATTATTTTGTTTTATTTTCGAACTATTTTCTTCGGGCAGTCTTTTTTCATCACTCAAACACAATTTTTCCTATCGGAATGTTATAACGTGGGATTTTTTTGACTACTAATCACCAAACTAATCACCAAAATGAGTATTGAAGGTGCCAAAAATATCATATACCCTGAATATCTCATCCCATATGGGATTTCATTAAACATGATTTACATAAAATGTACCTATATAAAATTTAAATTTTATAAAAATTTAAGAGAGTTATTTTTTTTTTAATTACTTTTTTAACCTTGACAAATTGTTTTATAAAGATAATGTTTGTTTCAGGGGGCTGGTTATTTAAAACGGGCCGACACAGACCGACTTTATGAAATTTTCTTAAAATATGCTACGGTAGAAAAAAATGGCGAAAAACACATCACTAGTGAAGATTTCGTCCGAAAGTTTCTTGGTTTGTTTGATGAAGGTAAGTGACAATTTAATTAAAAAATGAAATAATTAAAACTAAAATATTACTACTATTTATAATAATACATATTATATAGGTTCTTTTATAAAGAGACTCTTTCAAGAAAACTTAATTTGGAATAATTCATATAGGCCCACCATGTATTTGATGAAATTATAAGATAGCTTACATCATAGTAGAAATATAATGAGATTCTTAAATAAAATATCCAATTTATTATTTAATTTTATTACCATAACGTAATACGATGCTTAAGTAAAAATCACAATGTGGGCTGTGGCCAAAAGTACGAGACGTTTTTTTCTATCTTATTCTTCAGAAATAATTTTACGTGGTATTTTGTAAACATAGATTACGATAAAGTATTATAAAACACACTAAGGTTAGATTGTAAGATAAAGTCTTTATCTGCTATATATTAACTATCTGTGAAAGAACAGCGATGTAGCGTAAGACACTAAAATATAGAATCAAATTAAATCTCACTGGGGTTTAAGCTCGAGTTCCGAGTGTCGCACCTCTGATATTTTCATGTGCTAATCATTTTAACATAATTACCATTAGACTTGCGGTGAAGGAGAATAACGTGAGGGTCATGTATGTCTGAAAGTACCTACCTAACTAGTTTTCAAAAAACTTAAGTCCACCAACCCGCACTTGGCCAGCGTCCTGGACTAAGATCTTGATCTCCCTCGCATTGAAGGAAGACCTGTGCCCGTTAAAAAGGGTTAAATGAATTATTAAATATTTATGCTGTAGATCTGTGATGAAGATACCACCTCCTCGGAATCCCTTCTGCTCTTTTTTAAAAAAATATATAGCGATTTCATAATATTGGTGTATGAAAAAATTGAAAATAAAATAAATTTCCAGATGACTACAACAAGGAATCGGTTAAGCTCATCGCTGGCATCGTCGATATGGACAAGGATGGGTTCATCTCGTTCTCAGAGTTTCAAGCTTTCGAGGGGCTCCTGTGCGTCCCGGATGCGCTGTACAAAACCGCCTTCCAACTATTTGACACTAATGGCAATGGACTCGTTGCGTTTGGTAAGTAATGAATAAATATAAATATTATATTGGAACAATAACACAGCTACGAGGCTACAGTAAGCTACGAGGTCTGTGTTAAGGATACCAGATAGTTGTCACACTACACATATATAGCTTTAAATACATATATATTATAAATATAAACACCCACGACTGGTGTACCAACATTCGTGCTCATCACACAAATGAATGCCCCCAGCGCGACTCGAACCCGCGACCGCTGGCACAGCAAGTAGGGTCACTACAAACTAAGCTAAACTTGTCGTTAAAATATTACGTTTTATAATATTTCCTACCAATCCGAATGTATTTAGTCATTACATTAAATTCATTACTCTAAATTCATAGCTCCATTTTTATTACGGTAGAGAAAGACAAGAAACTATTCAGTGATATAAAAGTTCTTTGTTTTTCGTTTTGTTGTTTTAACTAAATTATATTTATTTACAGATTTTAATAATAACAGTTTATAGTAATTACTAATAATTAATTTTTTTTTTGTTATTGTTATGCATTTTTAACGTTGCCAAATGTGTTTACGCCTACCACCTGCATACGTACGAGTGGTTATGTGAGACTCACCGCTTAGAAAAACAAAAGCAAAGAAATGGGCCCATAACATATGAATGACAGCATCAACCAGACAAATATTCTTTTAATCCATATAACACACTAAACTAATAATGACTCGCCCTCACTTCGCTCGGGTTCCCTCCTCGTACATACGTTCTAACGGTTAGTATGGAATAGATAAACTTTTAATTATGTATACTATATGATATTACTAGCGGACCCGACAGACGTTGTCCTGTCTACACGTCTTTAATTTGAAAATTCAAACTTTTTTTAATAATTTTTTTGATGAAAATTATTATTCAAATTGTGAATCTAAACCATTCCCAGATCCCCTTGAACACACACAAAAAATTTCATCAAAATCGGTCCAGTCGTTTGAGAGAAGTTCAGTGACATACACACTCACAGAAGAATTATATATATAAAGATATAGCCTTTCTCAATAAACAGATTATCTAATGCAAATAATTTATCAAATGGGATTAGTAGTTACTGAATTAGTGCGTTCAGACTAACAAACAAACAAACTCTGCCTCTTTATAATATTAGTACAGAGTATAGATTAAATAATGGCTTAACAATATCTATATGCAAATTTTAATTAATATAATGAGTTCATTGACTCAATAGGATCGATCGACATTAGTACAATAACACGTGACATGGAGTATTAATAAATTGAATGTGTAACAAATGTTTCACTATGATATTATTTCGAGAGATAAGTGTAGTGGTAGCTTACGTGACATTGTTAATAGTGTATGTGGTCGCAGGTTCGATTACACCCCGAACCACCACCATTAAATATATTTTAAAAACATTTATATAGAAGAAGATTTTATTCTATTTGAATCTATTCCTAGCATCCCTATCAATTTAAAATGCGAATTGGAATTTTATTATATCACCATCAATAAAAAAAGTACTAGATATTAAATCCGTGATAAAAAATGGCCTCACCGAATGAGCGCTCACGTGAACATTAGAGCGCGTTTATAATTTGGTGAAAACAACTTTAAGTGTTGCATTTAAGGTTCAATTTACATTTATTTCAACTAGAATAATTACCTAAACACAATTGGTGACAGATTTAAGAGAACTTTTGTATGGGATTGTGTATCTAGTAGGTACTTTTATGATCGATGTTACATATCAATAAATACAATCATTGCTGATGATTACAATACTGCTTATATCTGGCTAAAGTATATCGTAATCGGTTAAAAGTGGTTCCGAGTTTTGATACGATTATTATGAATTGAAATTTATGATCTGAAGGCACTTTACAACCAAATTTTATTTATGTGTCAGATGATAAATCTTTGGTCGTGTCAAAACATTTAAATTTTTAAGTAGTACAATTTTTAAGAATGCACCTACCTAATATCATAATGAAGTTATTTCACAGGATACAGGTACACGACACACTAAGTTCCTACCTACTTACCTGTCTTTACGCCGAAAGTTACATGTTCGATTCTCGTATTGGACAAAATTGGAATTGATCATTATATACATGTATGTTTGCCATCTTATATATGTATATAGATCAATGATATCTAAATTCTCTCACTATACTTATACAGGAAAGCAAAAAACGGTACATTTATAAGTAATAGATGTCTAGAATATTTATGCAATACGATTTTAGGTTTTTTTCTGTATACCTAACTGGTGTTATTGCTTTGCTCTTGAGATCGACCAATTGCAGTCATTTTGCAATTACTGCATCAAAATTGAAGACTCAAGAGTCTAGTGCCGTAATTTTGATGCTACTACGGTAATACTGCCTATTGTAGCCGTTGAATCTTCATGTAACCACCTGTTATACCTACAGGCTTGTTATGACGAAATCAAATCAAAATAAACTTTATTCAAAACTTATTTTTAAAAGAGCTTTCGAGTGTGGAGGTCATATCTACTACGGATTACAATTTATTCGTGTACACTTTCATTTTCACTTTACTTTCTGATACACAAGTGATTGATTGTTCATTACAAACTAGATACAGTCTAAAATTAACTAGATTCATACTGAATAAATGGCGCTCGTCCAAAATATCGCAGGTGTTTAGATATATAGAAGCCAACTCAGGTCAAAGTTGCTGTTTAATAGTACATTCTAAACATAATTAATCCTTATATATATAATTCTTCTGTGAGTGTGTATGTCACTGAACTTCTCTCAAACGACTGGACCGATTTTGATGAAATTTTTTGTGTGTGTTCAAGGGGATCTGGGAATGGTTTAGATTCACAATTTGAATAATAATTTTCATCAAAATGGTCCAGAATGTTTTAGCTTATTAAAAAAAGTTTGAAATTTTCAAATTAAAGACGTGTAGACAGGACAACGTCTGTCGGGTCCGCTAGTATATTATAATGCTCTCCCAACCAATTTCGGCTACGGCGACCAAACCACACTATTAGCGAATGCACTTTCTATGCCTTTTCTTATTCGATGGGACGAGAACTTGACAGGATCTTTAAAAGATAAAAACTTTTTACATTTTACATTTTAGTGCCTGGAAGTCGGTTTTTATTTTTTGTTAAATTGTTTTTTTTTTCCATTTTTAGTGTAGACGTAATAAGCAGGTAATTTGTAAGAAGAAAGTTTTTTAATAACATATTCGATTAAGCAATTTATTTAAAAAAATATATTTATTGTTGATTTTTTTAAAAACCGCTCTACCGATTTCGATAAAATTTATATGGGACCACCTGGGAAGTATACCCTTTGAAACAAAAAAAATATTTCCAAATCGGTTCAGGCGTCTTCGAGAAATCGGTGAACATACATAAAAAAAAGATTCCGACCAATTGATAACCTCCTCCTTTTTGGAAGTCGGTTAATAGGTATCTCTACTCTATTACTAGGCGTATGACCGAGAGCTTAACGTACCTACTCCATGAAGGACGGGGATATACCTGTACACACCGCCAACTTCCCAATTCCAGGCAGTTGCCGAGTAGTTCATGACAGAAAAGTCTAGTAACTATTGTCGCCTGACCTAGGATTCGAACCCAGGACCTTAGTAGACCAACGGTACGGTCAGTTATTATCATAGTATACATATCATTTATAAAAAACTGTTAATTTTCTAAAACATGTGATGATTTTCGTAATTTATTTTATAATTATTATCACTCAAAAATCATCTTCGCTCTCAATTAATTAAATAGAACATACGTACAGTAGGTAGGTAAACAATATAACTAGTATAATAACAATGAATAACGCGAACATTTGACATTTAAAAAAAAGTATCTCTTCTAAGATACGAAGTAAGCTCGACCTTCAGCCATCTGCCTACCGGATGAAAATTATATTTTATCAAATGAAATATGTTGCTGGACATATACCAATAGGCATGTCATTAAAAATATGTTCATTATTATTAATTAAAAATATTATATATGTTTTTTTAATTTCACCGACTTGCTTGCTAGTACTCACCGTAACATCTCTATGTGGTTTGTGATGTAGCTCCAATAATCTCTGAGTAATAATTACTATGACAAATGGATGATGGATAGAAATTATAAAGATTTTGTTTTTGCCTTTTGAGCTATAACCGTAATGAAAATTGTCTAGGGGCGGCATTTCCTAAATTTGCACCATATTGACAAAATCTACCGCATGGGCATAACTAAAATAATTTAATTTTATGTTTTTTTAAGCTATTGCATAGCTTCTATCGCGGGCCTTGAGCGTGGGGACTGAATCCAGAAATTCCGTAACGAAAAAAACCTGACACCCCCCACTCTGGCCGGCACAGCGGTGATACATCCATCTATCGATAAATACCAGAACTTTTAATGACTTTTTGAAATATCACGCTTGTCTCCTTAGTTCAGCAACCCGCCTTTAGGTGGCATTGGTTCTATTGGAAAACTACCGTAATCAGCTGTTTGTGAGAAAGTATATAGGTGTATAGGTATTTATCATCTATGTACAGTGAATATCTGTACTCGTATAATTTGTGTACAAAGTGTTTTAAATATGAATAAACAAAGTGCATTTATTAATGAAGAAAGTCAAGAAAAAAATACAGCATTAATAAAATAAATAAATAATTATAATTGCATAAGTTGATAAAAAATGCTATGCAATAGCTTTACCGCGGCAGTCTCCGAGTGCCACACGTCTTTTTTTTACTATTATATATGTTATATCCTTAGTAGGTACATGGACATATAGTTAAATTGAAATCAGTAGTCCCAATGCGTAACAACGAATTTTTTTTTCAGATGAATTCGCCGAAGTCATGCGTAAAACGGCACTACACAAGAAACTGCCATTCAACATGGAGAGTACCTTCGTCCGACTGTACTTTGGAAAGGTAAAAAAAAAATGTTTTATAGTTTATACATTATTATCTGTCGTGGATTTTTTTAATGCTCTATATATATTATTTAAACGATATAACTAAAAAAAGTTTTTTACATGCCGACTTTCTCTGTATAAGATTTTTATTTCATTCGGTTATAGATTTCATTAAGGCATGAAAATGCCGAAACGTACGAAAATATTTTCATGAATGAAAATAATGGTATAAATCTATACAACTTAAGTACATACCTACATTTATTAAAAAAAAAAAAAATATTTTTATATATTCAATAGTAATCCACTGAAGCACATCTTTTACTTTTATCTCGTACAAAGTAAATATTTTTTAATATAATAACTACTTAATTACTATATAAGTACTTCATCGATGAACTAGTTTTTGTCGTAGTATATTTCTATTATCTATTTTAAACTAGACCAAAGCTTGGTTAGCGATTTTTGTTAGGTATTATTTAATGTTTCGTAATTATAAACATGCCTAAATTTACAATTAAAATTATTATAGTACTGATGGTTAATTAAAGTATCTACGCAACATTTTTCTTTTAGCTTTTAATAAATAAAAAAAGTGCATTTGTGTGCAATTCACACATGGTACCTAGAAATGAAACTTAATATTATATATTTGTCAGACAATAACAACTGTTACCATGGCAACATGGCAATGTATTCTTTTATCTCATTCTCTCGCCGGCTTAATCCTATATATTGATGTGTTTGTCTCTTTTTAGTGTCGCATTTCCGTTTCATCGAGTTTCAAATCACAACGATTCTAAAGAAGCTTCACTTCCAAAATAACTTACCTTTTCTATTTATAGGATAAGAAACGTTTAGTAACATATCCAGAATTCAGTCAATTCTTACATGACTTTCACGAAGAATACGGTGTAGAAGCCTTCAAGAAGTGCGACAAAGATTGCACAGGCTTTATCAGTGCTGGTGACTTTAGAGACATCATGCTCAGTGTCAAGAACCACCTTCTCACTAAGGACTTGAAGACTAAGGTTATTAATGTAAGTATATAGATGATCCAAAAAATTATTTTTGTCGACAAGTGCTAGTTTTATTCTCTTTGATTAATCGGACAAAATATGATGATATTTTATACACTCTTTTGATTTTTGGTTTCTGACATTTCGAATACTTTACAGCAATCTTGGTTTCTGCAGGGACTCTTAGAGTATTATTTAAAATGTCAAATATTCGCTTAAATCTAAGAAAGTATTAAGTAAATATAACAGATATATTTTACAATTAAAGTTTATTTGTTTGCAAGCTAACATTTCGAGTTACATCTGAGCTAGATTTGTCAATAAGAACATTCCCCCAAGGAACTCCATGCGGCCCCTACATCCTTCATTATTACTGAATGCCGAAACCGCTACATATTACTAACTATACTCTTATCTATACGTATACCTAATAAAACTGTAGAGGTACAATGTCTGTACATAGAAAAAAAAATGCTTAACCTCGTCAGAGGGATGTAAGAAGAAAAATAGAACAAATCAGATTTTTTTATAATAAATGTTTCTCTGTCTGTTTGTCATCCCGGAAAATTAAAAAGTTCCCGTGGCATAGTTAAAAAACTATAGTAACTTATACAGCTTAGTACACAAAAACTACTGATTGGATTTGAATTAAACTTTACAATAATATAATTCATACATCAGAATAACAAATAAACTACTTTTTATTCCGGAAAGATGTACGGTTTCCCTGAAATAGGTTTGATTTTTTTCGCTTGTGTAGCGTGTGTTTGCGTTTTGTTCGCTAGTTTAAACATATTATTGTAAAAAATAAACAGTTTTGAATACCAAACGAATCTATATATATACATATAATAAAAGTGTAACTGATCGCTGTCTGTACATGGAAGATATTTAAGAAAAACTACTATTTGGGGTCTTTATTAACGCAATAAAACCTAAAACAATGCTTTTTAGATTTTCTGTCTGTTTGTCTGTGCTTTTGTGCACGCTAATTTCATAAACGGTTTAACCGATTTGGGTGCGGTTTTCACTATGTGGATCAAAATGACAGCATTTCAGGTTAATATTTTTCATTTTTCATTTGTAAAAGTATGTAGTAATAGTGTTGCTTAGTAGTTTGTTTTTAAATAGTAGCAAAATAAATTAAAATTATTATTCTTAATTAATTTTAACTTTTTAAATTACACATAGAACAATTATGTGACTTAAATTATTAATGTTATATTTATTTTTTTCTTTATGGTTATAAATATAATAATGGCAACCTTTGAGACATGTAACACCTCAGTCTCTCCAGTGACCATGATATCTGTAAAGCATTCGAAACATCGGGAACCAAAAATCCAAATAAATCCGCGAAAAATCCTAAAAGATAGTTTTATTTTATTTTAAATGTCAAATATTCGCGTAAATCTAAGAAAGTATTAGTTAACATGTTCAATATTTTAAATGTATTTCCAGGCCTCTGGGTTCCCCCAAGGCGAAAGAAAGATCAGTTTCCCATACTATATGGCCTTTAATTCCCTACTAAACAACATGGAACTGATCAAACGTGTATACCTCAACGCGAGTAACGGCCACCGTACGCAAGAGGTGACGAAGGAAGAGTTCCTCCATTCTGCGCAGATGATGAGTCAGATCACTCCCTTGGAGGTGGATATTCTGTTCACCCTCTGCGATATGATTCATCAGACGAACGGGTGAGTACCGTAGTAGTATTTAAGTAATAACATACATATTATACACACGCACACAAACAAACAACATACACACTAGGGTGTGCAAAAAACTTTTTTTCTTTAGTTACCATGAAAATATCGTCCAAGATGAAGAAAAAAAATTCTGGTAAAGTTTGAGCTCTAAAAAAATCAGGTTAGGTTACGGTTCCGTACCTCAAAAGGTAAAAAAAGGACACTTATAAGGTCACTCTCTTGTCCGTCTGTCCGTCCGTATGTCACCACCGGTTTTCTCAAGAACGAGTTGACCTAGCAAGTTGAAAATTATAACAGATACTGAGAGCTATAGTAACTATTAGGTGTATAAATATCAAGGTCCTGAGTCAACACGATAAAGAGATAATATGGGTAAATTTAGGTTTTCGTAAACTTGTAAGTACCAAAATTTATCTTAATTTTCAACTATATTTTTTTTTCGAAATTTTCTCTTTACTTGTGTTGTAAGGACCTAGCTTTTAAACAAAATTGACTGTTCTAGGTCAACCGGAAGTACCCTGTATGTTTTGGGACGAAAGCCTATATTATAGTTGCCGTTGACCCAATATCACGAAATTTAGCAAAAAGCAAAGTCTTCAGCACATATAAAGGAGAAATTCCAAAAAATAAAAAAGTTGAAAATTAATGTTAAACAGATTTCTTACAAGTTTATACGGAACCCTCTGTGGGTGAGTCTAACTCACACTTGTCCGTAATTTTTTGAAACAAACTAAGTGTATAACAGCGTTAAAACTTCCATATAGAAACATATACATACATAATACATATATACATCTAAAATAGTTACTGGTTGTATGTTGCAAATTATATAAATTCCTATACGTACGATAATTATTGTATGAACATATTATGTAGGTAGGTACTATGATAGAAATCTTAGCAAACGTGTACACTATAATTTAACAATATTATATCATAATCAGCTGGATAGAATATGTATAGATGTGATAAACAATACATACATTCATTTGTCTAGACTAACTTATGCCAGCGAGCTGCAGTGACAGGAGCTTTACGTCACGTATATAAAACATTGTAAGTTATTGTTAGTACTGATATTTAAAAATATAATTTAATTTTTCATATTATATTTAAAGTCCGAAACAGCGAAGCAATAGGTACTGAGTTACAATGTTATTACTGGCTAACGACTTTTCTATAAAAAAAGTCTAAAATTAAGGTTTTTCAGAAAAAAAAACTAAATGACTACCTTACCATATTCCGTCCCTCTATTTTGACGTAAACTAATGTACAAACAAACACTCTACCACATATATAAATTTGTATAAATTAATATAGATATACGTTACGATACGTTTTAACGTTTATTTCTCAGAGATGAGATATTTTCCCGCAGTAAAAAGTATCCTATATGTTGACCCGAATAACCAGATATCATCATACCAAATTTCATCAAAATCTGTCCACTGGTTTTTCCGTGATGCGGTCACAGACAGACAGATAAAAATTCTAAAAACTATAGATTCGGCCTCTGTATCGATATTAATGTCTATTTCAATAAGATTTTCCAAAAAAATATTTAATGTACCGATTCGGTTCTGTTTAAATTTAATATTGTAAAAGCAATAAGTTATAAAAACTGAGTCAAACTAAATATATAATTGGGTAAAAAATTCCCTAAAGACCAAATTATTTCAGTTTGTCATATTATCCAACAAAACTGACTTTAGTCAGTAATAACCTTAAAAAGCCATGACATTTATCATAGTACGTTTTAAATAGATATAAATAGTTATTAGCCAGCGTTAGCCATATAATTTTTTTTTTATTAATAATATTGACAAATATTGACATTAATATTTATACGATACTAACGTCACTCAATTATTTTTCCTTCTCGGAACCTCTCCACTAACACTTAAACTTTATGGTATAGTATTAAAGTTCAAATCGACTTTTAAGTATTATTACGAATCTTTTGTATGGGAGTATAGAAAAGTGTTGTTTTTAGACTTTTTCATGCAATTTTTTAAAATTTTCTCTCCGTAAGAACCGTCCTCGTACTTCAAGGAATATTCTAAAAAAATAATTAGCGAAATCGGTTCAGCTGCTCTTGAGATTTGCGCTTAGCAACATATTCAGCGATTCATTTTTATATTATAGATTTTAAACGCAATGTTTTATTGGTACTGGATCGATATGGGTAAAGGGATTTCGACCTGATAAATAATAAAGCAAATTATCCCAAAATCCCAAAATGTCCAAATAACTCATTTATCTGATATCAGTCGTAAACGTTTAGCTCATCTGTTAATGGTCTGAAATAATAATGAACTAGTGAGTCACCGTCGCTTCGCTCGGGGTCGCATCACGCATCGTGGTCAAGCGACCAAGGCGCAAGATTGACAATCACAGGTGCCCGGTTCGAAACCCGACTGGATACAAAGTTTTTACTTTTGTTTTTTTTTTATATTTATTGAAGTTTTTAGTTTTTTTTTATGGCACACGCTACAATCTTCGTTGATAAAATACAAAATATATTTACATAACATCGAAGCGTTATAGAATAATTTATTTACGAAAAATATTATACACTAGCTGTGCCCCGCGGTTTCACCCGCGTTAAACAATATTGTTCCTATGATGATATGTACATAACCTTTCTCAATAAACGGACTATCTAATGCAAAAAGAATTTTTAAAATCGGATTAGAAGTTCTTAGGATTAGCATGTTCAAACAAACAAATTCTGCCTCTCTATAATATTAGTATAGATATGTATGTATGTATGTGTGTTTATCACTCCGTCACATTTAAATACCTGTTTGAGCTGGACGGGTTTGGATGAAATTCAGTACATAGACTATGTTGGCACCTAGGAACGCATCTGAGCAAAGCAAAGTCGCTAGTAAAAATTATATAAAAATAAAATATTTTTAAAGTTTTTTTTTTATTAATAGACTAGAAAAAGAATCATGTAACAATATCTTATCGAATTTTGTTCATAGAGTGCCAGAATCTCTGTTTAATAAAAATATCGTACTCTTTTGGCCATACCCGGGACTCGAACCCGCTTTAAAGTTGCTCAGGCGTAATAAACCATTAAACCAATAAGGCAAATTCGTACAATATATTCAAAGTAATAATATTTATTTTTACAACGAGTAATAAACAAATAAGCTCATCGTATCTTTTTATTATTGAAATAATATCATCCAACCAGAAACAGCAGAGGTTGCTTACCAAAACCATCAATCCGGGTTCGATACCTGTTTGAGAAAAGTTTGTTAATTTTGCTTAGGAACGTTAATCTTATCTGGTGAAATATACAAGATCTATACAAACGTGATGTTTTCCTTCACCGTAAGGTAATGATGACTATGGATAGTTTGTGTGAACGAATGCGAGTAAAGGTGTGTACTAATAAATATATAACAACATTGTAAGATAATAGTTTTCGTCTTAGTCTTTCACTTTATTTATTTATAACTAATCACTTTTGAACTACAAGAAAAGTATAAGTAATGTGATGTCAATAATAGTAACAGGTTCGATATAACTGAAAAACCATTTTTTTTTCAATTACATGTTCAAAATGACATTAAAACAAAATTGGTTTTAAATCTAAATCCATACTCAAACTAATCAATCATATTTCTTTCCAAAAATAGGCAAAATTCGCAGATGAGAACGGCTACAACCATCCCCTGACTCTGCTCGCGGCGGGAGCTATAGCGGGCGTGCCGGCCGCCTCGCTCGTCACGCCCGCTGACGTCATCAAGACACGCCTACAGGTATTTATTGAGTTCTAGAATTTTCTACATACATCTATATTAATATTATGAAGAGATAAAGTTTGTGAGTTTGTGACGTTGTAACGGGTAATCTCTGGATCTACTGAACTGACTTAGATCAAATTTGTTAAGAAAATAATTTGAGACCCTGGGGAGGACATAGGATACTTTTTATCCCGAAATATCCCTTAAGAGGGTAAAAATGGGGATAAAAATTTGTATTGGGAAGCAAACTAGGGACAAATCCATCCGAAGCGAGTGTAAGTCGTAAGTAACATATGTCCATGCTTATAATGTTGGCCAATCTCGGCACCACACCCACATCTACTAAATAATAATATATACTAACTAGCATTGCCAGCGACTCCGCCCGCGTTCAGATGACCAAAAACCAAATTCTTAGGTTTTACAGATTAGTATACTCTTACATTGCAGTTTTTGTATTATTTCTCAGAAATGAGACATTTTCCCGCGGTAGAAAGTGTTATATGTTGACCCGGATAACCAGATATCACCATACTAAATTTCATCAAAATCCCTTCAGTGGTTTTTCTGTGCTGCGGTAACAGACAGACAGACTACTCTTTTGTTTATTGTTAAAGTCTGTGGTCAAATTGAGATTTATGTATAATTTAATAGCTATTGACGAGTTTTAGTTTTATAAATAAATAAAAACAATAACAATCATAGTCGAAGTTCCACCACTTGGCGAACTCTAGTAATAATAAAAATTCCCATTTACATTCCAGGTAGTAGCTCGATCAGGTCAAACGACATACAATGGTGTGATCGACGCTACCAGGAAGATATACGCCGAAGAAGGTGCTAGAGCTTTCTGGAAGGGGGCTATAGGTACGGTTTGATGTTATTTCAATACAATATTTCCATAAAAAATATATTTAAAAATATAGTCATAGAAGAATTATCTATAGTAATACTATAAAGAGGTAAAGTTTGTAAGTTTGTGACGTTGTAGGGAGTAATCTCTGGATCTACTGAACCGATTTAGATGACATTTGGTAAGAAGATAGTTTGAGACACTGGGAAGGACATAGGATACCTTTTATCCCGGAAATCCCTTAAGGGTGTAAAAATGGGGATGAGGGTGAGTTGCTAGTATTATATATATATATATATATATATATATATATATATATATTTATATATATATATTGTTGTCGCCAGCCCGTGTGTTCCGCTCGTCGCCACAGTTCGCGGTGACACTCGTGACGTACGAAATTCTTCAGCGCCTCTTCTATGTGGACTTTGGAGGATCGTGAGTATTTGTTTGTTTTTACATATATTAAAATATAATTTATTTATACTATTTTTAATTAATACCTATGTATAATTCTTCTGTACGTGTGTTTGTCAAATAACTCCTAAACGGCTCGACCGATTTGGAAGATTTTTTTGTATATATTTCAATGGGTTCCTGGATGGTTCGAAAACATAATTGGACTCGGTAGGTGGCACTGCAGTCGGTGTGTCACCAAATTTTCATGTAAGACTATTTTTCGTGCAATAAGTTACAAAATTGATCAAAAAACTCTCAAAATTTGCCAGGAAGCTTCTTATGAGAGGTACTAAAAATACCAAAATATTAATAAAATTAAAAATACAAAATTTTGAAACCGTCCGATTTAGCGTGGAATGCTCCTTATAGATTATTATATTTTCTGTTTTCTAACCACAGACGACCAGCGGGTTCAGAGCAGACCATATCGACGCCGATAGAGGAGTCAGCACCGAAGCCGCACCACATCGGCGGCTACCAGGTAGCGGCGCCCGTGCTCACCGGCCTCGAGACCAAGTTCGGTATATCTCTACCGAGATTCTCCTTCAAACAGTGACCTGGTATGTACTGTATTATGTACACTTCACTATATTGTATAAAACAAAGTCGCTTCCCGCTGTCTGTCCGTCCCTATGTATGCTTAGATCTTTAAAACTACGTAACGGATTTTAATGCGGTTTCTTTTAATAGACAGAGTGATTCAAGAGGAAGGTTTTATATGTATAATACATGTATATTATAGTACAGAAAAGCCGAGAAATTCAAAGATTTGTATATCATACTAACCGTTACAACATACCTATATATACCAATAAATAAATATGTTGGGACATTAACACACCGCACCAACTAGTTCCATTGTAAGCTACGTGGCTTGTGTTATGCATACCAGATAGTTGATACACTACACATATATTTTTAACTTTTACTTTAAATGTATACATTATTATTATAAATATAAACACCCATGACTGGGAAGAAAGATTTGTGATCATCATACAAATGAATGGCCCCAGAGGGACTCGAATCCGTGACCGCTGGCACAATAAGTAGGGTCACTACAGACTGAGCCAAACGTTTATGCTACACATAAAAAAATATACCCCATAGGTCAAATAATTAAAAAAAATAGGTTCCTTTGAAGTCTTTTACTTTATTTTTAACTAAAAATATATTAATTTTTAACATTAATTTAATATACACATATAAAAATATAGTATGTGACAGCAACCTAATTTTAAAACCTTATTTTTTGTCTTGTTTCCAGATGACCTGCAAGGCTACAGTCGTGTCCAATAACAAATATAGTTGAATGATTTCAATCAATATATAGAGCAATTATTTATACTGCCCGAGCGAGAGTTGCTTTAAATTTATTTGTTAAGAAATGTCTATATGTTAGTCAATATCGAGTGATTTGAATACGATAAGAGAATATTTTTCGCACTGCAGTAGCTTTTTATGAAGAAGCAATGCTTCTCAAACTTGATGTATACGGGAACGTAGATTTTGTACGGAAATTAATGTGACAATTGGTGCGTTAATAAAATTGACGTATTTGAAAATTGATATTGAACAAAATAATGTTAAAATAATATTTAGATATTTTTAGGGAATATTAAATTTTGCTCTATATCAAGTTTGAGAATCGCTGGCATATACAAAATAATTGGAGTCCAGAGCTTATTTGCTATGATACCAATGAAAATATTATTATATATTAAATTTAATGTCATTTTCTTAAGAAATAATAAAACGCGTCTGCTATATCTTAACTACGTGTTTCAAACCAATCAATCGCCAATTAAGCTATCTCCAGGCATCGAACCTACGAATAAATTAAATTTACCAACCAAAGCTTACAACCACGCAGTTACATGCTCTGCACATTTTATAATAAAAAAAAAAAAAACAAAAAAATTGAAATTTCGAAAAATGTCCATATTTTGTAAGACGAATAGAAAATTGTGACGTCATCAAATGACGTCAGTCTGCCTTACTATACATGATAAGTATGTCATTATTATGACGTCATTGATAACGTGACATAATCAAAATATTGGTGTCATTCATCATAATGGCGTCGTCGATGACGTCACTCGGCCATAATATTCACGTTAAGAATGTTATTGAATGACGTGACTGCGTCAAAATATTCGTTGTCATTTACGGTGACGTCATCAAATGACGTCACGTGACCAAATCAATGGTGTCATAGCAAAAAACAGTAGCTTACTTAATACAATGCAACAATAGTCCGACGCACCTCGCAGCATTTCTACAAAATTTTATATTTTCTAACATTTATCTCACTTTGCTTTTACTTTTAATACGTACGAAATATTTCGCTTTTTCCGCTTTTTAGTCGCATATTATATTTTTGAACGAATTTTATTTATATTTCGCACTTATTCGGATTTTTTCATGTTTTTAAGTTATTCATGCGGTTGTCTTTTCCATTGCTAAAAGATATGTTAGCATGAAAGTATTCACGTGGATTTGTTAAGAAACAAAAATCTTTATTTATAATATTGAAAAAAAAACATGCAAAAGTCTTTCTGAATAAGTGTTATTTTCGTATTATATAATCAAATCAATGAGAATGGCGGAAATTATTTTATTTTTCTATTAATTTTTAATTCTGATTACTTTATATTTTATTTAATATTAAAATCTCGAAATAGATTTACTATTTTCTAAGTAAATCATGGCCTAAAGTGTAAAATTAAGTCGATAAATACATCTCGTGTTAAAAAAAACATGGAAATAAATGGATCATCTTATATATTACTGTTGTTACAATCGAGTGGTTAACGCTTAAAAGAATCGATAGTATCATAAAGTCCAGGGTTCGAATCCCGGATCGGTTCAAAGGGCTTCTTTGGGTTTTTATTATGAAATATCTGATAAAGAAATTGTGAAGTAAATATCAAGGTATATTAATGTGTTTTCTACATTTCATATCGATATTCAATAATTTGCTTTTAAAACCATTTTATTTCAGTAAATGCTAAAATATAGTTTAAACGAAAAGAATTATTGAATGATTAGACATTTTCGAGCGTAAAATATAAAGACCTCGATACTAATTAAACAATATTTGAATTAGTCTTGATTTTGTTATATTTCTTTACTAAAAGTTTCATCAAAATTTATTTTGCCTACGCTATATATACTAATTACACTACGGGACTTAAGCGCGTGAATTTGTTAGTGACTATATACCTTACACTCGACAGGTATAGCGTTTTTTAATCTCAGAGATTAAATTGACACATGCAAATGTCAAATTTACAAATAATGTTGCCAGCTCTTTTGTGCAGTGTTGTACTTACGATACCGGTTTGTTGAATCGTAACTTTTTAACTTTATTAAACGATTCGCTTCAAAGTTTTATTTTCCAAAGTGTATCATTAAAATTCACATTATTAATTCTAAGTCATTAATGCCCGATTTCACCAACGTCACCTAAGTTTAAGGGATCCCCTAAGCATGGTTAGGGGGCTGTTAGGGGACAATTTCTGTTTCACTGACAGTTAATTGTCACCTAAATATTAAAAGGCCCCCTAAATTTAGGTGCTCGAAATATGGGCTTAAAGACGATCGTAAAAAGAAATTTAATTTAGGGGCTAGTTTAGGGGACTTTTAAGCTAGGGATCCCATAGGTAGGTAGCTTGTGGGTTGTTGGTGAAATCGGGCATAAGTCCCCGTACTGTAGTGTAATTATTATATAATTATGGAACGCGAAAATTTAAAAAGTTATTTTGCTTACGCTCTTAAAATTATCTAGTAACAATATTATTTGTTAGTCTAATTGATTGTATTAATAAGCTTCACTTCTTACTAGTTTGGGCACATAAATAAACGAATTTTATACAGAAGAAATAATATTGTTTTATAAGTACATGAGGCAATATTTTTGTGTAGATAGAGCTCAAACGAGATTAATTTAATATTTAGGCTAAAATTTAATAATTATGTCAGACGTGAAATATATGAAAATTGTACATACTCATATAAAAAAAGTATAGATAGGTGTGTATATCATCGATCAAAAAAGTACCTATTAGATACACAATCTCATGCAGCCCTCTTAAAACTGTCACCAATTGTGTTTAGGTAATTATTCTAATTGAAATAAATATACAACAATGTAAATTGAACCTTAAATGCAATGCTTGAAGTTGTTTTTACAAAAAAACTTAAAAGAGCGCTCAAATGTTCAAATGAGTGCTCATTCGTTGAGGACATTTTTTGTCGCTGATTGTGTATCTAGTAATGGTTTGTATCAAAATTTGTGAAAATGAACGTTTTCTTGTTTTATTTCTTAAATTAATTAAAATTTGCATTGAAATACTTATCGAAAAAAGACTTAAAGTTTTCATATCAAAAAATATATATATTTATCAAGTGCCATGTTTTTGCTCCCAACAAACAAATACGAATCAGGGTTGCCACATACATAAAGAAATATATATTTTTAAAGCCAATTTGTTTGGGATTAAAATAATACCAACGTATTGTGATGCTGAGAAATTATAAATACACGTATACGCCGTTCAATGTTGCTAATTAAAACTTTCAATATTTCCGATATCATGCTAAGAGTTAAACGTTTAATTTATAAAAATATTAATATTATGTAAAGTTTTATTTAACAGTCGTCAAATGAATCAATTCAGTATATTTTTTTTCTCGGACTATTAAAAAGTGAGATTTGTTGGTTTGTTTGTATGCAGGGAATAATTTGGTTATTATTAGTTAAATAAACTTTTTCGGATTTTTTCGCGGATTTATTTTAATTTATATGGATTAGAGGTTAAGTCTCTCTCGTGACCAAGTTTTCTGTAAAAAATTTAAAACGTCGAAAACCAAAAACCAAAATAAACCGAAAAAAACCAGTGAAATAAAAAAAAATTGCCAATAAAAAGCCATTCTATTTCTAAATTACATAAGATATTTTTAATAAAATACTAAATATTCATGATATCGGGAGTAAATCTTCTTTTCCAAAGGCACAGATGCACAATATCAGTGATTAAATTCTATATGTATATGTACGTATTTATGGTACGTGTTGTAAAACAACACGGTACAGTATGTAGGCATAGAAACAAGTGATAGGCCGATGTGACTAGGTACTATATTTATTGATATTGTACATTTTTTGTGTTAACAATAAATTAAATAAAAATTTCATATTGTCTTTTATTGTGTACGTAGCCTATATTTTTTTGTGTTCAATTATTGTTAAAAATATCATATAAAAAATCAATTCATTTATTTCGTGGCTTCTAGAAGTGCCAGTTGGGCACAATTTACTTCGCCAATGTCACGTAGAATGGAGAAGACAATATGTATAGTTTTAAAATAATTATTTGATTCTATAAGTTTGTCAGCTTGAGTGAAAAAAGAGCGGGAAGCCGTTGTTTTGTTATAAGATTTAAACTTTAATGAAATACGTCATTCCTTTTAGTAATGTTGTATAAAATCTATACATATAATAAAATTCTAACTAAGTCGAATCTGTACATAAAATATTTTTTGGAAAATCTAATTGAAATAGACATTATTATCGATACAGAGTCCGATTTTATAGTTTTTAGAATTTTTGTCTGTCTGTTACCGCATCACGAGAAAATCACTGGACAGATTTTGATGAAATTTGGTATGATGATAGCTGTTTATCCGGGTCAACATATAGGATACTTTTTACCGCGGGAAAATATCTCATTTCTGAGAAAAAATACAAAAACTGCATTGTAAGAGTATACTAATATGTAAAACCTAAGAATGTGGTTTTTGATCATCTGAACGCGGGCGGAGCCGCGGACAATGCCAGTATTATATATGTTTAGCCTACAAAATATTATATATGTTCATATGTTTAGACTCTAGACAAAATAAAACTTGTGAGCTGTAACATCAAATTAATATAAAATTACTTAGTATGACCTACTTTTCGAATAGTCCCTAACAAAACCAGCTGCATTGAGGTTACATTGTAGAGATTCGCTTTATCTGTAAATATTTCTGCGAAGTAAGCCTTCTGTACCAAATTCGTATATATGTAATACATATATAAAATTCTCGTGTCAGTGTTTGTAAAAAAACTCCTCCGAAACGGCTTGACAGATTCTTATGAAATTTTTTGTGTATATTCAGTAGGTCTGAGAATAGAACGTAAATTATTTTTCATACCCCTAAGAGATAAGGGTGGTCCACACCAAAAAAATATTTTTTATTTTTAGGACAAATTTTTTTATTTTTATTTTTTCATGATTCGGCATTAAAAACAACATACACAATTTTAACTAGGGACGAACTCGAAAGCAGTGAGGGCGAGTCCAACCAAAAACCAAGGGCAAATTTAGAATGGCGGCCAAATAAAACACAGTTTGTGTTAACTATACAGTTTCTTCAATTTGTTTCTAGGTACAAAATTACAAGTCCGATCACCAAAAGTTCTTTATATTTATTTAAGTCAACATAATCTATGGTTAAAAGGTATTAGGTTCTATAAAACGCTAAACTTCTCCGAAATTCGCGTGCATTGTTTCTTTAGCGTGCTTTTGGGCTTCAATTTGCCCAGTTAATAATTTGTCGCAAATCATGCATTTTAGGGTGAATTTGTTGACATCTGTGAACTGTCTAGAGGATTTCGCTTCGTGTGCGAGTTGTTCGGCCTCTCTGTATATTTCCAGGTCTTCTGCGGGAAACACTGTTTGGATTCCACCCTGAAAAATTTTGTAATTAAATTTTTGTACGTATATTTACATAAACTTATATTTATTGTTTCCTAATTAATGAATCGTCCCTAGGAAATAAACTATAGAAAATCTAATACTTAGATATATACGGACAAACATTTAATGTATAAAACTTGTATCAGTTACCAGCTAATTCAATACTAAACTCATATGCAAAATTATTTTTATACCCTTATTATTTGAGATAACGAGGCAGATAAACTAAAACGTTAGGAAAACACTCTTTGTATTTCCAATGGAAAATAAGATTCTCTGATTCTAAAATATCCAAAATGTTTTCAGTTTTTATTTAATCCACCATCATTTATATGAGATATTTTCCTGCAGTAAAAATCCTATATCATCATACAAAATTTCATGAAAATCTGTCCAGTGGTTTTCTCGTGATGCGGTCACAAGCAGACACCGACAGACAGACTAAAATTCTTAAAACTATAGATTCGGCCTCTGCATCGATATTAATGACTTCAATAAGATTATCATTTAAGAATTTCCAAAGAATATTTAATGTACAGATTCGACTCAATTAGAATTTTATTATACGAGTATGTATAGAATATAGATATGGATTTCAAGCATACATCAGTCTTTTGAATTATTCATTTTATATTTAAAGTTAAATAATAATCTTATATAATATCTATGTCTTTTAAAATATATCTAGACAAAATATTTTTTGACTACAATGGCCGGTTACGTTAGCAGTTAAAGCAGTTTTAATATGATAATATCTTAAAAAGAGAAGAAGTCCTTATCGAGAAGAATCAGGTTTGCTACGAAATTACTTTTTTTAAACAAAATTTTTGTATGTACCTATATTACACTTGTAATAAAATATTAAAATCTATGCATATTATAAAATTGTAACTAAGCCGTATCTTTACACTAAATATTTTTTTGGAAAAATCTTATTGAAATCTTAGTCATTATTAGCGATGCAGAGGCCGATTTTATGGTATTTAGAATTTTTGCCTGTCTGTCTGTTGTCTGCCTGTAACCGCATCACATCTCACCCAATTAAGGGATGATTTCCGGGATAAAAAGTATCCTACGTCCTTAACAGGGTTTCAAACTATCTTCTTACCAAATTTCATCTAAATCGGTTCGGTACCACCCACAACGTCAGAAACTCACAAAATCACAAACATGACCTCTTTATAATATTTGTATAGATATTTTATTTCGTGTACCTCGGAAACGGGCCTAACGATTTGGATCAAAATTTGTATTTAGATAAAGAGTTTGCCTTTTAAATTTATCTACATAGGTGATTTTAAAAAAAAAAACGCAATTTTTATGTCTTCTCCGAACAACACTGAGCGAAGTTCGGTCGCCCAAGTAGGTACTATGTTTAAAACGTAACGTACTTTAAGAACATAAATAAGCCTCAATGGACGCGATCGGTATCTTTCTTTATACCCGCATCAATAGGTCACTAGCTTGCGTAATCAATTCTATATACTTAAAATATATTCACAGTTTAAACAACTTATTTTAGACGTAATTAGGTCAAGTCATAAATCTCATAAATATTATAAATGATGATGATGATGATGTTCTCCTAGCCGATTCCGGCCACGGCGGCCAATCTTAATGAGATTAGCCAACTGCGCAGGAGATATTATAGTGCTCAAGTGTACGCGCAGACACAACGTGCACTCTCTATTCCTATCACTCTCATACTCCGGTGGGACGACCACTCGACACGACCGGTGAGAGTTAAGGCGCAGGACCGACGGCTTTACGTGCTCTCCGAGGCACGGGGGTGAAACACCGCCAACTTTCCAACTCCGGGCTGTTACTGAGACTTACTATACAGGAAGCCTCAATAACTAAACTTGGCCCGACCCGGGACTCGAACCCAGGACCTCCGGGAGTGCAGCCGTACATGCTAGCCACTACACCACCGAGGCAGTTATTATAAATACAAAATAGGTATTATAAATACAAAAGTTTGAATGGATCGATGTTTGTTACTCAATGACGCCAGAACGGCTGAACGGATCTGGATGAAATTTGGCACAGAGATAGATTAGTCTGGAATAACACATAGGCTACTTTTTATCCCGGAAAAATGTACGGTTCCCGTGGGATAGGTTTGTTTCGGTTTTTCTACTATGGACGAACCTGAGCGAAGCGACAGTAAGTAACCAGTTTTGTATATAAATGTGAGGTTATATCAATGTCTATTAAATATAATAAATACCAAAGCATTTTTAATCTATTTGTTCATAATTTCTTACATAGAGATAGTCAGGAGGGAGATAGAGGAAGTAGTTTATAAATCTTAGAGCTATATTCAATCTCAATAAAAACTTTAAGTTCCGGAGAACAATGTGCCTGAGAAACGCAAAAATAGGGCACTAATTAAAAAATAGAGGTAAACGAAAATTGTAAGCATATTCGTGTGCTTTGTATACATTTAAAAAAATATATTCTAAAATATTACCTAAAATCCAAACATTAACTTTTTTACCGACTTAAAAAGGAGGAGGTACTTTACATTTATATGTATGTGCTAATTTTGTGCATATGGTATGCAATATTTTTGCTAATTTTAAGACTTCAATTTAAAAAAAAACGACACATTTAAATTTAGTGAAATAATAACATCTAAATGATCCTAGAGTTTGTGAACTTTTTATAGCTAAAAAGTAATTAAAGCTGCTAAAAATCAAAAATTTAATCTGCACATCAAAGTTTCATTTAAATAATCATTATAATTATTTTTAATTCATATTCTTAATAGGAAAAATTGTTAATACAATGCATGAGACAATAGCTTAAACTCTAAAACTAAAAAAAAAACAACTTACATCAGACTGTTCCAAGTATAAAGGATCATAATGCACTCCATCAAACAGCAGGAACACCCTCTGTCCGTAATTCTTGTCTTCACCAAATCTATTTATAATTGCATTTAATGTATCTACCACTGCCATTTCTAAACCATAAAACCGAGAGAGAATAGCTACCTAAAAATATTTTTGATTAAAACATTGTTTCGGTGATAAAAATATTATATTGCTACATTATTATTATATTAAACGAGCATGATTTTAAAACAATATACATTGTAACAACGCAGTTCTATTGCAAATTAGTCATAATGTTATATTTAACATAAAAACTTTAAAAACAATACCATTAATTAATAAACAATGTTAAGATAATATATACATATATCAAGTAAATAAAGTTTTTGTATGTAATTGATATAATATATCAAAATTTCAACATTTCTTAAACTATAAATTTTTTTAAATTACAACAAATAAGAGCTATGGAATGCTGCTAATTGCTAGTGTGCATCTCTATTACTAAACATGACTGTATTGTAATACATAGAAAGCACATAAAAGAGCTTAGTCTATATATATATATATATATATATATATATATATATATATATATATATATATATATATAGGTTAATCTGTATATAAATATAGAACTTAGAAGCCTACTTACACAATTACCATGAAACTTTGTAAGTTCTAAATTCTAATTAGGCCTATTAGTACAGTAGTATTGTAAAAATGACTGATGAATGAATGCAATAGCCATTCTCAGCTATTGCAAATTTAAGAAGACAAAGTAGACAAAGTAGTTGTGCCTTTAACTGATACTAGAATTTCTCGAATATGTTTCTTTTTAAATATGCAATGTACAATTTGGCGTATTATAATTTATTAATATTTATAGATACCTCGATTGCACCACCCCACGAACTCGGTTGCTGTATCCACACACAGTATTCTTCATTGGGCTTCCCTAACACTGCTTCATTATAAGTTTCATGATCACTTGCAACTTCCATTGCAATAATTTGACGCATTAAAGTATGCGCTGTTGTATCTACATTGCCGTTTAGTACAAAACCTGCAAACCATTATTAATAAATTTATTAATTCAAAAATGTGAGTATGTATATGTTTGTATCCTTTTAATGGTGAAACTGCTGGGCCAGTGTGGGTGAAATTTAATATAGATAGACTATGACATGGAGTAAGTAGCGTATAGATATATAGGTGCCAAGAGGAGCACAAGAAAGAAGTAAGAATAACTTTCTAGTGTACTATATAATCTATTAATAAATTCTAGAAATCGATATCAATACAATTGTGTTATATATATTGCACCTTTGCAATTTAATCTCACAGCATTGTGTAACATGCACTATTCTCAAAATAAAATTTGCCAGATCACACTTCATTCTTCAGTTTTGCACCCAATTTACATAATTATCAGGTTATTTTTAGGTTAACCATACATAAATAAAGATAAATCAATAAAATTACCTATACTAGTAAATAGACAAGAATTATCTGAAGGAACCACTTTTTTCATCAAAATTCCAGGTCTACAAGGTCCTATTGTTTCATGAGACACTCCATTTTCTATTGGCTTTGTGACGTCAGGTTTTTTAACATTCTGTTCTATTGGAACTGACTTTTCTTCTACAATCAGCGTTTCGCCAGATTTTAAACCAATCTCATTCAAAGTTTTATTATCATTGCTGATATCTAACGGTTTAGGCGGATAACCACATAATACGCAAATTCTCTCACAACCAACGTCCGATATACTAGAAAGAAACATTTTTAATTCACCCACAGTGCTATCAGAGGTCAACTCTTTCAATACTTGCTGGCCATTTTTACTCTTTACTTTAAACGCTAGCGATGCCATGTTAGGCTACTAATCTAGAATTCAATGATTAAAATTTATTAGATTAAAAAAGTAATAGTTCGTCAAGACGCCAATAAAAAGTAATTGTAATAAATAAATAACATAACGTTACGTAGGCGTTTGACTTATTAAAATGACAAATCACAAAAGCAAAACAAACTGACAATCTAAACTCTAAAGTGACAGATCACAGATGAAAGATATTTTTAGCAACAGAGAATATACATAACAACAAATTATTACAGAGAATATAATTTTTTGTCACAAAACTACTTAACTGCGACTCTTAATACAAGTTTTCGTTAGACCAAAATGCTCCATTTACATGTTGACATAAAATATAATCTTACATATCGCCAGACGCGACACTGGTCACTGCTGTAGTTATGCTATTAATCTGTATTTTGTTATGATATTATGCTTAGAGATTATTAAGGTTCCTTGGATTATGATAAGACTGCTCAGATTTTTAAGCCACCGAGATGAAATTAGGGTTTTAGCGAAAAATTCCGCCACCATTATGACATTGATACATGGTAAATTTGAGTTGTCAGCTCGGACTTTGTTCGATATGGTATTGACCAGGAACGTAAGTAAATTTAAATATTACTTTACTTAAATGATTAAAACTTTGAGATTACAGAGAATTGAGTTTTCGAAACTACACTGTATACACAATAAACTAGCACAGATCATATAATACTATACTAGACACTAGTGACAATGACAAGTGACGTCACGCACCGTAATTGGCGTTTGTAATCACGTGACTATGATATTAAAAAAAATAACTCGTTATGTTAAAAATAAAGAAAAATCATGATTTTTATTTAATTATTCCATTTAATAATTAATTCTAGCCCCATAAACTACCGTTATACAAAACATCACATCATTTTATTACTACAGTCCAAAACCCTAGTGTGACGCTATCAAATATCACGAAGGCACGTGTGAAAATATCTCATTTCTGAGAAAAAATACAAAAACTGCAATTTAACAGTACACTAATATGTAAACCCTAAGAATTTGGTTTTTGGTCATCTGAACGCGGGCGGAGCCGCGGGCAATGCTAGTATGTAATATTACCGTGCCATTATAGTCGGTATTTTTTTTTTTATTATTATAAAGATTATTGTCAACTTATTTTATATCGATATAATGCTTATTAAAAATATTTTTAAAACATTTTCACAAATACATTCTTAGTTTTACGAAAGTGTTCAAATAATATTCGTTTACTATTTTTTATGTGAATATATTATGATATGTATTTAATATTTTATTTTAACGAAAGACCTCTTTATGATGATTAAGGATAACCAGATATTTTGATTGTCTCAACGTTAGTTTTAAAGTTAAACGGCTGATTTATTATATCAGCCTTGTATGGAGCCCTGTTTCTTGCAAGGCCATTTTGGAAGAGTTCAATAAAACTTAAATTTAATAAATAACTAATAACTCTGCAATAAAATAAAATATTTTATAAGTTATATAATAGAACAAAGTGTTAATAATTTGTTTGTTTCGTTTATCCAATAAATAAAAGAATTATAACTGTTTATTTGATAAGGTGTCCTTCCATGGTCGACCCACTTTATTTAAATCTGCTTATTGCATTTAAAAGCAAATAATTTACCTACTTGCATAACTAATTTATGAAGTCATTTATGAAAAAAAACTATTTATAATGATCAACGCAGCATGTCTTGAGTTAGTATATTTTCGAAAGACGTAGGTACAAACGAGATATTATATAATTAAATTAAAAAAATAATGATAATAGTATCATAAACCTATACAAGTCAATTAAAAAAAATGTTCAATCGTATTTTATTTAAGTCGCCTTCATTCAGTGGCTTTACACGAGTAAATTTACCTACATTTAAACAGACGAATTTAATATTAAACATTCCAGTTTTAAATATAGCTTGTGGAAACGTTGACAACGATGAACCGTTTATGGAGAAGGTATGTACAAGTTTTTCATAACCAAGTCTTATAGTAAAGCAAAATGAGAATAAAATGTATGATTTTTACTGATGCAAGTAAAGTTTCTATTTTTTTTCGATTTTCGTTAAAAAAATACGGTTTTATAGTAAGATTCCTCTAACCGATTTTGGTTGCGACAACCAACTTCACTGAAGCTAGCGGATAGCCAAATGTGCGGGACATACACAAGTGTGTGCGAAGCACAAGTGCACTTTTTATTTTACTCTCATATACCGATGGACAACGCGACACGACCGGTGAGACATAAGAAGCACTTTTCTACACGAGGGTGAACACAACGACAACTTCCCAACTCCGGGATGTCACTGAAGGTTTCATAACAAAACCCAGTAACTCGAACCCGGGACCTTACGATCTGCCGCCGTACATATGAGTATTTACTAGACTAACGATGAAGTCAGGAGGTTTAAACATAATTTACATAGTATTTAGTTAATATTACGGGTATGAAAAAAACAGGATGTATATAATGACATAATATCATAATGCTAAAACGCTAAAAGCTAGAACTTTTTTTCTACCTAATTAGGTAAGTATATGTTTGTACCTAAACCTTATTTTTATATGCAAAAACATAAATATAATTGATATTGAAGAGTTTAAAAAACGAACTAAAAAAATGGGGGCAAGTTAAAGAAGGAACACAGTAGGTATTATTCAGTCGGAGACATACGTGTCATTATTTTTTTAAGGAAATTCTGTTGCCCTACACCCATATCCGGCAAGGACCAGGGAAGCAAGGTCGCGAGAAGATCGTCATGGCTCTAAATCACTGGCTGCAAATATCCGATGAAAAATTGAAAACCATTTTTGATATAACAGAAACTATACATGTCGGGAATTTATTGTAAGTTACGCAAATAACTTTTTATTATCTTATTATTAAGAAATCATATTTTTTTTATTATAAGCTTACGTAAAATAGTTCTATGATTATGTATGTATGTTATTTTAAACTTTACTTATAATAAATTCGTAAGGGGGTCGTTTCTGAACATTAAATATTTGTTGTTGAAAGGATGGATATCTATAACTCGAGTATTTTTTATAAGGATAAATCATGGAAAATTTAATAATCACAACGTGAGACACTGTCACAGGACTCTTAATTTTTTTTGAATATTACATTATATACCCTGCGCGTTTTGAATAATATTTCTTTCATATTTTATTTTGTTTTTGTTTTTAGTTTGAAATAGGATATTATTATAGAAAAAAAATTCTTAAATTGATCATTAATTTTTAACATTTTTTTTAAATAGGTATTTGACTTTATTTGGTTTTATCTTAAATAAAAAATTCTCACTATATACCTACCCACACTCATCAAGGGACGTCGGACGTAGAGACTAATTTGAGACTAACTTTATTATATCACAGAGTTGATGATATTCAAGATAACGCGAACATGCGGCGAGGCGTGCCTGCAGCGCACCGCGTGTACGGGGTGCCTATGACCATTAATGCTGCTGGTCACATATACTTCTTAACTTTAAGCAAGGCTTCAAAAATCGACCGTCGGGTATGATATTCATTTAATTTTTATTTTTTTATAGCAACAAGGTGATCAAATAAGTATACAGTCTGCTGGAATGCTTGGATGTAAAGTACCTATATATGTATCATTCTTAAGTTACCGTATGCGATAAAAATGAAACTCACTAGAGAATATTGGATACTAGAGATAATGAAGTACGCTCCAGTAGTCTCCTCACTCACGGATTTGTTCCTTGAGTAAAGAGAGCGCTGACTGACTTTTGAGTTATACTATAAAGAAATATTATTAAGTATTACTTTTATCGTTATCTTTCCATTCAATAGACTTAATAAGTACTGATATTTCCAGATCTCCACGATACGTGGCTTGTTCTGCTTACTGCGTATTGAGTCCTGGCTCTACATAGAACCTATATTTACATATACCTATACATATAATCAATATTTTGATCTTTCCAATAATTTTTTTAAAATATATTTTTAAAGTACTTAAATAAAATAATAATAAAATAAAATAAGAACTTGTGGTGTCGACTAATTTAAGAGCAATATGGCTTTCTTCCTCTAGTCTAATTCATGTAAGTAATAGTCCTTGGATTATATCATATCTATCATAGATAATCTTAACATATATTTTAAGCAGATACCAGAAATACTATCTAATGAGTGCCTAAATGGGGTTCGTGGTCAAGGCGTGGACATTTACTGGCGTGAAAATTTTATATGTCCTACAGAGGAGCAGTATATGGAGATGGTAAAACGTAGTAAGTATTTTCTTCGGGCTTAAAATTAAAAACACATGAACAAAATCTAACTCAAATTTACAAAGAAAATCAGCAATATGGTGTTAGATAATAAACATGGCAAGAAAATTATATTAAATGTCTATTATATTTCAGAAACAGGAATTTTCTTCAATATGAATTACCGTTTAATGCAACTATTCAGTGAGAACAAAACCGACTACAGTAAACTCGTAAATATGATAGGATGCTACTTCCAGATAAGAGACGACTACTGCAATCTAGTTCATCCAGAGGTAATAAAGAGTTTTAATAATAATAATAAAAATAATAAATACTCTTTATTGTACAACCCACAAGAGAAAAAAAAGAAACAAAAATATACAAGAAAAAAAAAGGTTTTAAACCTTTCGCTAAAACAATATGATTAAGACATGAGAGAGTGACAAATAGCGTCATGTTTGAACCATAATTTACATACATCTATAAATATACACATAATAAAATTCTAATTGAGTCGAATCTGTATATTAAATATTTTTTGGAAAGTCTTATTGAAATAGTCATTATTATTAACACAGACGCCGACTCTATAGTTTTTAGATGTTTTGTGTCTGTCTGTCTGTCTATGATCGCATCACAAGAAAATTACAGGACAGATTTTGATGACATCTTGTAGGTATAATGATAGCTGGTTATCCGGGTCAACATATAGGATACTTTTTACTGCGGGAAAATATCTCATTTAGTCTTTACATAGTATAAAATGAAGTCTCTTCCGTTGCCTTTTCGCTTAGATCTTTTTTAAACTACTCAATGGATTTTAATGCAGTTTTCAGCAAAAGATAGAGTGTTCCAAAGGAAGGTATTATGTATAATACATGCATATTGTAGTACAGAAAAATCGAGAAATTCAAATACCTATTATGATTCTAATTAGCTTTAAGCTTTACATATATATAGTAGTTCTGTGTGGGTGACTGTATATGTGAGAAAATATTTTTGTTAAGAGGTTAAATGTTACTATCGCTAATATTTGTCTTCAGGAATTAGAAGAATGGCCGAAAAAAGAAGATGCAGAGGTAAAAATTAAAATGCCTTTTTGTACTATATTTATTTTGATGGTTCAATAGATTTTAATCATTTTATTATTTATTATGTTAAGGATTCACTTAAGGGAAGCAACTTCTGCGATGATATAACTGAAGGTAAATTCAGTTTCCCCGTCATACATGCGCTACAGAAGCCACAAGGTGCGGAGATACTCAGTATCCTTTTAAATTAAAGAATAATTGACACAACGAACCAATAATTACAAGACACAACTTCACTAAAAGAAATACATTATATAAAAAAAAAAAAAAACCAGCTTGTATAAAAGCTAACTAAAAAGATGAAATCGCGTTCATGAAAGAATACCTATGGTATATGCATACCTACTTACACGTATCATACCTACATATGTATGTATGTCTCTGACTGCATAATACTATATTCCTTCGTTAACGTGTTTTCATCTTTAGGTATAGTTAGCTTTTGTGCAGTCGGGTTTTCATTTTCACTAGCTCTGGAAAAGCACAAACAGATGTATCCCACGGGAACCATTCATTTTTCCGGGATAAAAAGTATTCTGTTCTTTGACTGGCAATACAAGGTATCAGCATGCCATACTAAATTAGGTGCATAAGTTGTTGCGTACTAAGCTGTATAAATTACTATAGTTTTTCAACTATCCCACGAGAACTCTTAAATTTTCCTGGATGAAAAGTATCTAAAATGTTGACCGGGGATATAAAGTACGTACGTATAGATAATACGTATGTATAGATAATTTTTTTTTATTTACAGCTGTTTAATTTGGCCAAGTAGATATTTAAAGTTATATTTAGGATGTTTTTATCATAAATTATTTTTAAACATATGAGTTGTTTATATGTTTGTGATTTTACTGCTTTAGGTATAAAAATTAAGAAATTATGAACGAACTAGAAAACACTATGCCATTTTGTACGTACTGCCTATACATTAAAACAATCTATTAGAATGTTTATAGACCTTAAAAAGGCCCACAGATATGTCCGCGATAGCATGTGTTTATCTCCTAAGGTACTGCCTCGGTGGTGTAGTGGCTAGCATGTACGGCTGCACACCCGGAGATCCTGGGTTTGAGTTCCGGGTCGGGCCAAGTTTAGTTATTGAGTTTTTCTGTATATTAAGTCTCAGTAACAGCCCGGAGTTGGGAAGTTGGCGGTGTTTCACCCCCGTGCCTCGGAGAGCACGTAAAGCCGTCGATCCTGCGCCTTAACTCTCACCGGTCGTGTCGAGTGGTCGTCCCACCGGAGTATGAGAGTGATAGGAATAGAGAGTGCACTTGTGTCTGCGCGTACACTTGAGCACTATAATATCTCCTGCGCAGTTGGCTAGTCTCAATGAGATTGGCTGCCGTAGCCGGAATCGGCTAGGAGAACATCATCAAGGTCTTACTTAATACGTATTGTATTTATATAATAATATTATACACATACAATTTTTTTGTGCAGTTAAGTATTTATAAATAAATAAGTTATTGTTTAGAAAAATAATTATAATTATTTTGCTTATTACAATAATTAACTACAAATACTTAGTATATTAATTACTAAAAAAATCTTTATACATAACAATAGCTTTATTATAATAAATAAATTAAATTAAATAATAGTGAATCACTATTATTATATAAGTAAAATCCTAGCGTGACTAGTGACTATCTGTAAATTAACTTTATTGAGGGCTATGTTTCTGGTGGCACCAGTTGGCAACACTGGCGAGTGAGATCATATCGTTGTCGTTGAAACAGTATGTGCTAGTGCAGCAGTCCAATTTTATCATATCTCTGTTAGTTCTAGTAGTAAAATCCTGATTTTACTCGTAAATAATTAATCATAACCAAATAAACCCAAAGAATTTTAAAGGAACGCTATGACAGAGGACATTTTTGCCCTTAGTTTGACGACACGTTTGGCTCAGTTTGCAGTGACCCTACTTGCTGTGCCAGCGGACGCGGGTTCGAGTCCCGCTGGGCGCATTTATTTGTGTGATGAACACGAATGCTTGTACTCCAGTCATGGGTGTTTATATTTATAATATGTATGTATTTAAAGTTATATATGTGTACCTAGTGTATCAATTATCTGGTATCCATAGCACAAGCCTCGTAGCTTACCATGGTACTATATGGTGCTGTGTGTTATGTCCCAATATATTTATTTATATTTGATTAACAAAATTTGTTTTAGACTAGTTCAGGCGAAAGTACAGCATATAAAATTAAACGCACGCTTCAAAATGACAACTAATTATGTTTTATTTCAATCACTAAGGGCACGATGATTTTTAACGCGCTGTCGATGCGAGTTCATCGCTCTGTGAACGCACTATGTGCATGAGCTTTTCACGCGTTTGTACGGATACAAGAAATTTGAATTTTAAAGTTAATTCGCTCAGTAAAAGCTCAGACGACACACGTGAATGATATTTGAGCCCTTGATGCGTTTAAGAAGCGTGGTGTGCATAGGTAGGCGTAAGCCATAACAAAAGATTTCTAAATTTGAGGGTATTCCTAAATAATTTTACCTGACAAGAGTTTCATTTTCTCCAATACTCAGTGAACGCTTACGGGCTTAGAACAAAACTCCTTACAATTACTAACCCGAATCTCAGCTTTTATTCTTTAGTGTCAGTAGTTTCTGTCTGCTATAAAACGAAAAATTTATTTGGTTTTAAAAAAATTATACGATTTATTATTATTATATTTACATAGGAAATTGTTGTACGATACGTGCTACTTCTTTCTATACATATAATAAAATTGTAACAAAGTCGAATCTGTACATTAAATATTTTTTGGAAAATCTTATTGAAATAGACATTATTATCGATACAGAGTCCGAATATTTTTAGAATTTTTGTCTGTCTGTCTGTCTTTCTGTCTGTCTGTCTGTTACCGCATCACGAGAAAACCACTGGACAGATTTTGACGAAATTTGGTATGATGATAGCTGGTTATCCGGGTCAATATATAGGATACTTTTTACTACGGGAAAATATCTCATTTCTGAGAAAAAATACAAAAACTGCAATCTAAGAGTATACTACGAGTAATATGTAAAGCCGAGGAATTTGCTTTTTGGTCATCTGAACGCGGGCGGAGCCGCGGGCAATGCTAGTAGCCTATAAGATGATGAATGGGCATGAAGAATCTAAAGATACTGAATGATTTAAGTTATTCATCATATTTATTTAGTATATAGGTACTATATAGGAGTACACACTACACATAAACCACACATAAACAATCGTTAGCATCAATATAAGTTCCTTAGTTACAAACTAAGATATCCTAAAGCAAAGAACTCGAGACGTGTCATTGAAGAAGTACTTTGTGTCTCTTCTGAACACGCTCGGCAGCTTGCAGTACACTCGCAACGTTATGGAAGAGATGGACCGTGAAGCGAGAGCTATGGTAAGGAGATATTGTAATTTGTAGGGAGGAAATATTTACAATCTTGTTATATATTGTAACTAGCGGACCCGACAGACGTTGTCCTGTCTACACGTCTTTAATTTGAAAATTTCAAACTTTTTTTAATAATTTTTTTGATGAAAATTATTATTCAAATTGTGAATCTAAACCATTCCCAGATCCCCTTGAACACACACAAAAAATTTCATCAAAATCGGTCCAGTCGTTTGAGAGAAGTTCAGTGACATACACACTCACAGAAGAATTATATATATAAAGATGTATGTGGTCGTCGTCGTCTCAACCGAAACAAGTACTGGACGTAAGTCTCCCCCAAAGATTTCCACGACTGCAATTGGGATGTATAAAAAACAACAACATGATAGATTTCACCATTTACTTATTGTCAGACAAATTTAATTACATAGAAAAAATAATTAATATAGCGTTTTTAATAATTATATACTTAAGCACTTGAGTACAAGAATTTTGAATTAAAAGTAATTATGAGAATATAAAGATGTACTCAGGTAACATTAAGATCTTTGTGAAAAACTAAAATATCGTAAAGTCAGTTCGTCTTGTACATTATTTTGAAGTTATTTTTGTTTTTTCAGATATCAAAATTCGGTGGTAATCCATTATTGGAAACTGCACTCGACGAGCTACTTAACTGGAAAACCGACTAATTTTTCGAATTATTAGAATCGGGCTAATTACATCATTTATAACTCAAGAACAGCTTATATGGCTTCGCTGACTTACAACTGTTTATATTTATTAACTATATAATTCTTAACTTTTTATATTATGGGTATTGTAAGATGATAACAGTATGGTTCATGGATGGTGTAATTTTCTATTAGTAAAAGCTGTTTTAAAAATAAGTGTTTATTTGTTGTTGTTGATCCCTCTCATAATATGGTTACATACTTATTGCTAGGAGGTTTTATATGTCAATCTACCAATTTACTTACATGGTTCTTTACCAGTTAAAGATATTAATGACCGATGATATTACCTGTTACTTAAATGTGTAAAAAACTGTATAACTCAGATCAATAAATCAGATCATTAACAAATATTTTTCTTTTTTACCTAATTAATTTAAGCAATTTAATACTGTAGTAAGTTATAGTTAACAGCACAAAGAAAATTAAAAATACATAAAAAAATTGATTTACCTACTCGTACAAGAGTAATCTTAGTATATTGTACCCTTTGCCAAATTTATATGCGTAGATAGTGCCTGCTTAAATCTATTACTCTCACATTCCTTCCGCAATGAAGTAATGGTGACTCAGTGGTACGCACGCATTTGCGAAACCGAGAGAAGTAGGTTCAAATCCCAAGTCTCGCACTGATATTTTCATGTGCGAATGATTTCCAACATTATTACCACTTATCTTACAATCAAGGAAAACATCGTGAGGAAAGCTGCATGTCTGAGAGAATCTAACAAGTAAGCGTCCGATAATTCAGCGTGAAGCTAAGAAAGGCACTGGGAGGCGGCTCACCTCGGTGGACAGTGTACCATGCGGGTTGCTCCTGGTATTTCTCTGATAGCAGAGTAGACTGTTGGAGCAACCCCATGGTTGTTGTGGTCTGCTTTGGTAGACCTGCTGTTGGGGCGTCGTGTTTGAGTGTGTAAACGATCCTGGGACACTCCGTTAAGGCCGGGAAGGTTCCGTTGGGTTTTAGTGAGCCCAGGGTAATATTGGCTTTGCTGGTGAATCTCAATAACTACCTGTATGTATGCAGATGATATGCGTCAATGCATTTCCCAACTATAAATATATGTAAACTTTTTAAGATATAAATGAATGTAAACTTTTTAAGATCACATTTATTTTTCGATAACACAGATTACGTAATACTAAACATGATTAGTAATAATTTATTGTTTTTTTTAGATATTTAAATAATAATTTAAAATAAATATGCTTTATTTATTACAAACTTTTATTTAGTTTTAAATGCATGAAATATTCTTATAATAACGATACGATTCATACTTACAAAATACGTATTTGTTATGTATAACGTAACGTAAGAAACAAAATGTTTTATTTAATTTATAAATAAAAAATCGTTATCTTATTATAGAATAGTTCTTAATTACCTTAAAATTATATTTACTCATTATGATATTACCGAAATATTTAATATTGTAAGGTTACGCTATTTTAACGTACATATGTATAAATAAATAATATAAATAAATATGTTGGGACACTAACATCGAGCACCATCTAGTTCCATGGTAAGCTACGAGGCTTGTGTTATGGATACCAGACAGTTGATACACTACACATATATATATATAAACTTTAAATACATACATATTATAAATATAAGCACCCATGACTGGAGTACAAACATTCGTGTCCATCACACAATGAATGCCCCCAGCGGGACTCGAACCCGCGACCGCTGGTATAGCAAGTAGGGTCACTACACACTGAGCTAAATGTGTCGTCTAAATTAATAAAACATTCATTAATTGATTATACTGACGACGCGAATACACAAATTATAGATACCTTTATGATTTATAAAAGAAGGCAGTTAAAAAAAAGAAATAAGAAAGAAATAAAAATAGAAAGAGTAGAAAGACAAGAAAAGAGACAAGAAAATGGTATCCATGATTTGTAACTGGAAAAAGGAAATAAGAAATTGTTGACAATAAATGTTTCCTAATAAATTGTAACTAAATCTATTTCAAATATATAAGTTTTGAAACATGATGCTGGCTTTCCCTGAGATATAGTCATGGGAGAGATAGACATGCTGTAAAGCATTCAAAATGTCAGGAACCAAAAATCAAAATAAGTCCGCGGAATAATCTGAAAAGATAGTTTTATTTAAAACTCGCATATTGTTGTCTAATTAGTGTGAATAATAGACTACATACCTTTAAACTTACGTGTAGCTGCTGTGCTTGTCTATTGTTATCTGTCAAGCTATCTGAATTTAGACGAGTGAAAAAGCCGCTTTAGCTAAAGCCAGGGCCGGACTTAGAGGACTGGAGGCCCTAGGGGCAACAAAAGAGTGGAGGCCCCTAATTATTTTCCGAATAAAACGAATATTTTTTCAGTCAAGTGGTTTAAGTATTTATTGTGAAAGAAAATAAATGATTTCAGTAAACTTATGTAGATATAGACAAATCAAAGAATTACTGACCCAAAAACAAATTGCAATATTAACGAGTGAAACCTTGCGAGATTTTTTCGACGAAAAATCGTTAGTCCACAAAAAATCTTAAGTAGGGATAGCTTCAATGACTTCTTCATTAAATAAAAAAAAACAACTGATGAAAAAAATCTTAACAATTGAAATTGTTTCTACTCGTAGTTTTGTATCATTGCAATAATTTAAAAAAATATATGAAAAATTCAATAGAAGATGAACAAGAAAAAAGCAGAAAACTTACTCTTAACGAACTTGAAGGAAACTGTAGTTTTTGAAAAAAGAAACAATTTATAACTGAATTAAATTAAAAAAAACCGGACATGTAATTTGCATTTTGTGGTGGTGGTCATCTTGGATTTGAAATTTATCATAGTATTCTACTAGTCAAACCCTTTCATTTAATACCCATATTGAGGGAGATGTGAAAAAATATGTAATCCACCATTTTGTGGCAGCGGCCATCTTAAACCGATTTTAATCAAACATAGCTAAGAAAGAACACACCCAACTAATTCACCTTTCAAACAAAAAAAAAAGAAAATTAGAATCGGTTCATCCGTTCGGGAGCTGATGCCACAGACACACACACAGACACGTCAAACTTATAACACCCCGTCTTTTTTGTAACCGGGGTTTAAAAAAATCAGAAAACCATGTGGAGACGAAAATAAGCACAGAAACTTCAACACGCCAACTCTTTCCCTCGTTCACGAGTTGTTGGTAAGAAAGAAGAAGAAAGTTTGATTCCTCGTAGCGAGGATTCGGTTTTTTTATGACAATAATTATATTCTTCAATTATTACACAAATTAATTATTATTTTCTCCAGATTTCTTTCATGCAGTAAGATTCGTGAATGATTGATTCCATTCAATTGCGTCAAAATATTATTTCTTGCCTATCAAGCTATATATCTACCTGCATAAAAAATATAGAAAAAAATATTTATTAGTCAATAATAACAATTTTTTTTAAGTTGTACTTCTTTTGGCGCGCTATGGAATAAATGTTGAGAGTGATTTTTTTACGATGCGACAGATTTAGACTACAGTATGAAGTTAGTTGTTATATCTTCCTTTATATAGTGTGAAGTGATCTGTATATTCAAGACTTCTTCCGGTATTTCTATATACACAACACGTGTTTTATATAAATAAAAATTAAAGCTTATATTTAGTTTCACCAGTCCCGGTGTTTGACTGTAATCAAACTTTGCACGTTAAATTTGACCCACAGTGTTAGATTGAGCTGAAATTTGGCACACATATTTGGTTCTCGGGACAATACACGATTACTTAAATGCCGCCATTTTTAATCCAAATACCTCCTGATACTCGTTCAAAAGGTGACATTGAATGGAAAATAGGATATGGAGCTGTATAATATGTTGATTGCTTAATGCTTCACTGATTGAAGTGAACAAATATGGATAAATTGTTTTTAATATTTAAGAACAATATAATCATATTTGTACAAATATTATAAAATGCGAAAAAAATTTGAAAAAAACAAAAACGGAAAAGTTGTCGACCCATCAGAATTTGTTTTTTTTTCTTAAAAATCTCTTTTGTAGGGGCCCCTCTCTTGTGAAGGCCCCGGGACTGTAGCTTCGGATGCGCTCCCCTAAGTCCGGCCCTGTAAATACGTTTATTTTATTAGATACCAAGTTAACAGAAATCAAAGTTGCCAGTCAAAACAATTACTATCGCGTTGATCATCATAATATATATAGCCTCAAAAACTACAATTTTGTCTTTAAAGTTGCCAAGACTTATATGTGCAATAACGTGTCCACAAGAGTGCCTATTCACTCAAAACAGCTAGCTAGTATCTGTGTAGATAAGTGCTAAATAAATATGTCGAAAGCTCAAGAATTTTTAACTAAAATAAAATCAAATAATAACATGTCCAATGAAAACGGTTCCCATACGGATAGTGATATTGAATCGGTAAGTTGTAATAATTAATTATTATCTCTAATATTCTACCTTTTATTAAAAAGATACGACTTCAAAAGAGGTTATAAATTCGACCCGTATGCATGGAATGTTATTAAAATTTCTATGAAATATGCATAATTTCATAAGTATTTAGTACTAGCGACTCACCCTCGCTTAGCTCGAGTTCGTCCCTAGGTTAATTCCCCATACAAACTTTCATCCCCATTTTACCCCCGGATGATTTCCGGGATAAAAAGTATCTTATGTCCTTTTCAGGGTCTCAAACTATCTTCTTACCAATTTCATCTAAATCTGTTCAGTAGATCTAAAAATTACCTCCTACAACGTTGCAAGCTCACAAACTTTACCTCTTTATAATATTAGTATAGATGTATGTTTGTCTTAATATTTTTATGAAAAATCCACATCGGTTTAAACTATACGAATAAGTCTTTTACAACTAAAGAATAGAAAAAACACTTTATCATCAACATCCGCACAATAGTTCATATTATATTATTAAACATTACATATTAGAGTTAAAAACTGACGTACTACTTATTAATATGATAACTAAAAATAAGAATATGATACAAAATGATAAATAATTGTAAAAAGAAGTTAAAGTTGAGTCAGTTAAATATTTAAATTAATATACCTACTGTAGGTGTATGTGCATATATGTATGTATAATGTATATGCCCAATATGAAACCAATTCGAAAGCCCAAAAGGCATCACAGTAAATATGTCATTTTTTAGATGTCAGAAAATTTTTGGGAGGCTAATTTTAGCACAAAATACTCGTAGAAGAAAAAGTATTGTTTTTGTTAGTGCAGTGCAAATTTATACAGACTTATTTATATTTGATTATAATATTATAATTTATAATTTCACAGACATAACCCTTATTTTAAAAAATATTACCATTAAAATTTTAGAAACTTCTCATGCCCTATACGCATATCAGCCAAATCTCAGGAAAACAAGGTCGCGAGAAGATCGTCATGGCTCTAAATTACTGGCTGCCAATATCCAATGACAAAATGAAAAAAATTATTGAACTTCTAAAAATGGTGCATGTCGGAAGTTTAATGTAAGTTAAGGAAATTTTTTTTTTAATTATTGAACAAGTGCAGAAAAACAAGCATTTTTATCACATATCAACTGACAGAACAGACATTGTCTGGTCTCAAAATTATTTATTATCATATAACAGTTGTATGAACATTTTTAGTTTCTTCTGATTTTACCAATTTTCCTGTCAACTTTTCAAATTGTTTTCCTAAAAACCTTATTCTATTATGAACATTTTAAAATGTCGTCCGATCGGTCCAGCCGTTCGCATTCTTAATTATTTATTGTTGCACTTACCATCGAACAGAATTTTATTAGATTTTATTTAAATATAAAATTGGACAATTAAACTCAAATTGTTTGAGAGAACCTAGCAAATTTTAAAAAGACGTGTAAAGTCCGTCAACCCACACTTGGCAGACCCTGCAGTGGGACGTTTAACGCATAGGGACTTAAATTAAATAAGAATCTACATAAAAAATCTACAGGAATAGAAGATATATAAAATGAAGACATAAGCCGACAGACAGACCTTTTGATTATTATGAACTCACATCAGTTACATCATAGTATATCAAAATTTTGTCCAAATCCGTCCAGCCGTTTTTATAAGAAGGAGTGAAAAACACACACACAAACCTTTGGAATTTATACTACTATTAGTATACTCATATAATATAATGTTATATAGTAGTATATAAAAAAAAGAACATTTAATGAATAATTTTACTTATTAACGAATATTTGTTATTAAAATAGGATTGACGACATTCAAGATAACACGAACATGCGGCGAGGCGTGCCTGCAGCGCACCGCGTGTACGGGGTGCCTATGACCATTAATGCATCTTATCACATACACTTTGTAGCTTATAACAAAGCCTATGCATTCGACCATCGGGTATGCATATCACGTTAAGATTCTATTTTTATAAGCTTTAAAAATTGCTAAATAAGCAAAACTGATAAAAAGAGGAAGAGCATAAAAAATAGAGAAAGAAAATGGCTAGTGGTAGGCGGGAAGCTAAGAATCGCACTGGGAGGCGGCCCACCTCGGGCCGTATGCAATGTGCGTGGAGCAACCCGCATAGGGTTGCTCCTGGTACTTCTCTGATAGCGGATTGGACTGTGGAGCAACCCCGTGGTTGTTGTGGTCTGCTTCGGCAGACCTGCCGTTGTGGTTGAGTGCGTAAGCGATCCTGCGACGCCCCATTAAGAAGGGGGAGATTCCGTTGGGTTTTAGTGGGTAGTACCTACTGGCTTTACCGGCGAGTCCCACACCTCGTGCCTAAATGCATTTCCCAAAAAAAGGTAGTTGGGCCTGGGTCTTCTAGTGATCTTATTCACAGAAGAAAAACCAGCAGTATGTGTACTGCCCCTTTACGAAAAATACCTATGTATGTATTTCTGAATGAGTACCTACTTTTATGGTTTTACAGGTTAGTATTGAATAAAAAACCCTGTGAAAAACAAAAACAAATCTATCCCACGGGAAGCATACATTTTTCCGGAAGAGAAACGTAACCGTAAAATAGTAACCTGTGTACTATTCCAGACTATCTCTGTGCCAAGTTTCATCTAGGTCCGTTAAGCCGTTCTGACTTGATTGAGTTACAACCATTCATCCATCCATCCATCCTCACAAAATTTGACACTTATAAAAAGTAACTTTCTGCCAAATTACAAGAAGTAATCTTCAAATATATTATTTTAATACAGATACCAAAAATAATGTCAGAAGAGTTACTAAAAGCCTATCGCGGTCAAGGCATGGAGATTTACTGGCGAGATAATTTCATATGTCCCACAGAGGACCAGTATAAGGAGATGCTACTACTAAGTAAGTACTTATAGACTTCTTAAAAGTGTTATAATAAATAATAAATAAAATTAAATAGTTATGTATAAATAAATAATAAAAATAAAAATATAACAAGTCATTCAATGTGAATTCACGATGAAGTGATGCCATGAACGTGCAGCATAAGATACACACCAGATACTACAACAGAAAATATACCAATGAAAATCTGAAAAAAAAAAATTAAAATTGTTCAAATTAAATTTCAGAAACAGGTTCTTTTTTCCTTGGGGGTTACCGATTAATGCAACTATTCAGTGAGAATAAAACCGACTACAGTAAACTCGTAAATATGATAGGATGCTACTTCCAGATAAGAGACGACTACCTCAATCTAGTTCATCCAGAGGTAATAAAGTGATTTAAAAGTTTTCGCTAACACTAATAAATTAAGTAAGAATTCTATATGTTAATAGCACCTAATTTATCATTGCTTCGCTCGGATGCATCCGTAAGTGTGTATGAAGTATCACACAAAAAAAACAATAGTCCTCGTGGGGAAATTATAGCATTACTAGTGATACTAGATCCCCTCCGTATCAATCATCAATCAATAGCCTAAGCTCGCAAAACGGACGACATTACTAAGTAGACATTACATTATTAAGTGGAAACTTAATTCACAAATATCTTCATACCGTTAACATTAATTTCTTAAAATGTTTGTAAATTACAACTTATACTTTCCTATGTAAACCCTTATTCTATTGGAGAAAACTATTAAAATTCGTACAGTAGTTTCTGAGATTTGTTCGAAAAAATACAAACAACGCACTGGGTGACTTTCATTTATAATAATATAGTAATAGTTATTTTGTTTCATGATTTGTGTCGAAATAAAGGAAATAATTAATTAACGCACATTTTTATCTTTAGGAATTAGAGGAATGGCCGAAAAAAGAAGATGCACAGGTGATAAATTAAACTTTATAGTTCAATGCTTTAGTAGTGCAGTTATAAAAAAAAATAAACAAATTTATTTACAATTTTTCAGGATTCAATTAAGGGAAGCAACTTCTGTGATGATATAACTGAAGGTAAATTCAGTCTCCCCGTCATACATGCGCTACAGAAGCCGCAAAGCGAAGAAATACTCAGTATCCTTTAAAATAATGATAAAAACTGGACTATTATGAATGCGAAAGTTTGTTGCTCTTTCACGCTTAAAAGGCTTGACAGGTTTGGATGTACACAGATAGACTGCATATACGAGTATAATGATGAACTGCACATTTTTGACACAAAAAATCTCGTGTGCAAAATTAACTTTGTTATGATGATGATGATAATATTATATTATTGTATAGTTTCATTAAAATCCAATCAGTAGTTTTTGTGTACTAAGCTGTATAAGTTACTATAGTTTTTTAACTTTCCCACGGGAACTCTTTAATTTTCTGGGATTAAAAGTATTTAAAATGTTGACTGAGGATATAAGGTACCACTATGCAAAATTTCATTTAAATCAGTCCAACAGTTTCGGGGATTAGCCCATACAAACAGACAGAGAAACAAAAAAATTCAAAAAAAAACTGGATTTGTTCTATTTCTCTTCTTAAACTAAAAACCTGACTTGGTTTTTAGCATTTTTTTCTATGTACAGACATTCGACCTCTACAGTTGTATTATATATATAGATAATGCCCCCAAAGTTATGGAGCTATAATGTGTGAACAAAACCTTTTGTCCTTAATTACAAACTAAGAAATCCTGAGGCAAAGGACTCGAGACGTGTCATTGAAGAAGTACTTTGTGTCCCTTCTGAACACGCTCGGCAGCTTGCAGTACACTCGCCACGTTATGGAAGAGATGGACCGTGAAGCGAGAGCTATGGTAAGGAGACATTGTAATTTAATAGAAAGAAATATTAACAATCGTGCATTCATCATTGTTGGTTAAAAACTCACGCGGAATACTAAGAACAGCGTTTGTTATAGTTATGGCCTTACGAGATTATGTAAAAGAGATTATACTATGTACCTAAGTATTCCGTCGTAGTTGAATGCGTAAGCGATCCTGCGACGCCCCATTAAGACGGGGGAAGGTTTTGTTGGGTTTTAGTGGGTAGTACTGGCTGTATTACGCCGGTGAGTCCCACACGTCGTGCGTAAATGCATTTCCCAACGTTAAAAAAAAAAGGTACCTAAGTATTTATACTTACGAGTCATGAACGAAGCATATGATGTATGCACATTTAGAGCCTGAGGGGCTTAGACAAGATATAATTGTAAAATCGTTAAATAATACAAATTTTATTGTTTTCTTTATGAACCGATTGAAATAAAACAAATGCTAAACGTTAAGTGAAGCTATTACAATACATTAATGAAACCCGCACTCAAATCGGTTAAGTGGTTTCTGAGATTAGCGCGCACAAGCGCACAGACAAACCGACGAACAGACAAACACAAAAAAATTAAAAATCATTGTTTTGGATCTATTACGTTAATAAAGACCCCTTAATAATAGTTTTTATTACATATATTCCATGCACAGACAGCGATCAGTTACACTTTTATTATATATAGATAAATTAGTAGAAACGAGTTTATCTTAAGTTTATTTTTGTTTCTACAGGTATCAAAACTCGGCGGTAACCCAATTATGGAAGCTGTGCTCGACGATCTATGTAACTGGAAAATCGATTGATATATGAATACTATAAATATAAACATTATTCATATCTGATTTATTCTATAATTTCACTCTCGGCAGGGGCTAGGGAATTCATTATCACTTGTACCTATAAAATTATATCAGTAAAGAATTTATTTATTTATTTATATATCAATCGATTGGTATTTATGTACCTGCACATATTTTTAAAATATTTCAAATGTACGTTAAAATATTACTATGTGTTTACACATTCATGTGCCCTGTTTGCTGTAAACCCTCTTATCTATACTAATTGGAGCCGCAGAAAGCAGGTTTGGGTCCTAATTTTATAATTTTGTTATTATTTATTAATATATAAAAAAATGAAATTAAGTGTTTTATTTACTTATTATAAATTAAGAAATAACTTTTAGTTTTTATTAAGATATGTTATAGCTACAATAAAGGGTTCATCAGAATAAAATTAAGATACATATTGACGTATAAACTATTGAGTAAAAATCAGATCTACATAACATAAACACAACATAATAAAAATTTGATAGATAAATCCATCAATCAAAATACTTTCTTGATCAATGGATAAAACAAATCTATTGTTTGTTTTTCTAAATCTTACTAAAGCTTTTGACAATCTATCTCTTTGCTCAAAAGATCGATGTAAAAGGTCTTACTTACGTATATTTTTTCTTTTACAACTCTTAATATTTATGCGTTAGTAATAAAAACGGCCCAGTCATTTCGGAGATTAGCCGGAACAAATACTTAGACAGACATAGAGACAAAATTTTTAAAAATCGTGTTTTCCGTATTTAATGCCATATGCATTTAGTAAAAAGCTGTCATTTTGACAATACAAACAGACACTTCAATTTTATTTATTATATCTGTATAGGAGATATTTTAATGATGAAATAAATATGTATGTATTCATAAACATATTCATAAAATATAACAATTTGTGTATCTACGCTATGTATTGTGTATTCAAGCAAACAAAATTGGCCCGAAGAATAGCCCAAAATAATGCTGTAAAGTTTTAAAATAAAATACTATAGGTACCGTTTTATCATTTTTATGTTTATATGTTTTTCAATTATAAAAATATACTGGATAAATTTTGATCAAATGTCATTACCATGCCAGTCTACATACAGAATAAAACAAAACCGAAACAGCACACCAGAAATGAAAGAGATGGAATACTCGTAAACATTTTGTTATATGAAAACTACACTACCCTGAAATCACCATTTTAATAGTACTCGATGTCATATTTGTAATAAAATTGTACAAATAAAATAATATTTTACTTATTATATTCACTCTTCCAACTGAGAAGCTCATCAAGTACCGCCTCCGATTTGGAGTTACCTCCATAACGAGTAATATAAATAATGTTGTTGTTTGAGAAAGCTGATGATTGGGAAAGAAAAAAGAGTTTTGATTTCTTCTTATGATATGTCACAGTAAAATATGTATGTTTTAAAACTATTTGCTTTTATTTTAACTGATTAAGTGTATTCAAAGACCATTATAGTACTTTCTGTTGTATGGGCATCGGCAACAATGAACATAACGGGGTCTCGTAAAACCTTTGTAAATTGAATAAAAATAGATCTCTCGGGTAAAGTCGCGGGCAGTTTAGTAGTTTTTTTATGTTAGGACATTAACACCAGCACCATCTAGTTCCATGGTAAGCTACGAGGCCTGTGTTATGGATACCAGATAGTTGATACACTACAAATATATAACTTTTAAATACATACATATTATAAATAAATATAAACACCCATGGCTGGAGTACAAACATTCGTGCTCATCACACTAATGAATGCCCCCAGCGGGACTCGAACCCGCGACCTGTAGCACAGCAAGTAGGGTCACTACACACTGAGCCAAACGTATCGTCTAAACGTGACAGTGTTATGGAAAATTATAAAGGAGCGTTAATATAATAATTTATGGTGATCATGACGTTGACTAAATCGTCGGCCGACTGAAAATATGAAGTGTTGAAACGCATTATACCTCTATTTGGCTTCAAGATCGAGCCGAGCTAAAACGTCCCGCGTGTACTGCAAGCTACCACCATCTTCCAAAAGTGCCACGCAATACTCTTTGTTCATACGATATTTCATCACGAGTTTTTTGACGAATAATATCTAAAAACAAATAAAGATGCATTTTGTAAAATAATTAATAGTTTTCCTTCATATTGTATACTTTTTACTACACGCGTTGTCATAACTCATTCATTATGCATTCCAAGTGTTCAACTTTTTTCGAGATTAATGTCTATTTCCTAGTGGTAATAACAATAATAGATATTTAAACATAATTACTATTTTATATTTCATAAAAACAATAAACGTCCAAAGAAAAATCGATTTTTTGCACTAGTAACCTTCGCAGGAGTATACAAAAAACCCACCAGAGTTTCATCACAATCGGATCGATGGTTTAAGAACGGAACAAACATATGAACATTCATTTTTATTTATATAAATAAATAGGTATATAAGTATCTTTACCGTAACTTAGTCGAATACAGATAATTACCACATCTGGGGCTGGGAGCACGGAAGTCCCGACGCTAAGTCGAGCTAAAAAGCATCCTTTCCTTGAATCGATTCAAGACATTCATCGTTTTAGGGACGTTTGCCATCACTAAGTATTTAATTTGTTAGTCAACTCCTCCACTTTAACGACGATGTCAAGAACGCTGACAGGTATAGTTATTTTTTAATGGTGTTGTTTTTATATTTTAAAATAATAGCTAACAATAAAATAGCACATAAATATTTTCACATAAAATATTTTAATTAAATTTACAATATATTTTCCTTTTACTATTTAAATTAAATAAATATTACTTTCAATACCCCTTATCTTATTTTTGGTTTTTTTCATCTCATTCATATATTCTAATAAAATTTACAATATGTAAACGATTAATTTATTAGTAAATTAATTAATTATACAATACTTGCAATGTAAACATTATTTATACCTCTATGTCTATATTATTACTTTTGTGTGCCCAAAGGAGGGTTATACATTTGACCTGTATGTATATTTGTATGTCCCATCCTATGTTCCCTCGTAATTACTAACCTAAATTCGATTCGTCTATTTATTAATGTCTATAATTATTGCGGCGAGTTGTGCCACAATATACACCCAGCGAGTGGTCAAAGATTGAGAACCCTCTTCAGTAATTGTGGTTCCCTAAGTTGGGAGTAAAATTCCAATTTCGTCCAAAAACACAACCCATGTATAATACACATTGGAATACACTTTCGGATGAAATGATTCGAAGCGCCTCAAGCGCCGTACAAACAACACACCAAGCACACAAGAAAAATCATTGACTCAAACTGGACAAGTAGGTATATGCGCGCCGCCCAATGCGACGAGAAAGTCATCAAAGAGGTCTTCGATGGAAGCGGCCCCGAGAAGACATTGGTTTTGTTCGGAGCTGGTTCCAGGTTCATGAGCACTGCTTCGTTTTATGGGCGGAAGCAAGGGCAACATAGACGTCGAGATTGTCGAGGAATTGTAACCGGACCCGGAAAATTGGCGAATTTCACAAGATTGGCATGAATCACCGACTACTTTGGGGGGTTTGCCAAAACTGTCGCAGCGTGTTCGATCGTGACCAGAACGCCTCCAAGGCATATTCATTAAGACATATTCATCAACTGTTCACGGTCTAACATCTGTAAACCAAGATGTTTCTTTACCAATGGGGCATCGTAACCTTCTTTTTGTAAATTCGAGTGTATTAAGGTAGAAACTCACGTTTGCAGCTATTTGCGCTTGAGTCTCAAGAGGTTATCTATAGTTTTTACTTACATTTTGCAAGAAGGACTTCTAAAAAGTTTGAAGATATATTGCGTACTTTAAAAAGTTTTTGAGTATTCTTGTATATTTCATAAATTAATTATTTGAGGAATTGTACCATAATAACTTTAAGTTATAAAATATTAAAACAAAAAACTCCTAACAGCTTATTCTTTGTATTATTATGTTATAATTAAATATTTAATGCCAATATTTAGTTATAACTTATATCATATTTTAACACACTAGCCAGTGAACTTGAGCAACGTGCTATACGTGTTCTCATAAAAAGTCACGATTAGCCAAAAAAAGAAATACACACATGGGCTATAAACACATTTAAAATGCGCTTATATATAGTAGATGCACAATTTTCATTCATATTTAATCACCTTTGTGTTGGATAAATGGTTAACCAACTTCCAAAAAGGAAGAAGTTCTTAATTCGTCGGAATCTTTTTTTACTATTTATAGTATATCTTCAATAATAAAACAACAATTTAAATTTTACATTCATTTTAATAAAAATAATATTATGGCATTCCTACAATATAAATATATCCACGTTAAGTTACAAAATACTACCTTACTTCACGCTTACATTAATAAGTATCAATTTTTGGCACGCAAGTAACCATCATTCAATCATTCATTTTTTTAAATTATTAAGATTTATGGGTTGAAAAGTATAGAATATTTTACCGATTGTTTTATTTAAATGGTGCTTTTTACTTGACTGCTTTTATGACATTTTAGTTGCATAACTGGTAAATGACCGGTGGTAGGACTCTGTCAACCTGAGGAGTCCGATTGGATGGGTACCACTTATCTATTTCTCCCGCCAAGCAACAATGATTACATTGTTGTGTTCCGGTTTGAAGGATAAGGTAGCCAGCGCAATTACAGGCAAGAAGCATATCATCTTAGTCCTCACAGTGACAACGCACCTGCGGTTCTGTATTTTTGTAACATAAAACTTAAGTGCATGAACCGTAGGTGTTATGGGCGACAGGTGCCGCTTTCCATCAGGTGGGCTGTCTGCTCGTTTGTCACTGAATATCATAAAAAAAAACTATAAAACACAATAGTATTTTTTATGTAGGTGGCTTATTAATAATAATATATATTTATGTCAAATACGTACATATATTACTGTGTCTTACCCATTGACATAGAGAGTGGACTTTGCCAGTCGTCAGCTAAAAGTGGCGGACAGGCGCGACAGAGACAAAACGAATGTGCGGCCAAAAGTATCTTCTGTATTAATTGAAATACGATTAATTCAGCGATCTTATTTATAACTATTTTACATACCATTATAATATTATAATTTCTTAATGAATTATATTTTATTTTAACATACCATTTATAAATTCAATTTGGAATAAAACACAGGTATCTATTGGCCGCACGTTCGCTTTCTCTCTTTATAGAGAGTGGTCAATTTCATGAGAGTATTGCTCAGTCCATTCTCCACATCTATGATTGGTCATATCTCACCAGTACGCAACACGCTAACATTTATTCCAATTTATTAAAACGTTAATCGTTTGATATGACTTAACAACACTATCTAATCTATTAAAATATTATATTATTATTTTAATTCTAGACTGTATTGTCACATTTTCTCCTAAATTGTGCTTTTATAAACCAATACCTATCTAAAATGAAAATTGCATAAACAAGCATCATGGTCTGAAATGAATGATTTTTATCATCTAAAAATCGATTATAACCTCATAAGTACATTCAAATGAAAATTTACTGTAATGTTGAGAACAAATCTATTATTATTATTATTATTAGTTAATAGGTTCTACGATTGAACGAATTAACCACTGGACTAGACATATAAGCGGACGTACCTTTATCGGTCTTCTCAGTAACCAGGAGATTTTAGGCTTGGTCGTTTGTTTTTTGCGTCAGTCTCAAGCACTTATTTGTCAACAAAACATCTCCCAAAAATGACTAAATGTTCTGTTAAATGCTGTAAAAACTATAACGGCGGAAGCAGCAGTATTTCTTTTCACTTGTAAATACATTATTTTATTACATTTATTGTTATTTATCACACAATTTAATTAAATGTAAAATAAAATGTCATATTATCCAACTATGTTAAATATAGTCGATATTTCTATGTATTGTTGACATCTGACAACCATCATAAAATCCCTGGATTATACCATTCAGAACAAATGACTAAATTGTCGAGTGAGTCCATTTGACATCGACTAGTGCTTGACAATGTCGAAAAATATATCGATATTTGACGAAATTACTAAACGAATTGTGTTATTTGTACAGTACAATAACATAAAATACTTTTACCACAGTAGGATACAATCTGATGACAATAAATTTATAAAAATATTTTCTAAATCAAATAAAAATATAAATGCAAAAATTATAATTATTATGTGTACTTAATTTTTTATTTTATTTTATTCCACATTTATATACTTTGGAATATTATTCCATTGTAATAATAATAAAGATCATTTTATTTCAACACATAAATTACACAAAATCAAACAATAATGTTTTAGCACTAAACTTCTGAGTTGGCGATTTGTAATAAAACACTTTACCACTTGCACTAATTATTTTACTTTCACGATCCAACACTCACTTTAATTTGCAATCTCTTTTTCTTTTTCCTAATTTCACAAATGTTTATTAAGAACTGAGCAATAGTAGGACAGTGTCACATTTTTATAACTACCCGAGACAATCAATTGCCAATTAAAATAGTTCAATAACAGAATCAACAAAATCACTTTATTTAATTAAATTAGCTTAATATTTTTTTTTAATCTTTACAAAATAATATTTATTATATATTAATGGAATATATACCCGATATTCATTTGTTCATTAACATTACTATAGGCCAACAGAATGTTGCCATCAATGCCATCGTATTTATATAAATCAAATTAAAAAATAATTATTATTTGACACATTATTATTGCCTCTTTAATTCATTTATTTTAATTTATTAAAATTAAAAGAAGAAGAATAAATTAAAAGATGTAAAATATGATGACTATGCTAACCAATGTCTAAAATGTCATTCAATGGTTCATCGATATATGTATTTTATCGATTACGTTCAAGCACTAGAAATATTGTATTGTGTATCAGTGTTTATAATAATGTAATATAATCTTTGTGTGCGTTATGCGTCACTTGGTTGAACTAGTTTTCATACATTTGTATTTTATGTCAGGTCCAGTCTCTAATTCGTTCATGGTTCTACGTATAAATGTATAGGTATGTATGAACAATTATGGCACTGCATTAGTATTTATGAATCCAAAATCTTTGGTCTCACTAGTTAAAGTAAAAAAGAATATATATATATATTACATAAATTATGCTTAAAATGTATATTATTATGTATTAAGTGGGCATCATAGCTGAATTATTTTTACTAGGAATGTATATTGAGTATTAACTTGGTAACTGCTATTAAGTATTAAACCTACATAATCCTACAATTTATAATTTATTTACATGTTCATTCAGTCATATAAAATAAATTCAAACATTAATTACAATCGCCTTTAGGATTGCGATATGTAAATGTTAATGATCGTCAATTTTCTCAGTAATAAAATACAAGAATTTAAGGAAGAAATAAAATTTTTAAATAATTTTATAAGATTATAGAAAAATCTTTCAAGATATACGTTGGATATATGTTTCAGAGATTATGTTATACCGCTTATAATTTTTGAGCTATTTAAAAATGTATATTCACAAGTATTGACAGCAACACATAAAGGTGGGGTTACATAAAGTAAAAATGGCAGTTATAGTGGCCTTCACCATGACATGACATGGAATAATATACTTATTCCATAAATCGAGTCCTAGCATTATGAAGTAACAGAAGTGATTGAAGTAAATTGTTACTGGTTCAAGAAAGGACGTTTTTCGGATTTGAACCGGTTGTAAATGTTGCGATGTAGTCGCCTATGTCGGGTGTGTCGTAACTGCCACCGTCACGTTGGTCGTCGGACGAATCTTGGTATAGGAGCTCGGAGACCTCTTCTGCCTATGACTGAGGGTGTCAATTGCTCATCTTCTTCTTCATCAAGATCTTCTCCACCTTCAGAATTATCTTCGCCACTCCACAGCTCAGGTTTGACTGCTTGATACGATGCTGAAAAGCCCTTAAATACAATAGTGTCGTCGGTACGGAACTTCACTAATAGAGCTTCTGTTGTTGAAACGATTTCTGGAGGCATCTGTTGAAAGAATGAATATTTTAGACAATAATTATAATATACAGTTTGTTTAGTCGATTTCATTTTTTTTAAATGGCAATAAAGTATGCTCACACATTTCAATTTTGAATGATCTAAAAATATTCGATTTATATACATATGTTATACTATTAATATTGATATTACCTTAGTCCCACAAAAACTGCCATAGTCACCGCCACTGCCTTCCAACCCACCAAAAACTTGAACATAATCATATCCACAGTTGTCTTCTGGTTCAAGATCGAAGGTGAGGAAAGTGAGTCTAACAAACTGACCCATTGGTGCTACAATACTCCAGTCACATCGTGAGCGGGACTCGTAAGAGTCGTGGCCGTATCTCGCGTGAGAGTAAAGATGCTTCACAGTATCTGTTGCAGCTAGGTACCCTCCGCATGCTGTAATAGAAGCATTATTTGTGGAAGTCATTTATAATGTTAAAATATACGATTTTTAGTATATCAATGCACTATAAATATTATCTAAATATTATGTTATCTAATTCTTCCCAAAACAAATATTTTCTTCAATTACTTACTGGGAAGGCTGAGCGTAAAATTTTGTAACTACGATCTCATGAATAAAGGTTTTATTTATCATGGTATAGATGCCCCATATGGCGAAAGTTTGTATTTCCCATACGGATGTTCATCTTGGCCATATTATGATAGAGGCACCAACTATAGGTTATACGTGAATACGATAGCGATAAGCTGCGTACAAGTTTATTCTTCCTAACTTATACTCCTCAAGGGAAAATGCCTATATATGTAGCTATATCTTAGTGTAGCTACGAAATACGTATACACTCTAACAGCTATGTTAGTATACTTCAGAATACTTAAATGTAAACTTTACAGTAGGTAAGTAATAAACAGAAAATAGCTTACAAGTCGAATACGTAGCTAAGAATCCTTTCCTTTGTACCGAAGCATCAGACTTGAAGACGACGTACATTTGGTTGTAGGACGCCACTACCGGATGTGGAAGTTTGCTTCCGCAAAATCGTCCCAGGGTCTTTTCGTCTGCTGATGCTCCATCATAGATTGTAACGTGATCGTACGTGCATTCCTAAAATATTAATTATAAAAATTAATAATTGTATATTAATATATACTATTTTCTAGCTATAAAATTATTTTTTTTAGCTGGATATTTTCTAGATATTGATATAAGACACGCTATACAATTTATATGAACTATGAAGACCATGAATAAAAGAGACTACGGCTATATATCTCAGTTGCTAGAGATAGATTATGGCATAGAGGACTTTAATTCTTCGGTTGGTCAAGTTTGTATTGACTATTACAATAAGAGTATGCTTCAGATAGATGTATGGAAAGACTTAATGAGCGGAGTGACGGGTAATAATTGCTTTTTTCAATTAAAATTCCTTGAAAGCTTTTTAAGAAAAATAAAGCTACTTTTTTTTCTTTTAAATAAAAAGTAGTAGGTACCTGATGTGGTTCCAATTCGAATACATTAAAGATCAACTTGATGCGGTGTCCAGGAGTGGTTGAGAATTGCCACACACAGTCTTTCCTCGATGGATACGTATCTGGATAGTTCGGACTGTAAGGAAAAGAATTTCTGCTTTAATTCCCAGATTCGTCTATCAGATTACTAAGAGAAAACGGAATAAATAAATAAAAGAAAAACTTAATTAAATGAGCAAACCATTAAAAATAATATCAATTTTACGTTAGTCTATTTCAGAAACGTTATAAGTGATGTTCTCCTAGCCGATTTTGACCACGGCGGCCAATCTCATTGAGACTAGCCAACTGCGCAGGAGATATTATACTACACAAGTGTACGCGCAGACACAACGTGCACTCTCTATTCCTGTCACTCTCATACTCTGGTGGGACGACCACTCGACACGACCAGTGAGAGTGTCGGCGCAGGACCGACGGCTTTACGTGCTCTCCGAGGCACGGGGGTGAAACACCGCCAACTTTCCAACTCCGGGCTGTTACTGAGGCTTACTATACAGAAAGACTCAATAACTAAACATGGCCCGACCCGGGACACGAACCCAGGACCTCCGGGTGTGTGCCGTACATGCTAGCCACTACACCACCGAGGCAGTTAACGTTATAAGTAACCACTCAAAAAATGTAAATCGTATACCATAGACAGTTATTGTTGGTAAAATGCTTTTTCTTATTTTACCTGAAAATAGTGCCATGAGGATGAGTGATGTCGTGTTTACAGCCACCCTCCTTACAATCGTGTTTGTTCGGGTGTAATGTAAAGCCGCTGTGACACGCGCATTCATATCCGCCTAAAGTATTGTGGCATTCGTGCTGACACCCGCCATTGTTGTCTGCACATTCGTCGACGTCTATGTAGTATGTTGCTGCAAAACCCGAGTGATGGACTGAAGCGTCTGATGTGAACTAAAATATAAGAGAATAAATTATCATAAGTTTGATTAAAAATTGTGTTAATATTAGAAGTTCATATATGCCCGAAAATAAAAGGTTTACAGTTAAAAAAAAAACTATTAAAACAGGATATTTCCATAAATTAGCGTCCGGCAGTCCAGCCGGGCGTGAAGCCAAGAGATACACTGTCCCACCTTGGTGGGTGTTGTGCCATGCGGGTTGCTCCTGGTACCTCTCTAATACCAGAGTGGACCGTGGGAGCAACCCCTTGGTTGTGTGGTCTGCTTCGGAAGGCAGGTGTCGGGGCGTCGTGGTTGAGTGCGTAAGCGATCCTGCGACACCCCTTTAGAACGGAAAAGGTTCTGTTGTGTTTTAGTAGGTAGTACTGGGTTTTCTAGCTGGTGAGTCCCACATAACCACCTGTATGTATATATATATGCATTTCCTAACATAAAAAAAATGAAATATTTTGCCAAAGGTATATAAAAGACGTAATTGTTATAATTTTTTTTTGCTGTTCATTGAATTGTACATACTTGAACTCGCAAAACAGATCCTTCCGAGATAACAGGTTGTGGTAGAACTGATCCACAGAATGCTCCATGACGTCTTAGTACATCAGCACCCAGTCTTGAGTGTACAGTCACACTGTCGTATTCGCATTCCTATAGGTAAAAGATAGTAGGTAAAATTTGTATACTTCAAAAAAAAATGATATGTGACGATAAATTAATGTTGATTTTTATAGGTTACTAAAAATCTTTGAGTAATGAAGAGTATTGCTTAATGTATGTATAAATTTACACTTAAAAAATATTTATTAAATCGACTAGTCATCGTTAATGAATAAAAAGATAAACAAAAATATTTTAATAATATCTACCTTAGCTTTTATATAAAAAAATCTATAAAATAAAATACTAATGAACAGACTAATGTATAAAAATTATATTGCAATGCAATGAAAATGTTGTAGCAATAGAAAATTATATATATAAAAAAATATTTCTTCTGCAACTTTACATCATCTTGTGACTGCATACGACATCCGCCTATTAAATGAATTGCCACAAGACCTTGCCCTAGAGATGGGAACATTCTTATGATTCAATTTAACTTGGTCTAATAAAGTTTTTTATTAGATTAACTAGGCATCTAATTAGACCTTTTGAGAAACTTCCTCCAAATAAAAAATATTCAAATTACATCTATATTAAAAATTAGATAATTAAATTGAATATTTCCCTAGAATATTATAATATAACAATTTAACATTTTTATAAATACGAAAATAACATCACTTAAGTACTTTAAATTTAAGTATATTAAATAGACCAACAACAATAAGTAAAAGATTGATAAGAATTGTCTTTCTAAGGAGTACAAATAATGCCATATGGAGCTTCCTTTTCTTTAGGCGTTTTTGCTAAAATGGAAATTATTTAAGCGAATATTTAAAAAAATTGCTCTTACCTGGTGATACATATTATTACTGCCTTCCAAATCAAAATGTGTAAAATTAAGCGTAATCCTGTGTTGTGGCTGAGCGACGATTTCCCAGAGACAGTTCTTAGATGGTGGATATAAATCGGGAAATGATGGAGATGTAATGGTCCCATTAGGACCATAAAGAACACCTCCACATGCGTCTGCGAAAATTACAAAATATAATTTTTAGTAAAAACTAAACGTTTTTCATGGTAGGGGAGCCGAAGAGGGGATTTTCTGTAGTTACTCGAGCGCGGCAGATTAACATAAAAGAGGTTACCTTGCACTCTATTGAGTACTTTCACCACAATATAAGTCTTCTATATAGAGGGGCGCGTCTAGGGAAGCCGATTAAAATATTTAAAAAATGTTTTGATAAGGTAGAAATACTTGAAACCGTCAGATTAAGCTGTGGTAGGCTAGTCACATCCTGAAAAGTGTCCAATTCAATAATCTGCCGATTTGCACAAGCCGAAGAGGCAAAAATCGACTATAAAGTTTATGATTGATGTGACTAAATAAAAAACATGTATTTTACAACTCAAAACGTTATATATTTCCTGAATAAACTTAGTTTCTACTACATTGAGTATACACATCAAGACAAGAAAAAGACAAGTGAGTGTGAGAGAAAAAAAAAGAAACAGGGTTACCAGCTAATTAATGTAATTACATTGCCATCTTTTAACACCCTCCCTCAATGTAATTACTCATTACATTTAATAAGAATCTGCTAGTGTTCAGGTGTTCTTTTACTTATTTAAGTAATCTATTTAGATTGACTATATGCTATAACAAACTAATATTAAACAAAAAAAAAACAAACTAAACTAATTGTTTTCCACACCACATTTCTTAGTAAATTTTAAAAATAATTCATTATTCAGAGGTTTTGTAAAACCATCAGCTGGTTGCTCATTTGAATTTATGTAACTAACACTTATTTTATTATCTTTAATTAGATCTTTAATAAAATGAAAGCGAATATCTATATGTTTTAAACGTTTAATAGACTCGGTTGCTGCAGTTAAGATTGCTGACTGATTATCGCAAGAAATATTTACTGGGCAAATATTCTGAAAACCAAAGTCATTTAACAAATTTATTATCCAACAAGCTTCACTGGCAGCCATGCTCATAGCAACATACTCTGACTCAGTTGATGACAGGCTCACTGAGGCTTGTTTTCTGGAAGTCCATAATATCAGGCAATTTGAAAATTTAAACATATACCCAGATGTGGATTTTCTGTCCCTTAAATCTCCACCCCAGTCAGCATCACAAAACCCTTCTAAATTGCCATCTGTACATTTATAAACTAATTTGTAATTTATTGTATGTTTTACATAGCGTAACACTCTTTTTAAAGCAGTAAGTAAAACATTATTTGCACAATTTTGATACCTGCTCAACATTGAGACTGCAAAACACAAATCTGGCCTTGTACCCTGTACAGCATACATCAAACTTCCAATTATTTGCCTACACAATTTTACAATGTTTCTATCTGCATGTTGATTTAATAAGCTTTCAGAGTTAAAATTACTATCCATTGGTGTGGTCTTAGGTTTACAATTTTCCATTTGAAATTTTTTAAGAACATTTTCTAAATAACTTTGTTGACTAAGTTCAGTAACACCAGACTTTAAGTTTTGGTTCACATTAATACCTAAAAAATTTGATATTAACCCTAAGTCTTTCATTTTAAATTCCCTAAACAAAAACTGTTTTAAGTTGATTAATTTCAGATTTATTTGTTCCAAATATTAATAGATCATCGACATATAATAACAAAAATATTTTACCTTTACCATTACATTTTTTATACAAGCAAGGGTCACAGCTAGATCTATCGAAACCCTCTTTACTCATTACATCATTAAACTTATTATTCCAACATTTAGGAGACATTTTTAACCCATACAGTGATTTATTGAGTTAACTATATTATTATTATTAGAATAAGCCCCATCTGGCAACTGAATATATACATCTTCTTTAATTTCTCCATACAGAAAAGCCCCGGTGACATCCATTTGATGAATTTGTAAGTTTAATTTTGTAGCAATAACCACAAAAATTCTAAATGTTGCCAGCTTTGCTACTGGGGCATAAATATCTTGATAAGTGAATAAATCATTTTGCTCGAAACCCCTTGCTACTAACCTAGCCTTATATTGATTTGAACTTTTAATTTTAAATACCCATTTGCTACTTACAATTTTACTTGAATCAACAGGTACATCACACACATGCCATACATTATTTTCACTCAGTGTTTGTAACTCTCTATCTATGGCCTCTCTCCACTTGGAAGCATCACTTCTATTCATAGCGTCCTTGTATGTCACAGGCTCAGAATCACCATGCACAAAATTACATTTATAAAATGATGTTTGTTTCCTTTTTCTTAAAGGTCTCTCAAGTTTGTAAGCTTGTGTATTGTCATCGCTAGATAAACTTGAATCATTCGTCCATGGTTCATATTCACTTTCCGATTGTGTTTTATATGACAAATCTTCATTGCTTTCTTTATTAGCCTCTTGTAGTGTTTTATATGACAAATCCTCAATGTCCTCTGAATTATTTTCTTCATTTACAGTTTCAGCCTCCTGTGATAGTTGGTCTTCTAATGGCATTATTTTAATTGATTCCTGAACTGTATTTATTTCATTTTCTAAGAAAACTATATCTCTCTTCATTTCTATGGTATTTTTCTGTGGAAAATATATCCTGTAACCTTTTATATCTTCACTGTATCCCACCATCAATCCCTTTTCTCCTTTCTTGTCCCACTTTCTTCTTCTTTCTTTTGGGATGTGCGCATACACTGAATCACCAAACACCTTCAATATACTAATATCAAATGTCTTGTTTGTCCAAACTTCAAAAGGTGATTTTCCATCCTCCTTACTCTTTCCAGTCCTATTAAGCACAAAAACTGCTGTATGTACAGCCTCTGCCCACAACTTTTTGGGTAAATTTTTCGCATACATCATTGTCCTGGCAGCTTCAACCAATGTCCTGTTCTCCCTTTCTGCCTTTCCATTTTGCTCCGGTGTGTATGGTACAGTCAGTTGATGTGTTATACCACGACTTGAGAAACACTTCTTTTACCTCCTTATTTGTGAATTCCAAACCATTGTCGCTTCTAAATATCTTAACCTTATTACCCGTCATATTTTCAGCCTTATTTAGAAAATCTTCAATACAGCTCTTTATTTCGTGTTTATTTTTGACAAAATAAACAAATCTGAAGTTTGAGAAAGTCATCTTTCATTAAAACAAAATACTTCGATCCGCCTAGCGAGGCTTCTTCCATCGGGCCACACGTATCAGCGTGTATCAATTCACATGTCTTTGTGCTAATGTAATCACTTCTTGAAAACGGTAATCGGTGAATTTTTCCTTGTAAACAATTTTCACATTTGGGAATTGATTTTTGTTTAATGTCGATGTTGTTTTTCTGCAACACTTTCTTGACGTATTCAAAATTTTGATGTGCTAATTTTTCGTGCCACATATTTAAATCATTCAGCTCTGATTTAACAACGTTTGCCGTATTACATTTAAAGCGTAAATTCATGTAATAACCATTTCCAATTCGATTTGCAATCGCATACACGTCGCCGTGTTTGTAAAATTTGCAAAAGTTTTCATCTGTCATCATGACATATCCTTTATCGGTAGCTCGATTTACAGAAAACAAATTAATTTTTAAGTCAGGAACAAATAAAACGTTATCTATGGTTGTATCGATCCATTCATTTCCGTTTTGCACCTGCACTGCCATCTGTCCGCATCCTAACACATTAATTGCCACGCCGTTACCTACTGTCACCATCTTTTGCGAATGATTTGCAAAATGCGTAAATAATGAACGATCACAGCACATATGTTCATCTGCACCAGAGTCTACAAGCCACTTAGATTCTTGATATTGTCCATACACTGTATTAGACACCACAAACGCATTAATCTTTTTATTATTATTACGTTTATTATTGTTCTTATTTTTCTTGAACCAACACTGTGTTTGAAAATGACCAACTTTACCACAGTAAAAACATTTGTTATTTTCATTCTCTTCGCAGTTTTTTTTAACACTTTTACACTCGCTCTGGAAATGTCCTATTTTCCCGCACTTGAAACAGCTTCCAGACTTTTATTCTTCACTACAAAGGCAGACGATGATGAACTTTGCTGGGGTTCTTCATTTTTGCCCTTTAACCTTTCTTCCTCCATTAGCAACCTCGCCACTATGTTATCCAAGGTTTGCTTATTATCAGGAGCTGATTCCCATGCTGAGATAAAATGTTTGTATTCGTCAGGCAGCGACATAAGTATTTCGTAATTATAAATTTTTCAGAAATTTCTTCACCCATCTGTTTAAGCTGACTCTGTATTTCTTGAATTTTTGACAAAAATACAGACATATCGGTACCTTTTTCGTACTTATATTGAAAGAATTTTTGTTGTACAATGTGAATGCTCGTTTCTGTTTTCTGTTCATACACACTCTGTAGCTTCCTCCACATCTCCGCTGATGTCGAACACGAAATGATATGTAGTATTACATCTTCAGTCATCCTAGTAACTATTAAAGTCTGCGCCTTAGCATCCTTGTTTTCCCAAGCTATTTTCTCACTGGCTCCTTCAGGTTTCATACAACGACCTTCTACTATATCCAGCCAACCTTGTCCGCGTAACAGTACTCTCATTTGAAATTTCCATATATTCCAGTTCTTGGAACCTTCCAGTTTAAACACGTTCACGTTTTGATTGATTTCCATCGTTATTTGTTCCGCCTTCCTGCACAATATGGCGACTTCCTAACCTCAATTTTCCGGTTAGTCTGAGTGCAGTAATTCAACCACTGCTTTTATTTAATTCACAGAGGTATATGTGTCTGGGCCCATAACCTGATGTGACTAAATAAAAAACATGTATTTTACAACTCAAAACGTTATATATTTCCTGAATAAACTTAGTTTCTACTACATTGAGTATACACATCAAGACAAGAAAAAGACAAGTGAGTGTGAGAGAAAAAAAAAAGAAACAGGGTTACCAGCTAATTAATGTAATTACATTGCCATCTTTTAACAATGATGATTTTTGCCTCTTAGGCTTGTGCAAATCGGCAGATTATTGAATTGGACACTTTTCAGGATGTGACTAGCCTACCACAGCTTAATCTGACGGTTTCAAGTATTTCTACCTTATCAAAACATTTTTTAAATATTTTAATCGGCTTCCCTAGACGCGCCCCTTTATATAGAAGACTTATATTGTGGTGAAAGTACTCAATAGAGTGCAAGGTAACCTCTTTTATGTTAATCTGCCGCGCTCGAGTAACTACAGAAAATCCCCTCTTCGGCTCCCCTACTATCATGTCATTTTTCAATCTGCGATTGACTTCAAAAACAAAACTTAAATATTGAGGATCATATAATAAATAACATACAGGTATTTTGGAAATTATATATAATTAATTTTTTGAACATCACAAGTACCATACTCGCCATGTCGTGTTGGGACACTTTAATAAATGCAAAAATTCTAAATATTTTTTATACTCACTCTCGCATTTTTTCCCATCAGAGTGCAATTCGTAACCGATATCGCAAGCACATTCATATCCACCGAGAGTGTTGACACACGAGTGACTGCATCCATGATCTATTGATGCGCATTCATCAAATTCTTTCATGAAGGTGGCAGAAAAACCAGCTTTTTGTACTGAACTATCTGACTCGAAGATAACAAGCAGCTTGTTGGAAGACGATCTTAAAAGATGCGTGGATAAGTTTTACATAATTTTAAAGTGTTATTCAAAGTATCGAATTCCCATAATTTTAATGACATGCCTTACCTTATGTCAGGGGGTATCTTGTGTCCACAAAACATGCCTATAAGAGGACTATCCATAGAGTCTCCGTCTCTAACTTTGACTTTATCATAGTTGCAAGTGTCATGATTTTCTACTTCGAATGAATGAAATCTTAAAGCCACTTGATAATCCTGTAAGAATTTTTAAATTAATATTATTACTGGTTACATTTAATAAATTGTGTACAGGGTGGAATAAATCGATAGGACATGGAAGAAAAGTACCTTAAATATTAAAGTTATCAAGATTTACTCAAAGGAGACATTTCCTCTTTATTTTTAAAAATAATAATAACTGCATTTAATTTTTTTTTAAAAAGCTTACCTGACTCGGGAATCGAATCAAATAAAAATGCAAAAAAGGACACCGTCACTATTTTATGGAATTAATCCATAGGGTCTATGGGAAAGATAAAATCTCTCGAACAAACATTGCGTCTTAGAATTGTAGAAAACGATGAAATTACAAATTATACATATCGACTTTTACATCGTGAAACAAACGTACAGGACATTTAAGAAAAGTGTCTTAAACACTGAAAATATCAAGTTTCACTCAAAGGAAATATTATTTTATTTTTTAAAATAAGATTAACTTCATTTTTTTTTAAAAGAGTTGACCTGAACCGCTAATCAAATCAACTGAAAATGCAAAATGGTACACCGTCACTGTTTTATATTTTAGCATATATCAATCCTAACTTATATATATATATATATATATATATATATATATATATATATATATATAAGTTAGGATTGATATATGCTAATTAATAATGTTATTATATATATATATATATATATATATATATATATATATATATATATATATATACAAAAACATATGTTTATTTTAAAATTCACAAATTTTAATTTTAATTTTTTACTTGTGGCACCGAAAGTCTCCAGATGCACAGTTTGTTGGGCTGATAGTCGTCGGGATAATTAGGAGATTCCAAGTGACCGCTGCTATCTACTTCTATATTTCCACCACAGACAGCTGAAATGATAATATATATAATGAATATTTTACGTTTTATATTTTTAAAGAACTTCCTACAAGGAATCTGTCGTGTAATAAGTGTAACTAAAAATATTGATTCAATATTGCTTCTTAACGAAGGGAGAAAATGAAGTTTTTAGTGTACATATATAAAATTGGTTTTATTTATACTATGGAAATACTATTTGTGATGACAAAATTATTATAGTACTAGCTAGCATTGCCCACGGCTCCGCCCTCGTTCAGATGACCAGAAACCAAATTCTTAGGTGTTACATATTAGTATACTCTTACAATGCAGTTTTTGTATTTTATCTCAGAAATGAGATATTTTCCCGCGGTAAAAAGTATCCTATGTGTTGACTCGGATAACCAGCTATCACCATACCAAATTTCATCAAAATCCCTCCAGTGGTTTTCTCGTGATGCCTTCAATGAGATTTTCCAAAAAATATTTAATGTACAGATTCGGCTTAGTTACAATTTTATTATATGTATAGATTTGAACCATTGTGGGATACAACATGTGTAATGACGAGGAATTTCAGATATCTAATATAACGGTTATCGCTATAAATAAATGGATTACTTGATTGAATTACGGATCCTGTTATTGGATTTCATATCGGAGGCATCCTACCATAACTCCTATGATCCTTTCAGATCAATTTTGGATTTAGGTATAATATAACCATGGGTTGGTATATTAATGAATGTTTGAATGAATGAAGTAAACTCTATTCGATTAAGTTTATTACAAGTGCTTTTGAATCGTCAATTTAATGTGAGCGTCAGTGTTGACCGTCCGTGAGGAATCAACCACCTCGGAAAGCAGTTCTGCCGAGAAGAGTCGGCGAGAAACTCAACAGTTGCCCTTTTAAATATCGAAGACAACATAACATATAGATAGCCCCCATATGAGTCAATATTTCTCAATTCCACAAATTTCCGTCAACAAGAAACTCTGGAACAGTGTAATACGCTTTGCTCAATAAAATATTTTTATTTTTAAATTTTTGAAGAGATAAATCTAGGATATTGTGGAATCGTATTATATACTAGCATTGCCCGCTGCTCCACCCGCGTTCAGATGACCAAAAACCAAATTCTAAGGTTTTACATACTATATTCTTACATTACATTACATATTATTTTTTTTCAAAAATGAGATATTTTCCCGCGGTAAAAAGTATCCTATATGTTGCCCCGGATAACCAGCTCCCACCATACTAACTTTCATCAAACTCCCTCCAGTGGTTTTCCCGTGATGCGGTAATGACAGACAGACAGAGAGACAGACAGACAGACAGACAGACAGACAGACAAAAACTCTAAAAACTATAGATTCGGCCTCTGTATTGATAAGGATGTTTATTTCATTCATTAGGATTTTCCAAAAAATATCTAATGTACAGATTCAGCTTAGTTACGATTTTATTATACGAGTATGTATAGATGTATACCTATACTCAGGCCCATTAAGGATTTATTCACCTTTGGAGTCGAAATCTGGACGTAACAAGCTTATTTCTATTCCTAGTGTTTATTGTGTGTCTGTCACTGTTTTTTGCATAATTATTTATTTTATTGCGAACAAGTAATATATTACACAGTATATATTGTGATGCAACTGTAAGATAATAAACAATAAGTAAGTAAAAACCTATAAGTTTTTGTATAATATAACTCAATTATTAATAAGTTATGAAATGATTTGTCTGACGACACGATATTTGTTAAGTTCTTTGCGTAGGTATTTTTTCTGTAATTGTATTCTGTAATTCTTTTGAGAAAATAAATGTCTTAAGTCACAAAACTACAATTTATATTTAAGACTAATATTTTTGGAAATCAAAAGAATTTATCTATAGGAAATATTTACAATATATGTATATATTGTATATGAACGTTACCAAAATAGAGCGGGACGGAGGCGTATTACTTTGTATGACGAAAAAGCACTAGGCGGATACGATAATATCAGAAGTCATAAGGGAATCCGAAGTTGAAGAACATGTCCAAATATGGCGAAAATTTGCATTTGGCAATTCTTTAACACATAGGTACATATAAAATTAAATATTATCTTACCTTCGTAATGAGCTCGGAAACCCTTGTGAGGTTTTGGTCTCAGGCCAGGCTGATATACGACGGTCAATCGCGATCCAGTAGATCTTATGATTGGTCCTTTCCCAGATCCACAGATACGGCTGAGCACAGGTGAGTTTGGCATATACCCATCAATAAATTCCACCCACTCTACGCGACAGCCGTCGGACTTGTGGATATCAATTTCTGAAATAAATTTAAGGTATCAATAATGCTATATGTAACTATTATACTGATCTTTTTAGGCCACTTTTTGTCACACGAACCCTTAGTGTGTCATTTTTAAAATTTTCACAAATTGAAAATAATGAAATATATATATTTCTTCAATGTTAATTTTGCTAAGTTATATTTAATTTCATTTTTATCCTTCACTTATGATTTGTGTATTTTTTTATCTATTTGTGATTTTTAAATAAACGATGCAAAATATTTAAAGCAATAACTAAAGGACCAAAAAAATTAAATAGCACGTGTGGCAAATACACGCAAATAGGAGATGACATTCAAAGTCCTGGGCGAAATGAGTACAATATATTTTTAGTTTCTATCATATAGGTATACACTTTTAGATATAATAAAACTATTCGTATCCATTATTATTCGTATATATTATTTTGACGACACGTTTGGCTCAGTTTGTAGTGACCCTACTTGCTGTGCCAGCGGTCGCGGGTTCGAGTCCCGCTGGGGGCATTCATTTGTGTAATGAGCACGAATGTTTGTACTCCAGTCATGGGTGTTTATATTTATGATATGTATGTATTTAAAGTTTATATATGTGTAGTGTATCAACTATCTGGTATCCATAACACAAGCCTCGTAGCTTACCGTGGAACTAGGTGGTGCCTGTGTGTTTAAGTCCTAACATATTATTATTATTATAATAATATTATTTCGTAATACGTTTAACATAGAGTGTTATCATGGTCTTTTCGCCTTTGACTGCAGCTATCATATTTTATAGAAATATAACAATTTCAAATAATAAGGTAAGAGTCAAGTGCAGCCCTAGTCATAAACAAAGTTAGTAGCTTTTGCGATAACATATTGCCCCTCTTCCGAAGGGCCAATTTTGTAAGACCCTTTTCATACCCCAATTCTTTAGCGTCTAGATAATATGAGTGCAATGTTGTGTGAAACGCCAGTTATTGTTATGGTGGTCGTTTGTACAAAATACAAACACTTCTGACCATAAGGTAGGAAACTAAACTGATAAATGATTTTAGACTTTTTTATAAGTATAATAGCCATTTTTATAAGTATATAGGTCATATAAGTAAATAGCCAGATCCTTTCGTATACACTAACCCTAATGACCTCTTTTTACATGGTCAGGAAATTTACTCTATTTTTCCTTTCTTTTAGTGCCGTTTGGGCAAATTACTCTATTGTTAATTTCAACACTTATTAATAACTAGTTATATGGAGCACATATATAGGATACAGGTTGAGCTCCCCGTTGGCGCCTCTGTACAAGACGGGGTGAGGTTTAAAGTTTATGGAGTAAATAGGAATTAAAATTTAAAATTCAAATTATTTTATTCAGCATTAAATTATTACAATTTTTTACTGAACGTCATGAGTCTACTACCAGTTCGGAAAGAAGAAGCCTCAGACCTGACGACTGGCGAAAGAAACTCAGCGGGACTAATATTATTTCATTATCTTTGTTTATAAAGTTAAATTATAAATTACAATATTTCTATCAAGTTGAAGTAGCCTGGAGGCGATCATTTCATTCCCAAGACGTGCCATCTTCTATAAAATAATTAATTGTATAATAGCCTTTAGCACACAAACGTTCTTTAACAATTCTTTTGAATTTGGCGATAGAAGAATACATAAGCGATCGGAGCCGCAGGATTTAAATGTTTTAAATTCTATTGACCTATTTGTAAATTGCTTTCATAGAAAACAAATCTAAACTAATATAATAACGCTGATTAGTTTGTTCTTATGTTTATCGCCCTAATCTCTGGAACCACCAGTTGCATTTTAAAAATCTTTAGCTTTTGATAGCCAAATTCTCAAGTAAAGTTATAAGCTCACATCTCGCTACCACATTTAGGATCAAAACAGTTATACACAAATAAACTACGTGATCTTATAAAAAATATATATTAACAAGTAATAATATTAATAACAATTTATTAGATCGAATATAGCGTCACAGAATTCAATTAGCTTATGTTTTAGATTAATTCAATACGTGACGTTTAACCGCAGCTCGTTCTGTTTTAATCGGATTATTTATAATTTATTTCATTAATTAACAATATTAATGAAAATGATGGCCGGTCAAATTCAGGCATATGTCAAAAGTTATAAATATATATATATATATATATATATATATATATATATATATATATATATATATATATATATAAATATAATATAATATAACAAATGTTATAAATTTTTGTTATTATTATCGGGGAGTACCAAATAATTGTCTATAATCTTTATTGCCTTTAAAAAACATTAATAAAATATTTTAAGCTTTAGCTATTGACGACAGCTTCCTTAATGAGAGAAATTCTTTTTATTTCTCATCGAATGAATTTAACTCACGGAAGACAAGATATAACCAACGCTTCATACGGAAGCGCGTACAACAAAGAGTTCAGCAATCTTTTAATTTTCTTGAACAATAGATAGCTATAAGTATATGGACATATTTAATTCAGGCTATTACCCGCATAATGAAATATACTATTAATATGGCTTCTATTAGATTCTAAATGAAATATCATATAACAGCCGTTTGCATGTTGTTTCACTCGCAAAGTTGACTACTAATAAAACTATAACCTTCTTCAATAAATTCATCTAATATTATAAGAAGCAGAAGGCAGTGGTAGTCCAGTTAACGCGCTCGCTTGAGAAACCGAGTGAAGCGGGTTCAAATCCCGGATCTCGCACCTATGATATTTTCATGTGCGAATCATTTCCTATATGATTACCACTTGTCTTACGGTGAAGGATCGTGAGGAAATCGGCATGTCTAAGAAAACGAACTGCCCTAGTGGGCAGCGTAGTGATCCTGCTCATATTGAAGGGAGGCCCACCCCCAGAGTGTCATGTTAAAAAGGTTAAGGGAGGTGGAGGTGCTGAGAGGTGCGAAACCCGGGATTTGAACCCGCCTTAATTGGTTTTCCAAGCAAGCGTATTATCAATATTCTACCATTGTACCACAATACCTTTCTGAACTTTTAATTTATGTATTAGACGAATTTTTAACTTTTTGTTTTCTACAACACTAAAGTTATAAAAATCTCTTCTGAGTACAAGTTAAACGGACTTAATAACTTAAGTATGAAAGCACTTGCTGTAAAAAATGTAGTTACTCATATTATTTTTACAGACAAAAATATCGTAGTATATTGTATGTAACTAAGCCGAATCTGTACATTAAATATTTTTTGGAAAATCTTATTGAAATTATCGTTATTATCGATATAGAGGCCATAAGTTAGTAGTGCTTAGAATTTTTGTCTGTCTGTCTGTTACCGCATCTCGGATCTTTTTACCGCGGGAAAATATTTCATTTCTGAGAAAAAAAAACAAAAACTGCAATGTAAGATTAATGATTATACTAATATATAAAACCTAAGAATTTGGTTTTTGGTCATCTGCCGCAAGCCCCGGGCAATGCTTGTATGACATATAATATTATTTCGTGTCGAAAACTTCGTTCACTGACAATGTGCCATTGATTGAAATAAACGCTGAATCCGATGTTAAATCTGAATTTTATTTTCTGACGACATATAACAGATATTTACTATTCTACTCGCCCTCAGAGGACATTAGGCTTTTCGATGTATTCCTTAGAAAGAATTTCGCCTTAACAGAATATTTTATCCAAGCGATGAAATTTCATTCTTAGCAAAATCTTATATTGCTTAGAAAATGCTATTTAATAGTTAATAGATAATAATGTTTTTAACGATATTATGTCTAAATAATTACATTTTAATTAAACCGATAGTAAATAATTTTAAAATTAATTTTAAACTTTCTTTTTTAACTCATTTGATATTTATTCTGTATATTTATATGGTGATCGCTTTGATATAAATAATAAATAAATAAATAAATCATCAAAATGTGTTCACTATTGGCAAAAATAACGATAGATAAGTAAAATACACTCAAATTATGAAAAAAACATATTATGCCGGCTACGTTATGTTCCGAAAATACAAAGAAACATATTCTATTAAAAAAAATTATTATATTACTAGCGATGTACCCTTGCTTCGTTCGGGTGCTTCCCCACTTACGCGAATTTTGTTCATAATTTCATAGGTTTTCATTGTTTGCACGGAACCCTGATTCTTATTTTATAATAAAAGTAATCTAAGTTACTTCTTATAACATCAGCTATCTGCCAATGAAAGTCCCATCAAAATCGGTCCAGCCGTTTCGTGGATTAGCCGGAACAAACATACAAACAAAAAAAAATTGTGTTTTTCTTATAAGTATCTACCGTATATAATTTCATATGCATTTCGTAAAAAGCTTTTATTTCGACATTACAAACAGACTCTTCAATTTTATTTATCTGTATAGAAATGTACTACATGTTATAATAGTTTTTTTAGCTTCTTCGGCGCTGAACTGAATTATCAGGTTTTAATGAAATTTGAAACAGAGATAACTTTTTATCGATATACGTACCAAGAGTGATGTACGTATCTCTCATATTTAAATACTATTTCCTTATACATAAATAAATAAGAATTAATTGTTTGACCGTATATTAAATTTATATACACCTATAGCCATGTCAAACATTACTTACAATATTGTCTCTGTATCTACGAGTAATTTAGGCAGCACCATTCTCTGTGCAGGTATATACGAGTACGTATAAAACAAAGATTTATCGATACAAACGACACGCCTCAGGCTGTGTAAGAGAGCAATAAATTCATTAATTCCCATACGGTAAATCCGTTAGGTGGAACTCAATATATGTACATATTCATTTCGCCTAGAGGAAGACAACTACGTGTAATAACATTTTATGCTTCCACATCAAACATGCGTTCACAGTGAATTGTTAAAATTGAAGAAAATTAATATACTCATCTGTGTTTACGATGTATAATAAAGCAGGTTCGAGAGTTAAGTTTGTTCGTTAAATATTAAATTATATGAAGGCACACAAAAACACACACATTTTAAAAGGTTTATTGCCATCATTTTATGTCGAGTACTTCTTTTATATCTTTCTTGAGTATATTGAAGACATGAAATTAATAATATTATTTGACACTTCGACTCCACTCAGACAAGTTTTTTTTTTTAATTGTAACAGATATTCTCTATTAATCAAAAACAAGTTAATTTTAATTGTGATAAATGTACGTACGTTTTATTTTTTTTGAGCTGAATCCTAATACTTTTTCTAAAATAGAAGTAGCTTGAGTGTGTGTAACTCAGATATAGGTATAGCTGATATTATAAGGAGTACCTTCAGCTTACCAGCTATCTGCCAGTGAAAGTCCCGTCAAAATCAGTGGAGCCGTTTCGGAGATAAGTCGGAACAAATAAACAGACAAATAAATATTTTAAAAATTGTGTTTTTCTTATATGTAGGTACCGTATATACTTTTATATGCATTTAGTAAAAAGTTGTTATTTTGAAATTACAAATTCACACTTCAATTATCTTTACGAGTAGGTATCTATATATAGTATAGATAGTCTGCGAGTAATATAGCTGCGACATACAGAGAGACTTAGGTATGGACAGACGACGTACAGACGGACTGTGTTATCTGTAACCAGCTATCCACAAATTATAAGCATAATAATAGCTTAAATATATAGAAAAACAGCTTCGAAGTGTAAACGGCGGATAAAATATTCTTTCGAATGTGAAACTGGCTACGTTTTATCCCGGGAAAATTGGAAGAACTCTCGCGGGATAGGAAATAGAATTGTGAGTTTTGGCACGTGGTTAAGTGAAGACCGAACTAAAACTGGAACAGTCGAGTTAAATAATAAGAAGCGCATTTGGGTATTATTTTCTCTAAAGAAAACTATTTGAAGTAAGGCAAACAAACAATTAGCTTACTTAAGCTTTCTTCGTACGTGACCCCACGTCCTATGACAATATCATCACTTTACGTGTACGTGTCGGGATAGTAATAAACTTTCGTTTAAGATTCTTATCTTACATTGTAGTAATAATAGTAATTTGGCGGTCTCAGGGATAAAATAGTGCCTGAACACAGTTAGGTGTAAGCAAAGTTTGAGTTTTAGTTTAAAATACCTTTGTACTAAATCCATCTTGTAATATATACGATGACTCAGTTTGGCTCAGTTTGTAATGGCTCTACTTGCTGTGATTGTGGTCGCGGATTCGAATCCCGCTGGGGGCATTCATTTGTGTGATAAGCACGAATGTTTGTACTCATGTTATGGGTGTTTATATTTATAATATGTAGTCCATTAAGTATCTGGTATCTATAATACAAGCCTCGTAGCTTACAATGGAACTAGATGGTGTTGTGTGTCAATGTCCCAATATATTTATTGATATATTATTTATATGCTAGTGATCAGTTTATGTAGCTGGTACTTGCATGAAGAGTCGTAAAATCAAATTGTTTGCAGTCATAAAATATCTCTACTAAGTTAGAGGTCACAAATTCGATGACTTTTGTGCTTAGATCACGTAATTCGATCACATAATATGTTTACCTTGTTCGGGAAAAGTTCGAAAAAATAATTATAGTACCTAGTATTATATTCTACTTATCTATTATATAATATATTATAATCACTACTCATTTTTTTACACTATGTTAATGATTTTTTTTCTTTGATTATAGATAAAGGATAACGTCTAAAAGTACTGACTCAATGAAATTTTTTATGAACAGAAACTACAGCCACCACCCGTGGTCAATACATAGTCCTGAATGCAAAATTAAAGCCTTTTAATTTATATATATACTAGCGACTCACCCTCACTTCGTCCGGGGACGTCCCTATGTAGTTTTTAACGGTTAGTATAGATTTCACAGAGATTATATATTTTCTTGCAGTAAAAATTATCCTATATGTTGACCCGAATAACAAGCTATCATCATACCAAATTTCATCAAAATCCCTCCAGTAGTTTTCCCGTGATGCGCGCACAGAAAGACAGATAGACAAAAATTCTAAAATCTATAGATTCGGCCTCTGTATCGATAATAAAGTTTATTTCAATAAGATTTTCCAAAAAAAATATTTGATGTACAGATTCGGTTTAGTTACAATTTTATTATATGTATAGATATGTAATTTCACAAGAGCTCGTTAAATTTCCAAAACAATGATAGACAATTTAATTTTGAGAACCTGTAAGTATAGATAAATTACATTATCAAAGTAAATTAATGTTCCACAAGTACATTAAAGCTTTGTAAAGTGTTTTACTACCTGAATACATAAGTTTGTGCATATCAGCAGAATGTATTTGATTTGGTAAAGGCGCGTGTACATTATCTTTTGTTATATGTACGTATGTATGAATTATATAATATAACTAGCATTGCCCGCGACTCCGCCTGCGTTTAAATGACCAAAACCCAAATTCTTAGGCTTTACATATTAGTATACTCTTACATTGCAGTTTTTGTATTTTTTCTCAAAAATGAGATATTTTCCCGCAGTAAAAAGTATCCTATAAGTTGACCCGGATAACCAGCTATCATCATACCAAATTTCATCAAAATCTATCCAGTGGTTTTACCATGATGCAGTAACAAACAGACAGACAGATAAAAATTCTAAAAACTATAGATTTGGCCTCTGTATTGTAATTATAAAAATAATAGCAAAATTAAATAAATAATATTCCATATTCAATTATAATTAAAATTATAAAAATGTGTTAAGTTAAAAAATATTGTAATGTAATTGGTGCAATTTTCATTTTGTTAATTGTGGGTAGGCTGTCTGTAACAACTATATCTTCAAGACATGTAACACCTCAGTCTCTCCCGTGACCATGGATGCTGTAAAGCATTCGAAACGTCGGGAACCAAAAATCAAAATAAATCCGCGAAATAATCCGAAAAGATAGTTTTATTTAATAATGTCAAACATTCGCGTAAATCTAAGAAAGTATTATGATAGTTGGTACATTAATTTTAATATATTTACCCGATTGTGCAACGTAAAGGAGGATAATGTGTTTATCAGTCTATGTATGTATGTATGTATGTACATCTCGCGGCAAGGATGAAACGTGTATGTCTCCGACTGCATAACACTATATTTCTTCGTCGAATTGTTTTCAACTTTTCAGTTAACTTTTATGCAGTCGGCTTTTTTATTTTTATAATATACCTAATATATATTTTTTATTTATACCTTAATGTACGAGTATGTAACACTTTTACTCGAATTTTTTCGTTGCCACATTTAAGTAAGTAAATTTGTTCAATTATCTTATCAGCAAACACTTACCAGTGATATTGAGCACGACCCTTTCGCCATGAGTCGCTACGATCCTCCACTCGCAGCGGTCGGGCGTGCCTGGCGTCTCCGAGCCCCAACCGGGGGAGTTGAACCAGCCAGAGTTACCCAAAAACGTCTTACCGCATTCTGTGTAAAGTATGTATGTAATTAGAATGTTCATTTCTAAGGATGAAATTATGTTTCTTTTAGGTAATTTAATCTAATTTTGACTTTATTAAAGATGAAAACATGAGAATATATAAATAAAGCAATAAAAAAATATATTTTAATTTTTTTTATACATATAACTTGGCCCATACATACATATATTTCGTACTCGTATACGATGGAACGCTTGATAGATGCCTACCAAAGCGATCGTTCTACATATTATTTATAATTATAGCAATTATTCTCAAAATACATTACCTCGAACAGAAATCGAACCCTCACATTCACTTACCAAGTAACATTTTCTTAAAGAAATACGAAAAACAAATATCAATTATATATTACCTATTTAGTGATTTTTATCTAAACATTAGTAAAACAAAAGTACTAAAAACACATACTTGCGCACTTGTAGAGTAAATTTGTTTGGGCGATATCGCTCGCGCTAAGCCTCACTCGTTGCCCGATCTCTGGTCTTTTCTTGCCGTGAACTTCGAGGGGTAGGATGGTATCTAAATATGTCCCCTTACTAAACGTATTCCGAGCATAGTGCATTATCGAATCATAGTCGTACGTTTGCCCGAGGGAATTTACCTCTTCTTCAGTCAACTTGTTGAAATTGTATTCTTGTCCTGCGAATGTATGGAAATGTTTAAAAATGAATATTCAATTTTGTACAATAAATTGAAATGTAGTATATTTTCTGGTGTATAACATTTTATATTTGCATTATAAATATGAGAAATAGCAATTTGAAAAAAAAATGAAAAATGAAAAATCGACAGTTGAAATGGAAGAAATAAATCTATGCGAATATATGTTTATGTATATGACAAAGTCGGGTTGGTTATAGATACCATTTATATTTTACAACTCAAGTACGGCTGGACCGATTTTGATTATGATCTTTTCTTTGATTCTGTATTTACGAAGATTTCCGCCTCGACTAACAGAATAACTATTAAAACATCGTAAAAATTCGCCAAGAAAATTTACATGACTAACGCTGGCTAGCTAGCGAAACGCACCAATACATCGATCCTGAACCAGCTCCGTATAAAAACGTGCTTGTCCACCTAATGCCGACAACGTATACTTTCGTATTTTGGCCACACAATGCGCAGAGGCGACGAAAGTCTGGACAAACTCATTGTGGTTGGAAATACCGAAGGCAAAAGATCGCGCGGTCGTGCTTCAATAAGATGGACCGACCAAATTAAAGGCTCGTCATCGAAATTCCACACGGTGGTAAGAGACGCGCTGGACAGAAACCGATGGAGGCAGATCATCCGCTCCAGATCCAACCCTAACACTGACCACGATCCTCAGACATGAGGGACCGACCCCAGAGAGAGAACGCTGGCTAATATTGACGACGCGTGTGGTTCAGTGCGTAGTGACCCTACTTGCGGTGCCAGCGGTCGCGGGTTCGAGTCCCGCTGGGGGCATTCATTTGTGTGATGAGCACGAATGTTTGTACTCCAGTCATGTGTGTTTATATTTATAATAATATAGCTTACCATGGAACCAGATGGTGATGTGTGACAGTGTTCCAACATATTTATTTATATATTTATATCTATTTAAAACGTACCTAGAGACGCACGCGACCGAAGCCCGGGTGTATATATAAATTACCAATTAAAATCTATTAAGATATAATACTATCCTCCAGGTACAAATATTTTAGTATTAGATTTAACATAGAAGAAAGAAACGCTTAGGCATGAATTCAATAACAGTAGCGAGGGATTAAGTGAAATTATAGGATTCTATTATCTTCAGAAACTTGCTTTCGACGATTGATTAATTTCATTTAGTTTAAGACTAGATTAATTAAAGCAAAATTGTAAGGCATTGTTTATTACAAACTAACTTTTGCCCGCGGCCCTGTTCTAATGTAATGGCGATGTTGGTACATATATAAGATATCTCAGGAAATGCCAGCATCATGTTTCAAAACTTATATATTTTAACTAGTTTTAGTTACAATTTATTAGGAACTTATTCTCAACTATTTCCTATTTCTTTGCTCCTGTTAAAAATCACGGATAGCATCCACCCATATCTACTTCCGGCCGACCAATCCCCTCTTTTTGTTTATTTATTCTTTCTGTTTTAAATTATATTTGATATTTTCTTTGGGTCTGACCATTCTCGTTATTTTCAACTGATTATAAAGGTATCATAATTTGTGCGTTCGCGTCATCAGTGTGGCCAGTATAATAAATAATATATGTTTTATTATACATTAAAATAGCGAAACTTTACACAAGTATCTACTTAAATACGAGGTATGTCACTCTTACATGAGTCCTGTAGCCACAAGTGGCAGTTTTGTAAGAATCGGATAAGCTGATTTTTTATCCTTTATCCTATCAGAATTTTTTTTCTGAGTAAAAACTGAGTTAAGATTTGATTCAGTTTTAATCAATTTCAGTCAAAATATGTATAAAATATCTTATCTTAATCATAGTCAAAATTAGTATCAACTTATGTTCTATTATAATATGCTTTATTGCAATTTACCGGAAATGCTTTATTTTGAACTAAATGCTCTTAAAGTCGACTAAATTCAACGAAACTTAATAGCTGGAACCCTTACAAATTATAAATTGACGTAAACTTAAATTGATAACAATAACCTTACAGTTGCTTATCTCTAGCAATTAAAATGTACCGAGAATACACTATTTTATGCTTTAAGGCACAAGGTTTGAGTTTAATTTTGAAAATATGTTATCTTGTGTAACAAAGGCAAAGTTTTGAATGTCTAGAATATCGGCGCGTTGCTGGCATTTTGGTAATTTATGTTTTAAGATGGGGTAAAGATCTCGTCTGAACAATTATTTTTTTATGAATAAACTATAAATACAGCGTTTGCATTCATTTGGGGTGTATTTATTTACAGACGTTTTAAGATAATGGTAAAGAGCTACAGTACGATAAAAAATTGGTTTCCATTATCACCCAATCAATTAAAAACTGTTTAATATAGGTAAATTAGATTATATTTATAAGACTCAAATGCATGTAGAAAACTGAGAGCACAGAATATGTTTCTAGAAAATGATTTCATCTGGGTCACAAGTTCGATTTTTGCTTTAGGAAAAAACATAAGTGATAACCTTAGCGCAAATAGAGCGAAATAACTTAGGAGTGACTGATGTTATTTTATTGATTTTATATCCTTAATATAAATATAATCTACATTAATCCATCAACTAAAGGAGTGGGTCAGAGGCATTTTTTTATTCTTTTGTCCTAGATATTACAGTGTAAGTAGGTTAGTGGATATGATGTAGTACTTATTCTATTCCCGATGTAAACCCACTTACAATTATCCTATGTTATGATTGCTTTCGACGACGATTACTTGTAATGACGTCTATATTACACTTGTTTGATTTATTAGAGCTTGCTAGATGCTTTGAAAGAAAAGCCGAAAACTAAGTATTTATATCACACACTAGTGACTCAACCTAGCTTCGCTCGGGTTCGTACTTAGGTACATTTTTTTGAGCGGAACTCTAATTCTTTTAGTGAAATAAAAGTAGTCTAAGCTACTACGTATAATATTAACTACCTGCCAGTGAAAGTCCCGTCGAAATCGGCCCAGCCGTTTTGGAGATTAGTCGGAACAAACAGACAGACAGAAAATAATTTTAAAAATGTGTTTTTCTTATAAATTTTATAATAATGTTTTTCTTATAAAACCATATATATAATTCCATATGCATTTAGTAAAAAGCTGTTATTTTGACATTACAAACTTATATTCAATTTTATTTATCTGTATAAATCATATGCAGGGATATCAAATTGAGAGAGCAGAATTTGAAGATACTGTTTCTAGTACTATAAAAGCAATATTATTATACCGTTTTTCTATTTAGACTAAGACAAACGTGTGTTTTGATCATTCAAACTCAATTGTACATACAAACCTCTGTCGAGCATTCAAATGAGTGTAAGTGGCTAATAAAAAATATGTCCAAATCTCGTAAAACGGCTGGCTAGTGTATGTAAAAACTACATCTATACAGATAAATAAAATTGAATTGTCTGTTTGTAATGTGAAAATAATAGCTTTTTACTAAATTCATTTAAAAAAAATTAACTGTCTGTCTATTTGTTTAGGTTCCGAAACGGCTTGACTGATTTTGATGGGACTTTTACTGGCAGATAGCAGATGTTATAAGAAGTAACTTAGGCTACTTTTATTTAAGAAACAGAATTCGGGTCCCGCTAAAAAACGTACCTAGTTTAATCTAAATAAACTAAGCTCAAGAGCTTATTACTAGTAGTCTCATTACATTTAGTAAAATAACAACATAATATATAGATCAAGGTACACGCTTAGTAACCTGATGTAATCTTATTTAATTCCCTTGCTCCGCGCGCTTGAACCCACCAGCAATTAGCACTAGATTATATCCATGGAGTTATCGTTATTACATTCATATGCTATGACGTCTTATTAGAAATATATTCTACATTATTTTTGTTAAAACTCGTATATAAACATCGATTAGAAAAGTACTAGATACACAATCCCATGCAAAAGTTCTCTTAAAACTGTCACCAATTCTGTTTAGATAAATTATTATTCTAGTTGAAAAAAATGTACAACAATGTAAATTGAACCTTAAAAGCAACGCTTAAAGTTGTATTCACAAAAAGAATTAAAAGCGCGCTCAAATGTTCAAATGAGCGTTCATTCGATGTGAACATTTTTTGTCGCTGATTGTTAGATATACAGCATATATAGTACTTTTTTGATTGATGTATATAAAGCAATAAATGCTAATAATCGGATTGCTATGTACTGATAAATACGTAAGTTTGTATGTTTGTTACTTCTTTAAGCTGAAACGGCTGGATGAATTTGGGTAGTATAAAGATAGTCTAAGACCTGGAGACAGGAGTAGTACATAGGCTGTTAGTGGCATTGATGTTGGTCACCTAGGGACACACCCAAGAGAATCGAGGGTAAGTCTTTGGTCTTATTTTTGAATATTGTATTGTATTCAGCCCTTTTTACGTCCCACTGCTGGGCACGGGCATTCCTTCAATACGAGGGGGATCAGGCCATAGTCCACCATACTGGCCAAGTGCGGGTTGGCGGACTTCACATGTCTTTCGAAAACTTGCTAGGTTCTCTCAAACATGCAGGTTTCCTTACGATGTTTCCCTTCACCGTAAAGCAAGTGATAATCATGTTGAAAATGATTCGTAAATGAAAATATCAAAGGTGCGAGACCCAGAATTTGAACCTGCTTCACTCGGTTTCCTAAGCGAGCGCGTTACCACTAGGTTACCAGTGCCTTATTATGAACATTGATCTTGTCAAATTCGTATACAAAATTGGTAACAAACAATGTAAAAATGGAGATATTTACTGACATAATGCTATAATTTACAACCTTCAACCCAATTCTTATCTAATTTCATGGTTGTATAGCCGCTGTTACATTTTCAAATATGATTTGCTCCAGAATGCGTAGATGTAAATAGGCAGGAAGTGTCTTCTTCCGGATTCCAACTGATTGACATGATGCGACGTGACACCTCGTGTTGTGATGTGTTCAGCTCTACGTATTCGACGAGTCATTGTGACTCGTGGATTCTAGTTCAAAGAAACTGTGTCATGAACGATGTTAATCTCCTAATGTACGTAATTAATGTCTATTCCCAATTGGATTGAGTAATTTTGTGGTCATTTGTATGATGAATGTTTTTTGCGATAGTGTTAATTGAAGAAGTATTCTAAAAAAAAAAATTTTATAACTTTTTAAAGTAGGATAAATATGTTTTCTTTTTTTCTTTTTGCTGTTGTTGAAATTATTTATTGTAGTTATTTTTTTTGTATTAGTTCGTGATAAGACTTACTTAATCTATTCTAATATTGTAAAGAGGAATAATTTGTTTTTTGGTTGTTTGTATCGAATAGGCTCCGAAACTACTGAACCGATTTAGATGAAATTTGGTAAGAAGATAGTTTGAGACCCTGGGAAGGACAAAGGATAGTTTTTATCCCGGAAATCATCCTCACCATCACTTTCACCACTTAGGGGTGAAAATGGGGCTGAAAGTTTGTATGGGGAATTAAATTCGGGACGAACCCGAGCGAAGGGATGGTGTGTCGCTAGTGAAAAGAAAAATAAAGCGATATCAAGCCCCTTGATCAGATGATGCTAAAGAATAAACAATCATTTATTGCGATTAATGCCTAATTGAAATGTATAAATATCGTAAAATATACATTTTAAATACTCATACAGCAACGATATAGAAAGTATATATTTATATAATTTATAAAAAAAACATGAAAACAAAGTTGACAAGATGTTATGCAACGGTGTGAAAAACGTGAAGATTTCAGACGCACGTAGTATTCAGGTCAAGTGGCGGCTTAAGAAAAGACGTGGCTACGTTACGCACTTCACAGTTCACACTGCTTGTACCTTATATCTTAGAGAATACAGAAGGTGGTATCAACGTTCTATTATTGACACCTTTTATGTTTTTTAGCCCGAAACCTGATTACGAAGTGTGGAGTTCGAATCCCTGGTCAGGCTCAGAGTTATTGAGAATTTCGTCTAGTAACTCGTAGTAACATCTGAGGAGATGGTGTGATAAACCATCGTCTCCTATAGTCGGGCCTGTGCCTGATTTCAGGTCGATCTCATTATTGATCGCATTTGATCACTGTAGTATTGGATTTTGAGGGTAAGGTGTAAGAGAATACACAATTACTTGATACAATTATCATTAATATTATCTCTTATCTACAACGTAAGTATCTTGGCACGGTAGTTCTCTTGTTTTATGCTATTTTACTTGTCTCCGTGGTTTGGATACACGGAACGAAAAGTTTGAGCTTTTTGCCCATTAACACCATTTTAACTTAATAGACTGTTATACATATTTATGCTGTCAGATGGTGCTGGGCGATCGAACCCAAAATGTTTGCTAGTTAAAATGTATATATTTTTTATATGTTGGGACATTAACACACAGCACCATCAAGTTCCATGGTAAGCTACGAGGCTTGTGTTTTGGACACGAGATAGTTGATACACAATATAATAATATATCACTTTAAATACATACATATTACAAATATAAACACCCATGACTGGAGTACAAACATTCGTGATATCACACAAATGAATGCACCCATCGGGACTTGAACCCGCGACCGCTAGCACAGCAAGTAGGGTCAACAAACAAACGTGTCGTTTAATTAGTATTCATATTATAGTTTTTGCTAAAATATGGTAACTGAAAACTATATATTTGAGTACAGTCAGCAGAAAAAATAATCTTCGGATCAAACGGTATCTTATTGAGCAAGTAATATAAAAAAAAACCTGACATAGGCATGTTAATAGTCTCGTATCATATCTAATACGTTTATTCAGATGATCCTTTAAGAAGTTGCCATTTTTTATATCATTTTTCTTTTCAACTCAATGTTTACTTTGGAACAAAGGCCACTTGAAATCGTTTTAGGGTCTGAGCCCAATTGTTAGACGACAATCTTTTATATTTTTCGAAGGAGAATCTTGAATAGGCAGTCTAATTAAGAGGTTTATGATGAAAATATCTTTTGGTCATGTATTAAAAACCTTAAAGCTCACTTTTACTTTATTTTATCTTACATCATCTATATAGATAAATAAAATTGAAGTGTCTGTTTGTAATTTTAAAGTAATATACAGCTTTTTATGAAATGCATATGAAATTATTTACGGTTTGGTTTTGTCGGACTGATTTTAACAGGACTTTCACTGGCATGTTATAAGGAATAATTTAATCCATTTTAATTTCAGAAAATGAATTAGGGTTCCATTTAAAAAAATTAAAACGTACCTAGTGATGCACCCGAGCGAAGCGATGGTAAGTCGCTAGTTAGAAATAATGAAGTAAAGTTTTTTTTTTGAATATAACATCTAAAGCTATTAAATCGATTCAAAAAAGCCTTTACTCACCTATACATGTAATAAAATAGTAACAAAGCAAAATCTGTAGGTATATGAAATATTGTTTAAAAGACAAGGATTGTTTCATGTTGTGTACAAAATATAGCCCCAAAACAATAATTATTGATAGTGACTGTTTGTCTGTATGTCCGCAAGAGTGTATTATTATGTCTATCTCCTAAGATAGTATAGTACATTTGCGATAACTATTTTTATCTATTTCAAACGTACCTAAGGACGCACCCGAGCGAAGCGTAGATAAGTCGCTAGTATACTACGAGTACCAATAAGAGAGTAATACTATTTTTCAATAACATGGAATTTTATATGAGCAAATTTTTAAACACCCCTTGAGTGGAGCCGCGGGAGTAAACTAGTATTTTATAAAGTAGCTAAAATTTTAGAACTGTTTTTTAATATAGGATGGAGCTCACTAATAACAATAAATATTTTAACTTCTAGATTAAAAAAAAACTATTTATTTCGATTATCGATATTTTTATTTTGATATTGTCTTAATAAAATAATGGGGATGATTAAAGTACAGTATTTATGGAAATTCAGCCTATTTGCTAAAAAATTAAGAATATACATATTTAAATTATATTTTAAAAATAGCAACTCACTCTCGCTTCGCTTGGGTGCGTCCCTAAGTATGTTTTTTTTTGAACGGAACCCTAATTCTTTTTTTAAAATAAAAGTAACCTAAGTTACTCTTTATAACGTCAGCTATCTTCCAGTGAAAGTCCCGTCAAAATCAGTCCAGCCGTTTCGGAGATTAGCCGAAACAAACAGACAGACAGACAAAAATTAAAAAAAAATTTTTTTTCCTTTTATGTACCGTATAAAATTTAATATGCATTTAGTACAAAGCTTTTATTTCGACATTTCAAACAGACACTTCTTTATCTGTATAGATTAGTTTTAGCAATTCGTAGTTATTTTCATAATGTTAGACTAATTATTTTAAAGTACCCATAAAACGCTTTTACCAACATTTACTTATTTAGAAGAAAATATTAATTTCTACTAAAATTATTTACTTTAAAGCTAAAGTAGCTTACTTCCGCGAGTTTCTTAATTAATTTTGCCAAATATAATTGAACGTAATTTACGAATTAATTCATTGTAGCAAGTGACATTGCGTGACAAACAAACATCACGTGTAAGGCGTCTTCACACGCAACGACAGTTAAACAATTTAATTCTCATTGAATTTGAAGCTTAATTTACATGACACTAAGTTGATGTGAAGAGGGTCTTTCTTAAGTGATCTTACCATTGTCTTAGTGTTAAGCTAATAAAATTAATATCAAAATAGTTAAATGGGAGACCATCATAAATAGGTTCTTTTTTGTTATTTTATTGATTTACAAGTGTTGTGGGTATGCGAAGAGTTGCTGTGCTTTAGTCTGATAAGACGAAATCGTAAGATACACTAATGTTTATAACAAGAAAATAAATTCGTGCCCAAAACCTATATATATATATATATATATATGTATATATATATATATATATATATATATATATATATATATATTAAAAAAATAATTAGACGCTTTATCACTTAAAAGTTATAATTACGAAATCAAAGTAAGTATTAATTGGGCAACTATATGGAGACTTAGGAATTTTAAACATTCAAAATTTAAAAGGCGTTAGAAGTTAATATGAAAATTTGTTATTTTTAAAGACAAGCCGATTAAAATTTTAAATTATTAATTATTCTAATTAAAAAATGACGACTATTCTTAATTACTTTTATTCAAAGTTTTAGGCAGTAACCTCTGGTAATAACAAATAGGTGAGGATCTGAAACTTAATAGCAACTTATACGTAAACAAGCAACACAAGCCATGAGTGGAGCAGCGGAAAAACGCTAGTATTAGTAGGTACTATAGAGTTAAAAATTAATTTTAACTTACCAGTCATGATATTGTCCCTGATGATTTGCACGTGTCTGTCTCGGTCGGGCCGCGTGTGTTCGTGCCAGAAGCCGACCACGTGGCCTAGCTCGTGGACGACTATACCGAATTTATCACAGTTCTTCCCAATGGAGATCGCTTGGGAGCCTCCACCACGTTTTCCGACGAAGGAACAGCAACTAAATAACAAATATGATACACATATTATTTACATACTAACGATCTACCCTAGCTTTGCTTGGGTACTATTTTAGTTTGTTTATGTATTAAATTTCATCTAAATCCGTCTTATTCAAAAAAAATGTCCTGGCATTTTAGCATGATGTAGTGATAAACATACACACACAAAAACTTTGTCATTGATAATAGTAGTCCGATTTGCATATTACGAGTATATGTATTTAGTATTTTCAATTTTATAACAAGCGGTTCCACAAAAACTAATCTTTATTATAAGGTCCCTTTACAATGGTAAATATATTATGGACAATTTCGAATCGCACTTGGCCAATTTTAATTTTTCTTACGGGACAAATTAAAGATAATTTTAACGCAGATATTATAAACTAGCGACTCACCGTACGTTTTAACGTTTAGTATAGATATCTCAGAGATGAGATATTTTTCCGCAGTAAAAAGTATCCTATATGTTGTCCCGGATATCCAGCTATCATTATAACAAATTTCACCAAAATCTGTCCAGTGGTGTTCTCGTGATGCATTCCCGACGACGCATTTTCAGATAGACAGACAAAAATTCTAAAAATAATAGATTCGGCCCCCGTATCGATGATAATGAATATTTCAATAAGATTTTCCGAAAAATTTTTAATGTACAAATTCGACTTAATTCGAATTTTATTATATGTATATATATAGCGTAATTGTTAAGACAATTTCGCAGTTTTTATTAAATTACTTATTTCATTTATTATCGCCTGCTAATTTGCTGTATGAACGTTCTACTTGTTACTTATAATATGTAGAATATATCTTACGTTTTTTTGTACCTAATTGCAAATTTGAAAATACTCTAAAAAATATTTGATTGTACATACTTTTACGAGCGAAAGGACAAAGTATTGGATACTTTTTTGTAAAATATTTAAATTTTTAAGGGGACATTGAAAAGCTTTCAAAATTTATTGCAGTCTGTGAGACGAGTGGGTTAGATTTTATAGCAGTATATTGGTATGAACCTTTCATTAAATGTGCAATAAAATGTTTTAAGTTTTGTATTATATAATACCTATCACAAAAGTTTTAAAGCATTGTATTCAGCCCTTTTTGACGTCCCACTGCTGGGCACGGGCCTCCCTTCAGTACGAGGGGGATCAGGCCATAGTCCATCACGCTGGCCAAGTGCGGGTTGGCAGACTTCACATGTCTTTTGAAAACTTACTAAGTTCTCTCAGACATGCAGGTTTCCTCACGATGTTTTCCTTCACCGTTAAGACAAGTGGTAATCATGTTGGAAATGATTCGCACATGAAAATATCAGAGGTGCGAGACCCGGGATTTGAACTCGCTTCACTCGGTTTCCCAAGCAAGCGCGTTACCACTGGGCTACCACTGCCTCATATTATTTTAAAGCATTATTATTTATCATTTTACTGCATTAACTTTGAGTTGTACGATCTCAATTAACTTGCGTAATAAGTCTTGGTTGGAGTAGAAACACATTAGTATAGCTGATTAATTATCTATGAAACTCGTTAGCCGACGTTTATGGATTATATTACATCAAATCGACTAACACAATTTGGTGTATTAACTTATGTCGACTGCATCCAACTGCAATGAATTAGGATGCCCCAGTAATTTGGTCATCAAAATCTGTCATGCGAAGCTATAATTTGCTAATTTACGAAATAAATTGGATGAATTGGACTAAATTTACAGATTTTTGTCTGCGTGACTAATTTTAACGTCTCTCAAAAAAAATTTTTAATTATATTTGAAAAACAAATTTTTAATTAAAAATAAAGAGCGATGAGATTACCCAATGACGATAAAAATCGGAAGTTTAAACATTTTCAGTTTTTTTTTTAACTTACTAAATGAGCTCTCAGTATACATATCTTTCATCCCATATTAGCTCCCTCAGAGAATTATGTTTTTGGTAAAATGGATATCCTTTCGTTGGCCCCTCTACGATATTATAAGGAACTCACGAGTAAAATTTCAAGTCAAGTTCTAAATCAGTGAATTTGGCTGTGCATTGAATCAGTCAAACAATTTTTTTCTATTAATTAATTATTAATGTTATATCAATTTATTTCTATTCGTCGAAGTGCTTTTAACAGTTTAACCATACTAAACAATATTTCACCAGTAAAATAATTGTCTAAAATTACGTACTGAATATTAAAGCATTGAAGATATTACAGAATAATCTTATATTTACAATTTTACAACATTATGAATGTAGATCTATACATATAATAAAATTGTAACTAAGCCGAATCTGTACATTAAATATTTTTTTGAAAATCTTATTGAAATAGACATTATCATCGATACAGAGGCCGAATCTAAAGTTTTTAGAATTTTTGTCTGTCTGTCTGTCTGTCTGTTACCGCATTATAGAAAAACCACACGAGGGCTTTTGATGAAATTTGGTATGGTGATAGCTGGTTATTCGGGTCAACATATAGGATACTTTTTACCGCGGGAAAATATCTTATTTCTGAGAAAAAATACAAAAACTGCATTGTAAGAGTATACTAATATGTAAAACCTAAGAATTTGCTTTTTGGTCATCTGAACGCGGGCGGAGCCGCGGGCCATGCTAGTATTATATATAACTCGTTGAAGTTCAATGCTAACTCACCCACAAGGTCTTTCAGTGAATACGATATAGTCTTTATGTAGTCCAGGGTCTCTTTCAACGAATTTGACGCACGTAAAGTTCTCCCAATGCCTCATAGCTTGTTTGAACAATGATTTGTGTGCTCCACTAAAGTTGCCATCAATCTCGTAAGGAATTACGCCGTTTTCCCAAATACGTTCCTTTCTATTTGTTGCTGCTCTGGTTGTCCGATGGCGTCTTTTAATCTTTAAAAACAAAATATTTTTTAATTATCTACAAGCTAAATTTGTTTGTACTATAAATGTTGCAATAAAAATTCGTTTACGAATTGAAAGCTAAACAAATAAAATTTGAGTACAATAAGCTATTTTATTGCCAAATGAGACTATGGACGAAAACAAATTAAAATATAATAGCAACTAGCAAGAGAGCCTTTTAAGGGTATACCTATATCCTTTCATTTTTCGCTAGTTTCACATGCAGTTTCACCATCTAGATATGTCAGATTATATGTACATTGCATTATTAATATATAATTCACTTATTTGTTGAAATCAAACATACTACCCTGCAGTTTTCGCAATAATAGAATAAGATCAGTCAGGTCATGGCAGCTATTTTTTATTAAAATAATTTCGTTTTGTTTTAAAATGAGCAGGTAATTTGTAAGAAGAAAGTTTTTTAATAAAATATTCGATTAAACTATTTATTTAAAAAAATATATTTACTGTTGATGTTTTAAAAAAACTGCTCGACCGATTTCGATAAAATTTATATGGGACTACCTGGGAAGTATATATACCCTTTGAAACAAAACAAAATTTTTCCAAATCGGTTCAGACGTCTTCGAGTAATCGGTGAACATATATAAAAAAAAAGATTCAGACGAATTGAGAACCTCCTGTTTTTTGGAAGTGGAGTTTTAGGAGTTTGCAAAAGAGCTATCTAAGAGGCTATTTCATGCTACTGATGGCCTAAAAGCTGGTGCTTGTGCAGCTCAAAGGCTTAGTGTTTGTTGGATTATAGTACATCAGTTGCAACATAGTGTTCAGTAAGATTATACTTTTATCATTTTACTTTAAATAATTATATATATTATATATTTATACCTATTTTGATATAAATATTCAAATTTGGTTTAATAAATATTTAATGTATATAAACATAATATTATGTTTAAATAAATAAATATGTTGGGACATTAACACATAGCACCATCTAGTTCCATGGTAAGCTACGAGGCTTGTGTTATGGATACCAGATAGTTGATACACTACAAAATAACTTTAAATACACACATATTATAAATATAAATACCCATGACTAGAGTACAAACATTCGTGCTCATCACACAGATGAATGCCCCCAGCGGAATTCGAACCCGCAACCGCTGGCATAGCAAGCAGGGTTACTGCGCACTGAGCCAAACGTGTCGTCAAAGTCGTTTCTTTTATTATTTTCCTGTCTTAACGCATTTTTGGAGATAACTCTAAAAGTGTTATAATTTCGCAGTTGATAATATGCGTTACCGTGCTTTTCTTTATAAGAACTTCTCATTTATGTAAGTCGGATATGTGTTTTTTGGCTTTAAAACATATTTACGTAGCAATTGAAGCTGCGTTATCCGGCACAGTATTCACTTTGATCCCTACTTTAAAACCTTCATGGGTACATTTTAAACCACAGTAATATTACCAATTTATAATCTGTGACTGTTTAGATAGGCTTAAAATATGATAACGGATTACCGAACAAATAAATAATAATAATAAATGAAAGGAAAGCGGTGATTCCCAAACAAAATACTTATTTTAAGGTTCAAAATACGGAGTTCTTTTAAGTTGAAGTGTCCTTCGGAAACATTCAAACTGTTTAGCCTGAGGCCTACATCTGCAGACAGGACTTTATAGAAGTTTTTCAATTTGGACTTTCATAACTTCGACGAGCAACTATGACGTAATAGTCAAAGGAATTATGAAAACGTCCGAATTGATGTCTTAGAAATTGAATTATTCTATATTTTTGTTGACTCTTTTAACGAATTATAATGCAAATTATATTTTTCCCTAAATGCGATTTTTCAAAAATATCTACATCTATTATATATCTAATATTAAAAATGTAAGTAGCTACAATTTTTTTACATTAATTAGCAATGAACAAGTTATAATAAAGAAAATATTACCTCAGTATGATTATAATTTTGACTTTCGCCAGCTTCTAAATCATCTTCGGAGTCCCGAAAAAACCAATCTTTGAAAGGTTGTCCCTCTGTGCTGTGTGTAAAATTGATTATATCTTTCGGAGGCGGTTTTACTTCGAATTTTTCCTCAAATTCGTGTTCTGGTATCTCGAATTTTTTATTCTCATTGATTTTCAGCTTTTTTTGATGCCGAAAAAACTTTTTGTCATGAGAAGATACACTAACATTTTCGTTAGAATGTTTCAAAGTATTATATCCAGATCTCTCACTCGATTGAATGTTTCTTAACCTGAAATGAATTATCTTTCGTAAATCGCTTTACAACTTTGACAAGTTATATCCTGTAGTAATAATAAATAATAATGTCGCTGACCGAGTTCGGTAACGGCGACCTATCTCACTGAGAATATCCATCTGCCAGTTTTCTACAATATTACTTATGTAACAGCCTTCGTTGGTGAACCTATCGCTGATATCAAAATGGCTAACATGTATTGAGATTATATTTTTATTAATATACTATTTACATAATATCTAAGCTAAAACAAGAATTTTTTGCCTATCTGTCTGAATAAAATTTGAATGAATAAACTTATTTAAAAACAAATTTTACTGCTCGATGTGATATTATTGACGGCAAAGGTGTCATAAAATAGATACTTTTTATTCTTGGGAAGAAAAAAATTCTAATAATAGAAAGTGCGGATAGAAGCTTCAGGTTAGATTTCCGGTTGAGGTTTCATTGTTGAATACATGTATAATACGTGAGTTGAATTGGCTGAATATAGTTCTTAGTAAAGTGTAAAAAAATAAAATATTATCCGGAAGACCACGACTAATGAAGAAAAGCATGATATGTATAGACTATAAGTCATATCTTATTTAGTTAAATACGTTTCCATACTAAGTAACATGTTATCTAATTTTCAATAAGCATCATTCTTTAAAACAGCTTAAAATACTCGTCTGATGCTTTAATAAAGTTAATGAAGTGTATGCAGAATGGGTGCAACATTGAATCTTGTGCCGACAAGCGCAGTGCGAAGACTGCGGTATTCTATTATTGTTTTAGTAGGCACAATATCTTCTTCATAAATAGATATAAAGCCTACTAATGATATAAATGCTAAATTTTGTGAGGATGTATAGATGTTTGTTACTTTTTCACGCTAAAACTACTGAATGGATTTTAATGACATTTTACAATAATATAGCTCATACATCAGAATAACACAAAGCTACTTATACTTTCATCCTCTACTTTACCTCCTTATGAGACGAATTTTTAGAAATGCAAAAACAAATATTTATTTGTATTCAAGAGCATAAATACCAAGTTTCAAGTAATACTGATCATAAATATTTTTTGGGGTTGTATTATAATGTGTTTTCCCGTGGGTATGAGATCTATATAATATAATTACAAAGGCAGACCGTTTACACTTTACAATTTTGTGTTATCATTTAAAAACTGTGTAAACAAACCAAAATGAATCTAAAAATTATAAATGACTTAATCACGGAAACATCAATAACGTTATATAAATAATGTAAAGAAAATTATGTACTTCCGTCGGTAAAAGTTAAGGAATGCTTTCAACTGTCCGTTTTATGCAGATATTTTGAACCGGTAAGATATTTACAATGCATTTGCATTACTGAAATATTCTATTTCTGGAACTCAGAATCAGGTTTACGAGAGCTCCTAGCAAAAGGTAACGGATATTAAATGGCTTAGCCGTAAACAGGTTGAAAGAATTTAGAACAGCTTTATCCGTTTTAAAAGAAGTTTAATGTAAATCTTTTTAATGTTGAAAAGAATTGTTATGAAAATTGGAATTAAAGTCTATATTAAGCTTAATAATTGGGTAAATATGAAAATTATGGCTGCATGCTTTGACTTTGGATTTGTATGAATTTCTGTTTAATTTTTATCAGAATTTAATTGGTGTTGCTATTATGTAAGCTGTACTTATGTATCTCGATAGATGATCCGCGAACATACTTTATACATGACTAGCGACTCACCCTCGCGTCGCTCAGGTTCGTCCCTAGCTTGATTCCCCATACAAACTATCATCCCCATTTTCACCCCCTTAAGGGACGATTTCCGGGTTAAAAGGTCCTATGTCCTTCCCAGGCTCCAAACTATCTCCTACCAAATTTCATCTAAATCGGTTCAGTAGATCCAGAGATTACCCCCTACAACGTCACAAACTCACAAACTCACAGTTTCACTTTCTGATTCTTCAATTAATCTTCACTCACATATTAAATTAAGTACGTTGATGGACTACACTATCGAGTTATATAAAAGTTCTTACAGAGTAAGAACCAGTTAGTTAACTACATATCTTTGTTATGTATTTGAAAATACAAAGTTTTCATATTTTCGTTGTTTAATTTGTAGGTAAATATAATATAACAATCAGTGATCATAGGACCACTTTCTTGTCCGTTTCTAATTTTCAACTCAATATGTAATATATTTAAATATAAAAATTAAAAATGTATACAACTTGTAGTGTAGAAAGAATTAAGCGAACTAATTAATGCTATTCGTCAAATCTCAAATAAGTAAATTATAAAAAAAAAACAGATTTGCCGTAGTAATAGCATAAAGTGAGTTATTAATAATTATCTATTCATAAATTAAGTTACTTACCAATTGTTTATACATCTTAAGATTATAATACGCCTTCCACAAGTCATATCTTAGTTTGTTATTTAAGAATCTTACCTTCTTCCATTACCATGTCTTCTTCTTCTCCTTCTATGGCTTGATTTTTCGACTAAGCTTTGCAAGCTTTCAGTTGGTTTCACTAAGTCATTGCCTTCATAAATTTTATCATTAAATTCTGGACTTGTATTATTTATGACTACTTTTTGACTTTCTTCAGTATCTTCAATTATGTCATTAGTTGGCAAGACTCCATTAGTAGGGGCCGGAGCAACTGTCACATTCTCAGGTAGATCTTTAAATTTTATATTGTTTTTTGAATCCCCAGTTATTTCTCGGCTGTTACTTTGTATTTTATTTGTTATCTCATCTACTGTGTTAGAATAATTCGACAATTGAATATTAGGATAGAATTCGTTTAAATTTAAAATGTTGTCATTCGAAATATTTACTACAAGTACACCATCCTGTTCCAAACTTTCAGATTCTGTCAAATTATCTACAATACTTTGGTTCATATTACTAGCTTTGTTTTGATAAGCAAAATCAATGCTATCTAAATCTTCTTCAGGCGGTATTTTGCCGTTTTTCATTAAAAGGGATCTATCTAGACCTGGTGGAATTACCTAAAAAGTAAATATGATAATTAACCATTTTTATTTTTTTATTAAAAGATAAATGATATTAACAAAAATATTTTACCTTAGTTAATACAGTAACTTCATTATATTTCTTAGGCTTATCCTGAGAGAGTGGCAATGGTTGTTTAGTTCTCTTTCTTAATATATCTGGCAAACCCTCTTCCTCTACTTGAAGTCCCTCTAAAAGAACTTCTTTTTTAAGTCTCTCTACCTCTTCTTGAAGAGATTTGTTAATCTTAGATGTAGTAGGGGCAGTGTTTGTTGGCTTAAAATAATCTACATCTGGAATGGCTATATCCCCTTGAAAGTTACCTGAAACAAAAATATGTATCTATTATTTAATTAGGAAAATTGTATATGGTATAATTTCTTTAGAATAATATTATTTAAGGGCTATCAAATACATTTGTTAATATCAGAATATATTATAAAATATTCGAAAAGCGATAAAGACATTAAATACAAAGGAAAAAGTTTAAAAATAACTGTTCATTATCAACTCTGATAACAACTTTTAAGTGAACTTTATTAATTTAATTATATACATAAAACGCTATTGTCCCAGAACTCTGTATATTGTTAAATTATTCGTCAAAGATAATACCTCGCTAACGCAAAATACTTAGAATTGTTGATTAGTTTAAATCGGTTTATCGAACCTGTTTGAAAATTATTCTCATTATAAATTTCGTTGTCAAATTTTCCCTTAGGGAAATCCCAAAAGTTATCAATGCTCCCATCGTCATTTCAAGGGTTAACTTGTTATTGACGCTAATTATAACCCTTATAATATAAAAGATAAGCAGAGTTTATTTCTAATTTTCTGAATCTTTCCGAGGAAGATGATATATTTTGGCCTCTTGGAGTTTATAAATTATGAGTTATTATAGGGTAGGGATAATTTTCTCTATATATATTTCTATATAAATACTCAATGAACATGGCATGGCCTTTAAATAAAAGGCTGAAAAGTTAATATTACAAATCAAACAATGCAAATCATTCAAAACTTTATGCAAGAGGCAATCACAAGCACAGTTTCAATTATCTCAAATAATTAATCTAATCCGAAATTCAAATTCGCAATAATGCGGGCACGTTGCAGGCGATTAACGTACATCTGTTGTTGTCGTAAAACGTAACGACCTGTTCGTGGCCAGCTGGTGCCCAACGCTGGTTGCCAATTAATTAATTTCCCATACACGCCTACATGACGCGAATTGGACAACATGTTTTACGATAGTAACTCAAACATGAATATTCACATTGGAACCGTGATTGATTTTGGCATACTTTGGTTTCGGGCCAATTGAACTGCAATATTGGGTTATTAGATAGAGTTTAGTGACTGGATCTTTAATTTATTTTGTCTGTTTGTACTAATATCTTATCTGTGTTACTCTGTTAATATGCAATAAAGAATATATATATATATATTCTAGATACATTGTAGAGATTTTAAAATATTATGTATGATATTAAAAATAATTGTATATAATGTAAAATTTTATATAGGTGTATTGGTTTTCTCCATTTGCTATATCTATATTGCACAAATTTTAATATATACAGGGATTTCAATAGAAACATCAAAATGAAAAAATATTTATAATAAAAATTGTCTAAATGTAAAACAAAGGGCAAGATCGACTTGCAGTTACCCATTTTATCATGAGAATACTGATACTGAACATTTATGTCTAAAACAGAATATTGTACAATAAATACATAATACGAGATTTTAATTCATCTTAAAATTGTAGGGATGATTTTGATACACGAATATTAGCCTCTATTGATTTAACCAGCTTTATAGATCTTGATGATTTAGTTAGTTACTTAATTGCGCAAATACTCACTACTGCTGATTCCTTTGCGGCTTGATTGTACCCAATCAGCTTAGCTTTACTTGGTTATCTTTGTTGCATAACAATCTACAGTATAAACGTAGCTACGCTATAAAGGAAAATCGTTAAACTTTCAACACATACTTGGATGAGAGCAGTATAAATTCGTTTTAGACTAAATTTGCCAAAATTAATATTTAATCTACAGAATCTACTATCTACATAGTTTATTTAAGTAGTATCTGTTTATAATATGTTATCAGATCAGTATTTTGTTTACAGCCCAGTTCTCTTTGAATTCCTGTAGCTGTCATATTCCGGATGGCAATGCAGTGCAACTGGATATCAGGAAAAAAGATCATTGGCTTGACCTGCTTTGTAATTCAAAGGGGTCTGACGCCACTGACTCTTTAATTCCAAGTTAAACTTCTGAAATTTTATGACAAGGATATCTAACGACTATTTTAGGTTCAACTCTGAACTAGAACCCAGGGTTACATGACTAACAAGAAGTAATGTTTGACAATTCAAAGAATTTAAGATATTATTCCGGTTGTTTATTCGTACGTATTAAAAATAATGAAGTAGATTTTATTGGATTTTTTAATAGGAAAAAGTATTTATCTGAATTTATTTTAACTACATATTAAAGAATCCTCGTTGAATTGCGAGAGTAATGGTTTCTGGTTGGAAAACTACAAAACACATACGAAAAAAAATACGCAATGTTCCCATTGCCAAACTTTGCTTTAGCTATGGCAAGATAACCATTGTCAAGTTCTACAAATATTTATACTGCAGGAATCGACATTGTGATCTGTGACCCAAGGGATGTTACCTTCCAAAACTCAATGAAAACACAATATGCAGTCAGGGCATAGTACACAACGGCAGGGCTATCTGTTAGCTAGAAAGCTAAATAACATTTTTTTTTATATTCAAAAAAATCGATTAAAAGAAAGCACCTGTCTTTTTTAGTATTGCGATCATTCTTTATTAAAATCAATTAGTACTTTGTTCCAAATATTTAGTGGCTTTGGCAAAAATGAAGATGTGCATCCTCATAAAACTACTACCATAATGTCATCAAGGGATCCTCATAATACTTTCTAAATTTCCGCGAATATTTGCCAATATAAAGAAAACTATCTTTTCGGATTTTTTCGCGTAATTATTTTGATTTTTGGTTCAGTCTCTCCTGTAACCATGATTGCTGTAAGCATTCCAAACTTCGGGAACCAATAATCAAAACAATCGAAGAAGTCCGATAAGATAGTTTTATTTACAATGTGTACCCTCAGTTTTTATTCTATTAGCGCTTAGAATGTTACATAACGTAGACACATAAAACCGTAATTTACGTCACGTATTCGATCACAATAGGGCAAATTTTATAGCGCCTATTGATTGGCTATGAAAAGGGCGCAAACAAAATGCGGGAAAATCACTACCTTCGGGTTTCAAAGGGAAGTTGGGATTTGATTGGTATTTTAATTGAATAGCCTACTTTTTAAATACTTATTTCTACTTGCCCATAGGTACTGCCTACTGAATATAAGTATTATAAAGAGCTGAAAATAAAATGTAAGACAAGTATGGTGCTAATATTGAACTTGTACCTTATTCCATTTGTCTCTAGATTCCGTTCACATTTATAATATAACGGAAACTCTCTTAAAGGACGATTTCTTCGGCATAATTTATTCGGAATAATATTTTTGTAAAATGTTCCTATATTATAGCCTTTCTACATAATCATTCTTTTTGTGGAAACCGTTTGAAAATCTGTTGAGCAGTTTCTTAAATAAGCCCAAACAAACTCACTATGGTGGGGGACTTTGGTTTATAATATTGGTTTTACGAAATAAAGTTATATATATGAAAATATTTATGATTACTAGACTATAATAAAATAAAGATATCAAGTTTACAGTATTTTTGCAATTATATGATATATATATATATATATATATATATATATATATATATATCGCCGCCAAAGTGCCAACAACAGTCAGCAATACATAATTTTATTTTTCACATTTCACAAAACAATTTATTGCATGCATACATAACTACCTTCTGACATTTATATGGTCATAATCGTAAACCATATTTTTTTTCACAAAAAGTACACTATATTCTGAAGAGGAACTATAATGCTAGTGTATAAGTTATAAATTGTTGGTAAACCGTTATTGCGTCGTGTTGATGACTGCGAGCAAAATAAATGTTCGCTGAATTGTATTAGGGATCAAATATACATGTATAGTATAAGTTGGGAAAAAGTTGCTTTTATAATTTAGTAGCATATCTACTGTATTATAAAGATGTAATTTTTGTAAGTTTGGTATCTATGGTAATCTTCGAAAGTACTGATCTGATTCGGAAAATTCTTTCACTCATACCAAGGTTTATTACCACCGAGTGCTACTTATGAAACAATGTGTTAAAATAGCTCTTTAATAATCACAGTGGCTGTCATATTATCCATCTGAGATTTGAATGCAGTTAATTCTGTAATAAATGGTACTTAAAGGTGGTAAAAAGTTAAAGGCAGAGGTAGGTAGCCCAGTGGTAACGCGCTCGCTTGGGAAACCGATTGAAGCGAATTCAAATCCGCGAGAACCGCTCGCACCTTTAATTTTCTCATGTGCTAGTCAATTCTAACATGATTACCACTTGACTTACGGTAAAGGAAAACATGCATGTCTGAGAAGACTTAGCGAGTTTCGACAAACATGTGAAGTCCGCCAATCCGCTCGTGGACAGCGTGGTAAACTATGTCTTTATCTATCTCGTATTGAAGGGAGGCCCGTGCCCAGCAGTGGGACGCTAAAAAGGGCCGAATACATACATATAAATAATTCATAGACTGAGGGACAATTCCAAAAGAGAATACCACAAAAACTTTTCCGCTTCCGCTCGTCACTTGAAATGACATTAAGTCTTGATGCAGTGTATAATTTAATCAGGGAACGGCGCATTGCATATATTCTTCAATCGATTTACGTTATACATTTTGCATATTAAATTATATTGCATTTTTGATGGATCACAGGAGCGTGTTAGATGTGGGATAGATAGATATTGATCAAGATTTGGTTTTATATTAATAGATTAAAATGTGATTGTGTGGAATAAACACGTAATGATTATGTTATCTGTTCTACAGCTTAATATAATATATTAAATTTTTTTGTAAATACATAATTACTACAATTAAAAAAGCAAGGCATAGACATTTTTTTTCTTCAAATTAGACTGATCTGGCAAAAGTCGCCGAAATAAATTTCGTCTATGTCCATCGGACAATGTGTGTATAATCCATATTAGATGTGTAAATGTAGAGTATATAATGATTCGCAATACAAGATATACCTACCCAAAGCTAATCATTAGTTTTTGTTTAGTTCATCAATAATAGTAATCAATAATATCAGTAATAGTGGTAAGATTTCCTGA